TTAAGTCTAGCTTGTGGTTCCCTTGACCTAGGTCCACTTGCTCAAGCAATCAACCACCCAAGTACCTTAGGGCCCAATGGAGAGAGGTCAAACTTTGACAATAGTTGACTTGAATCATCATTGTATAATGAGTTTATGAAATAGCTTTCAAATATTTCTTTGAAGCATGCAATAGCTTCATTTTGACAAATCTAATAGTTTCTTCATTTGAGTGTGAATGAATGTGATAAATTACTTTCTTCTTTCAGATTTAGTATGTTCTTCATGAGACCCATCCTTATATTCTCCCATATTTTTCTGTCTTTTAATCACCTGAAAAATAGTCATGAAAATTTAAATTTCTTTCTATTACTCTATTGGTATGTCAATAATCTTTGTTTATTCTTCAATTTGAAGTTTGTCATTCTCATGTTATATCCTAGATACTTTCTCTAGATAATGATAAATATCAGTGGATACTTTTACTTTTAAGGTCAGCTTAAACAAGGTCATTGAGCTTGCCATTTTGCCCACATATTCTACTAACGTGTTATTATCTAGAATGTATGCATTGACTTCCAACCATTTCTTGCTTTGAGGTTTGTTGCTCTCTCATAAATTGTGCATGAAGCTTGATCTAGAGATACATTATTTATCAACAATCGTCTTTACTTCTAGGGTTGAGTCAAAGTTTTGCCTATTTAGTATGTCATTTCTCCACATATTTTGTTGATGTGTTACTATCTAGGGTATGTGACAAAGACTTCTCTCCTTTTGTGATGATTTCACATAAATGCTTCATTTTTGCTGATGGGTAGGTCTCGAGTTTGAATATTACCTTAGACATTGATCCTCAGATATTTCTTCATATTTCTCTAATCAATTTTCCAATGTGCCGTTGCTAAGGTCCTGATTCAACTCCCTACTTGTTCATGATTTTTAAGTATTATGGCTGTTGAGAGTTTCATCTTTTAGTTATTTGTCCTAAGTTCAAATCATGCACCTCATTTCATATGTTTTAATTTTTCATGTATTTCTTAATCTTTCAGAAACTTTGTCAAATATGTTGACATTTGTTTTTATGTACTTATGTATAAACTTTGACGATGTATTGTATTTAATATGAAAATATCTCAAGGAGATATCTCCTTGGATTCTTTGTTAGCTATAGGATAATTCAAGCATCATCAATCTATACTTCGAATATTTCTCAAAGACATCAAACTTATAACATATGTTTTTATGAAATCAATGTACAGTTTAGTAAATTTTAGATAAACATTCTAAAATATTATGTGAATTCATTTTCATTTAAAATTGTGAAAACCTTGGGCATCTATAGAAAGGAGATAAATGGAGTAGTCATCTTATTACATCACTTGTTCTTGACATCTGGCATGGTCAGTTGCTCAGCCATAAGGCGTAGGATTCACTGTTGGATTGTGGAGCATCTGAAGATGGTGCTGCAAAAGAGGTAGATCGACTGGGTGCCTTTGATAGAACCCCTTCTTTGTAAATGGGCCGAGATTGGTTGGGATGTCAACACAAGTCTAGTAATACACAAATTTTCTTATAATAAAAATTAAAAACAGAGGAGAATACAAGCAAAGGAAGATGAAAGAAAATGAGATAAAGAGAGAAGAAAGGATTATAGATGGATTCTCCTTGTTGACACATTGAAACTATCTATCTCCTAGCATTCCTGAAGAATACACCAAATTAATCATAAACTCTACTCGTGTCTCAGCACTCATTTATATTATCGGTGGGCCCTTGGTCGTGGCCCTCATCCCCTACGTCCCACATCTATCATCCACCTCCACGATCTACCATTTCTTTTAGATAGTCTTCAACAATCGTTGGTTGACTTTTTAATAGAATGGTGGGAACCCTCTATCTCTCGAGTCCATTTCTGATGTGGATGAGATGATCGATTGAGGATCTCAGCAGCCTCACCGCTAGAGGGGGCAGGGCAAGGTCACTGTAGCAGGAGCAGGTGTGATGTGGCATCTACTTCGGACATGATGGCCTTCCCGTCATCAAGTTAGAGCACCTCTGGAGCCTAGAGAAGCCAGAGCCAGATGAGTGGAGCTTGCAGTATTTGTCCGGCAGATAGAACATTGGTGGGCCGTCAAGGACCAGCTAGCCATCCAAGCCTTCTAGCATGGCCAGATCCTTGAGGGTAGCATATAGGCAGCTGTCCAGCATCACCGTGACATTACACGCCAACATGTGAAGCCCAAAGATTGGTTCAGTTGGAGAAACAGAAGGACTTGTTAGCTACCGCAATTGAGATGGAGGAAGCCCTCTCCTGACATGGAGAGGGAATGATGAAGACAATCACTTCATGTTTATTGTGATGTCACTCTCAGCCCTCTCATCTATTGGGTCCTAACAATTGGTATCAGAGCACCCCATGCTCTTTGCTTCAGAAATATGACTCCTAAATAGGCAAATAATCGTGTCAATGCCCTTAAGAAGGATGTCAACAAGCTACACAAAACACATGCGTACCCACTAATGGTGGGCAGACATGGGTACGAACCTGCCTGGGGAATAGGAGGCAAAATTGAAACCTTTTTTCACTATAATTGATGAAAATATTTCACTCCAAATTTCTTCAGCACACATTTATGTCCGAAAAGTTATAGTTTTGGCTTCTATTATCATTAAGGTTGTCTTCTATTGCATAAGGCAGGCCATTAGATGATTGTATACGCTCCTAATCTTGGATTAAAGGCATTCTTTGAGTTTTTTTGCACTGTGTTGCATTGTATACCCACTCTTTGATGTTTTAGTTTTTTTTATCCTATTAGTTTTTATAGAGATTTTTCTGCCTTTCGATTCAGTTAGATTGGCCTTCATATCCTTGCTTTGTTTCAGTTCTGGAGGTTGACTAGTTCACTATTATAATCGTTTATAGTTCCTCAATAAAGCAGCAACTAAATATAATATTAGAGAAGATGATTCTATCATTTTCCTCCACCCCTTGTGACAGGATTATAGGTGAGCATAAAGGCCAAATCATCTTCAATAGCAGTTCTATTAGGCCATGCAAAGTTAGTGACTTTTCTTCCCTGTACCCCATCACTCTAGAATCATAATGGCCTTAGACGAGTGCCTCCCAACTCCTTTGCTAGAAGAGATTTATTACAGATCTCAAAATAAATTGCATGTATATCTCCTTTGTTAGGCATTAGCACTTGTTTTAAGGTGTGGAAAAGCTATCTTCTAATCGGACTTTGAAGATAGACGTTTCTATATTCCTAATCCAAACATCATCACTAATGATAAACTGATCTACCTCATCTTGATGTTTGTCTTTCCAGCATTCTAATATTCTAAAAAACTTATGCAAATTTTACAAAAGGATTGAAGAAAAAATGAAAATCCCTTGTCTCACTCTTCATGTCGTTAATTGTAAAAGCATAAATGAAAGAATAAATTATTTTATATTTTTATTGGCTTGTAATAGGTTCCATCTCTATTTTCATTTCCTCCCTATAATAGATTTCAAAATAAGATCCAAAAAACCTTCTTTCGTTATTTCCCCCATTTTATTTGTTAATATATATATATATATTCTCTCTCTTCTTTCCAAAGTTGTGTAAGCTGAAAATAATCCTAGATATCAAGTTCTACCTCAAGATGTGTAATTATCCTTGAATTTCCCTTTTCTATTTTACATATACATCACATATATTCTACAATTTCCACCATTTTATATTTTTTAAATTATTCACCCTATCTTCATTTCTTCCTTTCTCACTCTTTTCTCTCTTCTTAGTTTAGACATGGACCATGATGTGAGAATTTCCAGCAACTGTCACTATATTAAATAGTTGAATGGTTCCTTCTGCATTCTTAGCTATTCAAATTTTACAAAGATTTTGGTTGGTTGTTCTCAAACATTCAATAATAAGAAATGTGCTTGCACAAATCATACGTGGCAATTTAATATGTGGATGTTTACATTGGAGGCCTAAATAATTTTTACATGATCAGGATAACACACAGGACGAAATGAAATGAACACTTACAAACTTCCAAAGTTATTAAAGGTTCTTATGCTTGCTTCATATTATTCTCTCTCAAATGATTACCAACTAAAATTCATGGGTTTAGCAAAAAACTCTTTGGATGATAGATTTTAGCTGTCCTCACTTAAAAATATCAAAAGACGATTTACAAATTGATTCTCAACATGAGAAATTGAGATTTATTAATTTTGAGAATGTTTTGGATGCCCGAGGAAGTTTTTGACTAAGTTGGGCTTTTAGAAAAATATTGATGATAGATTTTAGAACGAGTAAGCTAGATTTTATCAATCATTGCACATGATTTTAAAACTCATATAATGTTCTATTATTTAGCCTAAAAATCCGACTAATGGATTTAAAATTTTCAAGATTTAACTAGTCAAAGTTCGTTTGGGTCAACACGTTTACTTACCAACAATATGTACCATCAAGTTGACAGTTTAGTGTGCTTTTGAAAAAGTCATTGTGGAAACATGACAATGTGATATTTTAAAAACTTTTCTTCAAAATATTATTTTTTCATACGCTCTCTGCAGTGGACAGACACCCAAAATGCCGGTGCACGTGGTGAAGCCAAACTAGAACGGCCAAGAATAGAAAGAAAATTGTGTGCCTTGATTGCTAAAAGAGTCTGAAAAAGTTCACATTCTCTCTCTCTCTCTCTCTCTCTCTCTCTCTCTCTCTCTCTCTCTCTCTCTCTCTCTCTCTCTGTGACAGAGCTACTGTAATGCCATTCAAATTTAGAACCATCCAGCTCCACCAAGCATCGATCAAAGTGACCCATAAGAAGTTGAGGAGAAAGTCCGTTTTACCATTAAGCGCCGTGGACACTTGACAAAAAGAGCTTCTGAAAAACCCAATCACATGAAACTTGGTTTGACTGTCTCATGAAATCCCCACCTCTTGAAGCTTTCAGACAACAAACGAGGAAGAGTGACTGCTCATAGGATGATCATACATAGCGTCCCCAGAACGCACCATTCAAGTACTCGCAGCAGTGGCCGAAGAAGGCATAGCAGGAAGAAAGGAAGGCAACAGCCAACCGTTTTCCTTTGCTCGCTCCACATAGGACAGAAACTTCACCCGGGCGTTGGGTATGTCAAGAGCCAGGTCATCAAGTGAATCCCTAACCCTAGAGAAGCCCTTGGTGATCTGGTTGATGGTGATCAGCCCTTCGCCAAAGCACTCCTGGAGGAGATCCAAAATCCGATCGTTCTTCTTTTCCATTGCCATGACCAGTGCTTTCTTCACAACCTCATGGTTGAAGAACGGCATCCCTAGATCTCGAATGCACTGGCAGGCCTCCCCTACATCACCTCCGCTTTCGTACTCCTCCAGTAGCTTTGTTATCTTGTCCTTGGCGTCCTCTACAGCCCAACCGGTGCCACCTCCCCAGCATCTTAGGAGCCGCTCCCCAGCATGGCTGGCTGAGGCCAGAGTGCGGGCCACATGAACAGTCTCACTCCCACTGCAGTTTGGTGGAAGCTTGGAGCCAATCTCCTCCAGATTAAGGGGGACCAAGATGTCATCTATCACCGCCCTGGCAAGAAACAGAGCCAGTTCATTGGAGGCATCGAGTATATCCAATGCTGTATCCTCCGCAGATTCCAGAAGCATTATGAAACCGTTCATGATGTCCTCTGTCGAAAATGTATCTTCCTGGAGCGCCGATAGCAGAACAGAAGCCATCTCCCTCTCCCTGTTCTTCCTGTCCATGGCGAGCGTTATCAGTTTCTTTAGGAAGATGGGGTTGTATTCTGGAGCAGCAAGGTCTTCCAGACTACGAAGGAGCTCAGGAATGTCATCAGAGAGGAAATATTCATTGATGATGACGACGGCCTCTTCCTTGTAACGCATCAACTTCTCATCTTCCCCAGTCGTGTACTCTCCTCCCACTGGAGCAGAAGACTTCAGAAGTGACGGCTCAAGCCAGCCCTCTGACAAAACTCTTGGAACCAGCGACTCAAATGTGGATTTTGCGGAGGGAACATCAAGGGAAAGATCATCAAGGCTTTCGGCAAGCCTAGCAAAACCCTTGGCCATCTGACTCGAGCTGATCACACATTCTTCACCAGATTCCTTTAAAAGCTTCAGGATAAGTGGCTCTGATGTGGGAATCTCGAGGGCAAGGATGAGGGCTTTCTTTACGACCTCATGATGGAAGAATGGAACCCCCAGCTCCCGTATGCATCGACAGGCCTCCACCGTATCACCGTTCTCAAGGTATTCACGCAACAGATCTGCAATTTTCCTCTTGACCTCTTCTACAGTCACATGGGTGCTGCCGCCCCATCGTGATTCCACTAATTCCGCATGGTGAGGAGCAGATAGGTAGCTCTTTTCAGCGGTCTGGATGACCTGGAGGCCCTTGGGTGATTCAGAGACCTTCCTTGCATTAGTGAGGAAAGCCGGAGGCAGGATGTCATCAACAATTGCCCGTGCAATGAACAAAGCCAGAACATCAACCGCATCAACTATGTCTAGTGCTAGATCTTCAACTGACTCCATAAGCATCGTAAATCCTTGGCTAATCTGAGAAGAATTTATAGCATCTGCATATAGAGAAGACAAGAGAACAGAAGCCATTTCTTTCTCTTTGTCATGTCTATCCATTGCCGTGGACACAAGTCTCTTCACAAAGTAGTGGTGGTACTCATCAGACTGCAGATCTCGGAGATCAGAAGCAGCAAGCCCAACATCACCAGTACTGAAATATTCCTCAATGATTGGAACAATAGCCTTTTTATATTCATCTAGAGGTGTAGAAACGGTAGCACCTACAAGCTCGTATGGTTCCTGAAATCAGAGAGGGCATTTAAATCAAAATTATTAAAATCATCCAGAAATAGACCACTTTCACAAAATTTGGTCTTTGTTCTGTTCTGTCTGCTATAAGGGATATAGGATGCAGCTGCCATAATAAACAGATCATATTAACTCCAACTGGATTCTACTTTTACCAAATGATAAACTAATAAATGACCGTACCTGGTTCCCAAAGAGGAGGGGAATTCATACCTCACAACTGTCATAATTTGGATCATTCCGGTCAAGATGTGAATCAGCATCAGTATCAAGTAGTTTACCCCATGTCCCTTTCCCACCAGCGCCATCTATTTATCAACATTTCAAAACAAAAACGGATAAATTCAACATCAGGGATCCACAATCATTTTAATCCTGCAAAGAACTGAAACTGAAGCAACTTTGCATTGGACCCGAAAGTATTATGAGAGTGATGATAATTATCAAAGGAAAGTCAGCCTCCCCTAGATGGGGAACCACTTAACAACCATGGAACACAGTGCTCCCCTATTATGGTTGCCAATTAACAACCATGGAACCCGAGGCCCACCTACCTGCCTTGCCACCTATCAACTAGAGAACACTAGTCTCCCTAGCCTCCTCGCCACTTTAACATTAACTGTTAGAAATTCTGTAAAGAGTTGATTTAAGCAATTTTTGCCAGATGGTCTGAAGTGACTTCTAGAGATATGCCTAACATGAGAACTAAATTCAGAATATAAATCGACACCTAAACTTAATCATTAGATAGAATTTGGAAGAAACTCAAGGAAGTAATATAATATGCATGGCACTGAACTTGTAACTGAGAAGTTAACAATTTTTGCATGAAAACCTACTGTACTAAGAAGTCAACAATCAGAAACAAGATGAAAGCTTCCTGTTTGAAACAATAGGAATTGCCATAGATTTTCCCTGGGTAGCTCTTGTACCATACTCACAAAATCCAAAATAAACTGAATCAAACAAGCTACAAAAAGAAAAAAAAAGAGATAATCGAAAAGTAAAAATAAATAAATAAATAAATAATAAAGAGGGAATAGAGAACCGTTCCAACCAAATATAACGATTGAACTTGCCTATGTGAAATTCATTTTCAAGGAGCACAAAAGATAAGAATGGTAAAGATATTTCAAAATGCTACAAAGAAAAAGCGGCAGTACTTGCAATAAATCTTAATATTCCCTATCACCATTGTCACATACTGACACAAACTTGCATCAACCGGATGCCTGATCTATAACAAGAACTCCACATTTCATCAATGAAGACTGCTTCTCTGTAGAGGGGGTATCAAACTAGCTCCGGTACTAATGTGAGCATGCACATGGGCTTCTAGTAGCATATCCCATAACAGAAAACAGAAGACGAGAGCAAACATCTTCATTGAGTTCAAAGACGAATTTTACAGCGCCAAATGAAATACCCAGTAATGTAATCAAAATTGTTCTTTAAATAACGACAAGCCGGTGCAAGTGTGTAGGTGGACAATGCGACTATAATTTGCAAAGAAAGGAGCAGAATGGCCAAGGAGCTTTTTGAGCTGTTATCCTTGTCAACCATAAGGTGGATAAGAAAAGGTCAACTTTCCTCAGATTCATGTTGGACTCAAAATCAATAAAAGCTCTGGTTTGTTGTGCCTTTTCAAAAAAGTACTCGTGGTGGTCAGATCATATGACTTTCATCTTGGCCTCTCGGATGTTATGAAGAAGGTTAAGCTCGCAGGGTAGACAGAAAGATCCTGGAGATTTTCCCGCCAGGAAGTAGATCCAATTGAAGCCACCTTTGTATCTAGATTCCATTGATGCAAGTTGTTAATTTCTGTAATGAAGGAATACCTATACAAGACCTTAACTGTAAGGATTAGACACACTTTTATGGTGGAAAGTGAGAAGTAGAAGTCTATTTTCTTGCATCATTCACATGTATTAAGAAGACTCATAAAAAAAACCCAGCGTAACAATGAAAAAGGAGCACTCTGAGCATCAGCAAATTAGCAAGCACTTGATATATATAGGGAGTCAGACCAACAGGCAGACAGACACAAAGAGGGAGATGGAGGGAGGGAGATTTTAAAAGATATTCAGGTGATAAGAATGGTGACCTAGAAGTGTCTGATTATTTTTATTCTTTTGTCAAACAAGGTGTCATCTGAGACAGCAGAAAGCAAAATCAAATACGGAAAAATACCAGTGATCGAGATAAACACAACAGAACATCACAGAATACAGACAAAGAAGCATAAGCCAAAGTAGACATCTGCACAAAAAATAATTAATGGAAGTAAAATCACCGTTCTAAGAGGAATGAAATAAAAATAGCTGCACGCTCATCATATTCATTGGTACATAGGCGGAATATAGTTGAAAAACATATAAATGAAACCTCTTCATGATAGCATTTGTCATGACATTCAAGGATCAAATGCCATGTTACATACTTTCCAGAGAAGTTAAACTAGATATAAGGAACTCCATCAGATAAAGAAATCTAGCATGTTATCTGGTGCATGGAGTAGAGAGAACTAAACAAGGAGGATATGCCATCAAAATTTAGTACAAAAAATTGTCCGTAATGAGAACAACGAATATCTTATCAAAAGGAGAGTCATATATAATCAATTTCCACCCATTAATGCAAATCATAGTAATTATGAGAATCATATGGAGAATAATAAGTAAAAAAAGTAAAAATGATAAGTCGTAGAGCTGAATCTTTTCCTATGAAAAGAGAAGAGAACAGAATAAAAAACTGGTGAATGCAGAGCATTCGAGCCATCCAATCTATCTTAACACCATTATGGCCCTCCCTTTATTGTGCATGTTCACAAAAGCGAGAGTAGGAGTAATAAAGTGTTGAATTGATTCTGATCTTCCATTATCCATCCTCTAAAGATTTTTTCCTTCCCTTCCACATACAGGGACCTCGTCCTTCACATCTGTTAAGGCCATTGCAAAGACCTTGCTCCAATCATGCGCAGCTTATTATTGCCCAGTAAATCAAGCAGGATTCACAAACTTGACGTGTGGCTAACATGAAATCTCTTTTGATCAAAGGCTGCTCTACAGCAAGCAGAGGTAGCAACTATGCCACCAGCCAAGTCTGGAAACTATACGCCTTCAAAAAGCAGCATTCCTCACCAGTGAGGTTGCGTCCTTTCAGATTCCCCAGCTACTTGGAATCTGTTCCCTTCATAAAAATATATATGTTCTCAACTAATCATCAGTTATTCACAAACACTGGAACTAGTTTACCAACAGAACCCTATTAGTTCTCCATAAAATCCAGAAAATTTTCTCGCCGAACTCAATAATTTCGGGCCAAACCCCGCAAAACACTCATACGAAGGGAAATGCGGGTAAGGTGGCCTGATTCAACGTTTGTATAGCACAAAACATGCGGAAATACCACTCGAGCGCAATGAGACGAGCAATCGAGGAAACGTCGCAAATAACAAGCCAGAGGAAAAAGTCGATAAAAATTAATGGAAGAGTGCTACGATCGCTAACCTTTCTTCACGCGCACTACCTTGCCCGAGTGCGACCGTCGCACATGCCGGACGGCGGCTCCCTTTACATTCGCCTTCGAGCCGCCCGTCGCCTCCTTGAAGTGGTGCTCAGGGAGCATTGTGGATGGCGATCTCGGGGACGAGGATAGTCCCTCCGCGTTCTGCACGGCGATCTTCAGCAACTCTCTCTGCTCTTCAGTCAGGAATCCCTCATTGCCGTTCTCCGCCATACCTCCCACCACTCCAGAAAATCAACCAGCTCACCGTCCCAAGGGGAGAGAGAAATCCAACGTGAGAGACCGAGGACAGAGACGAATGACCCTCACGAAACACGAGCACCCCTCGCTCAGGCAAGCATTGCAAGGAGCCTCTCCCTGTCCGTTCCACCGCGGCACCGTCCTATCCTCCACGCCAGCCTCCCCCCGGAATCTCCGCCCAAGACCGGTGGAGGGGAAGGGAAGACAGGCGGAAACCTAGGGACCAGCCGAGGGCGGCGCAGTGACTGGGCAATCTCTCTCTCTCTCTCGCTCGCTAGCGCCGCTGGAATCAGAAGGGTCTGAACCGGAGAGGAGTGTGAAGATCGTCGGTTCAACACACGTCAGCAAGCCCCCCACCCCCCCCCCCAGTCTAGGTATTGTTCCGTGGCAACGTACACAGTGAGTTACCAATTATAGTTTACCACGTCAAGATTCTGTGGAGCAGTATCATACGTGGCGACCTTTCAATGGGTTGGTTCAGCTTGGGATTAGATCGGGTGGAGCGATCTTTCTGTTTTTGAATGACTTGCTTACGTGGCACTCTGTGGCGGTTTTCTTCCCCCAGGACGTGACGTGGCGCCGAGCCCATCGAATTAGGGTTTTATCCTCCTCCCCCTTCCGGTCTTATCCAAACGAAATGGGCGGCGTCACTTTCCCCCGGGACAAGTTGCGCGGAACCGGCCGGAACAACGACCTAAACGGAGTCAACTCGGTCCGAGTCGGGCCTCCTCCCCCCAGCAAGTTTCTAGTGCGATATCAGTACGGAGGAGAAATTGAGAAAACAAATCAATAAATACGGGCAAAATTTTAAAAGTTCATTAAAAAAAGATTAGATCACAATTTTCATGGGAAAGAGCATAAAAAAATAAATTGATTTTTTTTATAAAAATAAAATAATGGCCCGCATATTATATCGGGGGGATTTTGAATGGGCGACACGCAGAGCATAGTATTTTGTGATAAAATGCATAGTCAATTTATTTGCCCATCCGTAATATATGCAAGTGAGGGCCATAAGCTGCAGCAATTATCGTATTTTTTTTGCATATATTTCTATTAATAAAAAATTAAAAACTTTTTAATTCCAAACACTAAGCGTTAGCTATCATGCGAACATGTCTACTCTTAGAATTAATATATTTAGCCAAGAGCAGTAACCCGCCAACACAGGAAATGGAGTCGCTCAATCCCCCCATTAGATTGAGAGCGGCGATCCCCAATATAAATTTAGGGGAAACTTAGGAGCTAATCTAGGCTCTGATGATTAAATAATCATCACTGGTTCATGTTTTAGGAAGGGAGAAGGTGGTCATCTGGTCATGGAGTTGGGCAGGGGCACCAAGGAACATTCTCAGAGAAAGATAAGGCAGAGAGGATGAGAACCTTCAAGAGAGAAGACTGTGGAGATTTCAAGGGCACCATAGACAAAATTCTCATTTTCCTGATACTCTGTTCCCTGCCAACTCCTGCAGACTTATGTACATAATTTCCCAACTATCGAAAGTGCAATTCAATTGTTCCTATAATGCTGAGACAGACACAGATTGAAATTTTAATCTCTGTTAGGTGCAGATATCTGTGATCAAGAACATATTACCAAGAAAAAAAATATTTATAAGAAGCATGAACTTGACACCGAATGAAAACCCATCTTGACAAAAAAAAAAAGGACTTAGAGGAAGAAAGAGGGATGTCTTTACAGTCATGAAGACAATTAGCAACTATGCAAAAGGGCGTGGGGAAAACATCCTGGTTTCACCCACAAAGCTGCCTCAATTCATTCTGGCATCCCCTCCACATTTAAGAGAAAAAAATCAAATCAAACTTTATCACCGTCAACAAAAGGAATTATCGAAAATTTCACTATTATACATCATATTTGACCCAACTTTTCTTGAAAACAATTTAATGTACAAAAATATTGGTAAGGCTCTAAACGGGTTAATTGAATTACTGTAATCTTACAAAAAACAGATTTTTGCACAATTTTGCGGATTCAACAACTGTGGGGCCAGGATTGGGAGCAATCCTCGGAAGTATTTGGCAAAGGACGCCCTTCAAAGCCATTGATGGCCCCGGTGCATCTACCTTGATGAAGGAAATAACTCAGATGCATCTGTACATCATACAGCCACCAAGCCAATGAGCATAGGCTTATTAAGGAAATCTTAGTTTTCAAGAGAGGACTCAAACACTCACGTCTCACCTGCTTCTCATGGAGTTTTATGAGCGCTTTTTTCATTGATTTCTTCTTTCTTAACTCTGTACCAAAACAGCGTATTACAATAGAAATATTATGAACGTTCACCATCAAACATGTATAAATTTTCGTTTGGTCAGTCTAATCAATAAGGCATGGCCTGCGTTAAGTCTGAATTTTTTATTAAAAATTAATCTTCAATGATGTAAATTTGGAGAGATACCATAGTTTAGTGTCAACCACTTTCAGGGGGAAAAGACAAGTTACTATGGCAGAGCAAACTTTTTAATCATAGTTGATGCATGTGTCATCAGGAATATTCAATGCATCAATGATCCACAACGAAAAATGTAATAATTTTCAATCACAAAAAAGGCACACCTAAACCAAGCGGGGCCCCATGCAGTCCACATGAGCATCTTATTAGGATGCTTGCCCAGGCAGACTAAACGTCTTGGCATGTTTACGGACATTGAGATAAACGTCAAGTGAACATATGAAGCCAGACACCTAGATCAACCCAAAGATATAAATGTCAATAAAACCCTTCTTTTTATTTAATACATTTAGTTTTAAGTCCCTGTAAATGTTTATATGGTGGATAAGCTCTTGTATTTATTTTCTTCAGTGTTTAGTCCTCCAAACATACCGACTAAGCACCGGTACTGAGTTTCAATGCTCTGAGAAAATGACAAGTTAGCACGGAATATTCCATCAGAGGTGAAAAAAGAAACTCTCAATTACTGCTCACAACCCCCCCCCCCCCCCCCTCAAGCTATCTACCCTCTTCCCATCTGGTGAACCGTACACTCATCGGCCTGGTTGTCCCCCAGCATCCAGCGCACCTCCCCCTTACATTCTATACATCCCACATGCACGATAAGGTTGAGATAGGAGCATAGGGCCGTATTCAGAAAAAATGTCATTTGGTCCGTTGCTAACCATGGTAAAGTCCAACTCTGATGGACATAACAAAAGGGATAAAAAATATTTGGAGAACTGTCTGTTAGAAATCAATATGGAGCTTATGCATCATTTTGGGGTAAAAAAATATACGTAAAATAATGGTATAATTCCAAAGTTCAACAATATAAGTCTGGATATTGCTCATAAACAAATAAATGATATATTAGTCTATGCAGTACAGGCAATCAATTAGAGGCAAGAACGAGAAGACTCCAGCAACCTCAAGTTGTTGCACACCATATGAAATCGTCCGGTATCTTAGGATTTAATTCTATACAGCAAAGGTTGATATTATGAGGCGAAAAGATGATACAGATTTTTTTTGACTTGATCAATACAAAATAATTTATTTCGAAATCAAGCATGTTTAAAATTTGTATCATAAATAGTAATATATACATGTGAATAAAATAGTAACACTTACGTGAGCACATCATTCAAATGCCGTGAGAAGTGAACCATGAACGCTGAAATGAAGTCTGTTATTGTTTCCTATATGTCTTTACAGAAAACATGTCTTCGCTAACAAATGGTTGACCTCTTCTAGATACATCTGCTAGCTTATTATAGATCTCTGGCAGTGTCTTCCCAGAATTCACAATATTCCTCATTTCTGGAGGCCGAGGTCCTAAAATGTCTATATCAATACTTGCGCCATAAAGCTGACAAGATCTCATCACAGCATCATAAGCCTTTGCAGATAGACAGAGACCCTCGTTAAGGGCCCTCAAGTACATCTCATAGGCAACCCTCGGTTTTCCATCCCTTGATAATGCTTCAATCAGCATTTCATAAGTTATCTCATTTGGTATGATATTCCTAACTTTCATTCGGTGAAACCACTCAAAAGCAGCACTTCCTAAATTGTTTCTCGCACATCCACTAATAATCGCATTGAAAGTGACCACAGTTGGATCAATTCCTGATGAAGTCATGTCACGGATAACTGAATCCACCAGCTCAGTCCTTCCATTCCCAATGTAGATAGAAGCCAAGATAGTGTATGCATACAAATTCGGCTTGATTCCCATTTTACACATATGATCCCACACACGAAGGGCCTCATCATAAAGCTTACCCTTCTCAAGAGCACTCAGCAGTGCTCCATAAGAAACTATTGTGGGCTTCTCTCCGTAGTCAACCATCCTCCTAAATATCTGGACGGCTGCAGAAGTCTCTGATGCCTTTGAACATGCAACAAGAACAGCATTCCATTCTCTAGCTCCTGGTCTCAAGCCTTTGTCTTGCATCTTGTTGAGCAGCCTAAGTCCCCATCTCCAAATTCCTCTTTTCCTGGCAGCAGAGAGTAGAACGTTGAAATGAGAGATGATTAATTCATAGGATAAATTATTAGGTTTCGGTCCCTCATCTAGTAGATCTTCATATATCTCGAGTGCCGTCCACCATTTTTTTGCCTTCCCCATTAACCAAATAATATGGTTGCATACTGATAAACTTATTCCAGTTTCCAGGCTCCTTATCCTCCTATACAGCTCTCTAGCCACAACGTGATGGACGTCACTAGTACATGCCCACGCCAATTTCTCAAATTCTACTCGCCCTCCAGATAAGCCTGCCTTGTCCATATCTGCAAAAAGCTCAAGGATTCTGGAAGTCTGGTTATCTCCCTTAACAAGCCACTGTCGTATCACTTGGTAGCAGATGCGAACGGTAAAACTTTTTAACTTTACAAACTCAAACTCCCAGTCCTCGTTACTGGTTCTCGCAATTTCCCCTCTCTCATATTTGTTTCTCAATTCTGAAAAGAATACAATGGCACCACTGGCATCTCCAGTTTTCTGATAGGTCAGTAAGGCTGTTGAGTAGGTTGCAGGAGATGGAGAAATGCCCTTATCCTCCATGTGAGCTAGAACACTTCGAGCTTCAGCTTGCTTTCCTTGCTCTATGTAGATATACATCAAGGTATTGTAGGTTACAATGTTTGGCAGTATACCTTGTTCTGTCATGTCTGCCATTACTCTATCTGCTTGGACATACTCTCCTGACTGTCTCACAGCACCTAACAAGCTATTGTATATGATCACATTTGGAACAATCGCTCCGTTGCCTTCTCTCCTTTTCCTCTTAAGCCATTCAACAAGAGCAAAGGCAGCATCCAATTTCTTATCCATGCCAAAACCCTTGATCATAGATGAATAAACAGTAGGATGGATCTCTTCCAGTTTGCCAAGCACCTCCTCCACATCATCGGCTGTGATAGAGTCCCACAAACTCTGTGCCAATGCTCGGACATCCAATCTTGCCTTCCTGTCGCCAGTGTGTTCTCCTAGTCTTTCGTTCACACTATCTTCTTTCTCCTCCCGAGAAGAAGCAGTTTTCACATCATCCTCTTCACCAAAATTGACCACATCTTTCCCTACTTCGTTCACTTCGGAATAACAAACTGCGGCATTGTCCATTGTCACAGAATCCGGATTGGAACCTTGACTGTTGACGACACCCGCAGGAGCTTCTTCCTCCAACGCCCAAGACAAGGCGAAGGACGGACGGAAGGAACCCCTCCCATTCCCACAAAGAAGGAACAAGCTCAAGTTCGATCCACCGCCAAAAACCCTCTCCTTCGAAACACACAGCAAATGGACGCAGCCTCCACAGGATGGCTCGCAGATTTCCAACCTCGTCCTTGTCCTCCGCCGCTTCCCCAACGACGGACAAGGAACCATCTGAGAACATCCCACGGCGCTCCCCCCGACCGCCCCTCTCGGGTGGAACATGCTCAACGTCTGCATCCTCGGGGAATCAGGAGCAGCACAAGTCCATCACACAGAACTCCACACTCCTGCAACAACGACGACCGGAACAACAACACAGGGAGGGGGGCGAGCGAGGGAGGAGGAGCTGCTTCATTCGTACCTCCGTGGCCGAGGGGCCTCCATGTCTGGGGATTCCTCCACCTCTTTCCCACTCGTCCTCCGCCTTGGCTGATGCTGCGTTCTCAGCCACAGAAGAGAGAACTGGAGCGACCGGCAAGCTTGTCAGCCACCAGATTGCTTGGTGGGGACCCACCTCAAGAAACAAAATGCGCGTAGAAGGCCCAGCCCATTTTCGGGCGACATCGGCCCACCACGGCCCAGTGTTGGACAAGCATTTTTCATAAATTTTCTCACACGGGTGCAGCGAAAGGAATGAAGGTTTCACACGTGCGAATAAATGTTTGTCGACACTCTTTTTTTTTCTTCGTGTTCAAGTTTATTTAATGAATGTTTTTATGCAATAACAAATGATGTGATGACAGCTAATGGTAATAAACCGGCTTCAACAATGTCGCAAGCTTCTGTCCATTCGATCACCTCATTTAATTACTATATTTATTGGCATGATGATACGCGGAAATTTTTACGATAAAAAGAAATTCATAACCCGATGGCGCGATCATTATTGACGCGATAATGAAGTCATCTATTTACAGATGCCCGCCTCTTACTATAGAGGGCACGTTATTCTCACACCGCCCCAAAATTCTGCACCCGCGCCCCCTCCCACGACCTCCGCGTAGCTAATCACGAGTCCTCGTCCCTCCGCACGAAGCGGCCCTGAAAGAAATGGAGCCAACACGTGTGAGCAGCCGTATCACGTCAGATTCTTCCGGGTTCGGGTCGGTCAGGACTTACCTTGATTCGGGGACGCTTCTCGGCGTTGAGTTTGCGGACCTCGTATCGGATCCGCTTCTCGTACAGCCGCCGCCGCCGCTTCTCCTTGTATCGCATCACCCGCGCCACCCTGTCTTCCCGGAGCTCCACCGGCTTTTCCTCCCCGGCGGCGTCGCTGCCGCCGCCGTCGGGGACCGTCCAGAGGCCCGCTCCGCCGCCGCATCCCGCCACGTCGACGAACACCTGCAACAGAGGCACGATCGACCGTCAGAACTTTAACTATCCTGCAGCGCAAAGAAAGCGACGCTCGCACGTAGGATCCGCTCGTGCTCGAGCAACCGACAGAGTCGGACCCTTCTTTGCGGCCTTCCGACTGGTGGGGTATGGATGGACGGCTGTGATTTATTTCTGCTGGAGTATATGTGGCCCGTACGATGGTGGTCGGTGGATCTGAGCGGGAGCATTAAGGGAGCTGTCCCTAAATATCTTGAAGATATAGAAAAACACCCTGATGAGATATGTATTTCCGCCACAACCCTGGTTTAATATTCGGAAAATATTCCTCATTCTCCTGGGTGGCGAAATCGGACAAGAGGTAACTCGAAGTTATAATATAAAATTTAAAATATAGGAATATAGTGCTGGCGGAGAGGTCAACATCAGAGTCAACGACGGGGAGGCGACGAGGTGCGAGGGGCTCACCGCTGAATAATGGAGGGGGGCGGCGGTGTGGTGGAGATCAGGAACAACTTGGTGCGCCTCCTCCTCCACGTAGAGAGGGCTCTGGTCGGGCCAGGCGTTGAGAACCCTGTCGTAGTCGAGTTTAAGAGAGAGCCGCCGTGAGACACTGGACAATAGATCGGTGCCGCCGCCGCTGGCCACGTCGCCTTCCTCCTCCGCCGTGGCCCACCTCTCCCTCCCCCGCAGCGCCGCCCTCGCGAGCCCGCCGCCGTAGGAGGAAGAGCAGGCGGAGTAGTTGGCAGAGGAGGAGGAAGGGGACAGCGGGTCCTCCGACAGGGCCGAGGAGGACGAGTTGCCGCCGGCGGCAGCGGCGGCGGCGGAGGGGGAGCCGAGAAGGGAGTGGATGGTGACGGCGTCGTCGTTGGGGAAGAAGCGAGAGAGGTGGTCATCTTGGGGATCGTCAGGATGACCGGCGGTGGGATGAAGTGGAAAGAGATCCAGCTGCTGCTGCTGATGATCCGACGGAGACGGTGGCGGCCGCGTATCATCGCAGCTTGACGGCGTGGAAGATGCGGCGGCGGGCTTCATGGGCGGCGCCGCAGCGGAGGAAGCAGCTGCCAGGCGGCGGCGGAGGCTGAGGTACCGCGTTTTCCTCCTCCCCGACGACCTAGTTGTCATGAAGAGCAGAGAGAGAGAGAGAGAGCAGGAGGGGAAGAGGAAAGAGAAGGGAGAAGAGAGATGGGGAAGGAGAGAGAGAGAGAGGAGGGGGGAGGGGGGGAGGGAGAGGGTTCTTCTGTGGAACTGTTGTCGCTGAGTCCAGCAGGAAGGGGAGAGAGGTGGGCGGGGGAAAGATCAGACCAAAAAGCGACGATGGGGAGGACCTTTTAGGACGACGTGGCATCCACGTGGCACAAGATGATTCCGCGGAAACTCCTTATCCAGATTTCGCTCCACCCTCCCTCTCACGGTAAGGCCCTTGAAAGAACTCGGCCATTGAAAGAGCTCACGGGAAGCGGGAGGCCACGACAGCGGAGCCTGTCGGAGATCCCATCGTGGACGTTGGATTTCGATCCAACGGCTCGATCCGCCGGAATTAGGTTCTAATTCACTGCCGTCGCCGTCGCTCATCGTGCCACGCGTGTTGTCGCTTGCGGGGGCCCCACAATGAGTTTCATCTCCGCCATAACAGGCCAATCGCCGTCTGCCAGGTCAGAGATATTTTGTTTGGATCTTTTGGCTTCCATCCGCTGTACTGGGAGAGAACCACCACCTTAGTATACTCCGCCGCAGCCCTTCGATTTCTTTAATCGGCTCTCTCTCTCTCTCTCTCTCTTGGTCAAGATATAAATATTAATATCTATTACACCCTCCCTCTCACATATTTAAAAAATAATCATTCAACCAATAAAAGAGTGAGGAGTTACACCTCACCGCACCAGAAACATCAAAGAGGCCCACCACTCCGGTTTAGGTGTGCACAATAATAAATGGGCTAATTGGGCCAATACGATGTAGACCTTGGCAATAGGGTTTTTCCACTTTTGGTCATATACGGTTTTGCACCAACTGATGCACTTACCAGACATATACATTGCAGTAAAATCAAGTAAGATATTGCATCATTAGGTTACACTGTCTCTTATTAGCTTAGTTTCTACCAGATGAACATCAAGACTTTAGTTACCCTCAACTAGATAAAAAATTGTCCTAGTTGTCCAAAATGATTCTTAAAATACTACTGCCTTTTAGAGCCTCGATACATTTGCTGTTGGCAAAATTCTTAGAATGGCAAAACGGGAATTCGTATAAGAATTATATCAATATAATTTCAAAATACTATCATTATAGAAGTCATTTTAAATAAGAAATGACCTCAACTTGTCATACCATCCTTTATCATGTTGTTTAAGGCTATAAAAAGCTTTTCTAAATCCAAATACAATGTTTGGGATTTTAGGGTTTTTAAAAATAGGTGGCATAGTCCAATACATTATTAGGGTTCTTTGCATATCCTCAAAGATATTCTTACGATTGCTAATAATTTTGAATTGCATGACATATCTGACTTTAAAAATAATTCTTGTCTTTTCTCTTTTCTCTATGGATTCAATGGTTGTTGGGTCCACTCACTCAGTTGACTCACTTATGTCAACTCATGCTCGATCTGCATGAGGCATGAGTTGGTTCACCTATCCTTTTGTGTGATTTCTCACTGAAAAACTATTTTATTTTGTTCCAAATTCAATTTTCTTCATTTGGACCTCCTCCTTGATAAATCTTTATGTATTTATACATGGAAAACATGGTAAAAATGAGTAGGCTAGATTTAGTATAATTTAGATTGACTAACCATAAATACAACATGAACAATTTTTCTTTTAAAAAAATTATTATCATCAAAATATTTCAAAAACATAAAATTCAATTGACTAACTCATGTTGAGTATTAAATATCATGTTTAGAATTTCAAAAAATATATATTTCTATGTAATGTCTATATTATTTCCATCATCTATAAAAATACCATCTATCTATTCATTGTTCATCATGGGCCCACACATTGTGAGCTTTTTCTTGAAAGAATAACTTGAAATAAATTATAATATGCTCCTAGATGAATGGTCAAAGGGATAAGGTCCTTCATTAAATCATCCACTATGGATGATTAATGGGATAACAAGTTCATAGATGCCCTAGAGCCAACTGAAGGTAACTCAAGCTTATGTTGTTAATCTTTATTTTAAGATAGAAATCTTATGATGGTGATTGGACTACATAAGATTTGATCAAGCCACAGAAAAGATGTCAAATCATAATACCTTTTTCCATAAAAGTACTATTATTAACTAAAAACATTTATATAAAGTATTTGATATGATATTGTGATGTGACCCTACTATTAACCTATAAGATGAGAAGGTTTTAGAGAGGGCAACTAGGTGTAGAATTTTGGAAACGTATGGGACATTAGGGGTTCCTTTGGTAATGTTGTTAGTGGGCACATTTTTGGGTGACCTAGAAGTGGAGAGGTGAAGAGACCTCTTCAACCATCTCCCTATAGGTGAACTAATTTTATTGCAGATTTAATTATTTCTATATCTTCTACCTAATTTCTGTCCCCCCCCCCTTTTTTTTTCTCTATTCGCCTCAATCTTAGTGGGATTATATCACATTTTTAGTGTAATATGCTCAATGATAAAAATCTCAAAAATGGCATGATCAAACTCTTAGGTGGTATTGCACTTTTCCCTCTATTTTGAAATAACAATTGTTACAAACCACATATTAGCATTAGACTTGAGATTAGGGGAAAGCAACTAAAGCAACCTGAGAGAAAGTTTGTTATTATAAGTGCATGTAATTTTTCCCTAATAAAGTCACCCCAACATCATTATACAAGGAGGGGAGGGGAGGTTGTTACAAGAGTGACAATTTCTTTCTAAAAAATGAAGAACAAGGACTTGTGCTATTGTGAAGGTAGTAAGATTCTCCAAACCACATAAATCTAATCTGCTACTTTTGTGCTTGTGTTCTCTATCTATGATGTACATATCTTTACATTGTGCAAGGGGGAACACTCATCTCCTAACATAGGCTTCCTAAGGCCTTCATGTTTAATGAAGGTTACTTGATGCCACCAGAGGATAGTGTCCTTAAAAAAAGAACTAGGCTGATTTTGACTGAAGCACTATAAAAATATGGATGATTGGAATTAATAATAATGTATTATTTGAAGAAAAATAAACTATACAAATGACTAATTCAATTCTACTTGAATGATAGTGTTGCCCAAATCAGAACATTAGTTGTTATATATTGACATATGACCCAACTTGCTGGAGATCTTTTGCCATATTTTAAACTATTAAGAGATGTGTAATGCCATATCTCTAAGAGGGTCTTCTTTTTTCTCTCCTAAGATATTGACACACTTTCTCTCTCCTCAACTTTTATTTTTGAAATCTTATTATTTTATGCCAAAAAAATCTTATTCTAATATATAGTTTATTGATGATTCTTTTTAGTGCATTGTGGTTGAAAAATAGAATCAATAACAAATTGACAATATCTTATAATCTAGATCCTTAAAAATTAATGTAAGAATATCATATTCATGAACATTTTACTTTTTATTTTGATGACTATTTGTATACATTAAAATCTTTAAACCAACACAATCTTGACATACTATGTTATCATCATATTTATGTGCTACTATTTATTCACAATATATTTATTATGTTTAAAATATTTCTTTACTATATTATTGTCATACATATACATTGTCTATGATTGGCTCTCGTGATAATAGATCCAGGCTGCAAGCTTAGCAACTCTTTCCATTGAGCACCATAATCAATTTAAGGAACTTAGCTACCTCACCTTGATTATACTGGCTGTCCTGATTATGTATTTAGTGGTCTTCCATATCTATGGAAGACAAGGTACCTTCCAACCATAGCTTTCTCCATGGAGAGAGAATCAGCTCAAGTATTTCCTCAACACAAATAGTTAGGCCTACTCACCCCTCTAAACAGCTTTAGCCATCCTTCAATCCTTCACAAATGGTATTAGTTAGGATGCTAAGTGGGCAGCTCATGGTCCCAAGTTTGGAAGTACTTGGTAAGGTGGAGCTTTGTGAATAATCAAATGGGCAATTGAAGAGTTAACTATGCAATTAGGTCAATCACGTGAAAGTATTGTTCTGCCTTGTGTCAATATTTTACTAGGTAATGTTTTACTATCATACTAATTTGGTTCAAACATCAAACTAGGGCCTTCAATTGGAAGGAAACAATCCAATGGGCCCAACTACCAAGTATAAAATACCTTGAAAAGCACGACCATACTCTCTTGGTCCTAAAGGTAAGCTTTTTGATAAAGACTGAATATCATCTTTGATAACCCTGTGCCCAGCTAGACCAAGAACGTCCAATACTCGTCTCATTCCCATGTAAGTGAGATAGAAGACATTGTAGCCCCACCTTGCTACGTTCATGACAAACTCTAACTCTCATCATCCCACACCTGTGGTTGACCACCATTGACCTGTTTGACTATGAACCTGTTAGCGTTGACCATCAGCCCATTTGGCGAGCCAAAAACCGGTTGGGGGTATTATGGGCACAACACAGGAGTATCACGTAGCCTTGGGAATTACCCCTTTTAAGGAAACCGAAACCAGGATGCTGAAGGGTGGATACCCAAGAAGGACTCGTTGGGATGACGACAGACCGGCGGGGCCCAGCGACGCCGTGTCGGTGCAGTCACGGAGATGCATGTTCTACGTGTGTCGGCGGCACTCGGACGGAATCGGATGCTTCTGGACGAAAGCTGAGGAAGAAGACTCGATACCATTTTTTGATGGGCAAAAGGGAAGCGTACTTGTTAATAAAAACCATTTTTTTATGGACAAAATGGAAGGGTAGTAGTTAATAAACCGAGGGACTCAAATGCTCTCACGTTTAACTACTGAGCATCGGCTTTGGACCGCTTGAGACGGCGGATGTTGTACAACACCAGAGTCACTGTCACTCCATTCCGACGACGAATTACTGCTAGAGAGAGAGAGAAAGACCTTTGACGGCTTTCCAGCGCCCGAAAAGATGCATGTTCTCTCTCTCTCTCTCTCTCTCAACAAACCACTCATCTGAAAACGACAGTGAGCGGGGTCGGTTTTCTGTTGTCTATTGGGTTAAGAAGAGGGAGGAACCCACTCCCTGCGTTCGTCGGTTGATAGAGGAGGAAAAGAAAAGTGTGGTGCTCCCTTTTTCTCTTTCCTTTCCACTTCGTCCTCTGATAGTTGTGTAGGCCGGGGAGATTGTAAAAAACTGCATCCTCTGGAATTGTTGTTTCTGGTGGTGGTAGGGAGAGAGAACAGAAGGCAGACTTCCATCATCTGGCGCTGCAGCGGTGGGATTTTCTGGTGTCGTTCGTCTGCGGAGACGATGGAACCGCCCACGGGGTTGTGGGCTTCCCTCTGGAGCTTCGCCTGCTTCCTGCCCTTCTTCGTTGGACTCCTACTGTTGGGCATATTCAAGGGTAAGGACAATTCTCTCTCCCCTCTCACTCATTCTTCTCTGAGCTTATTCTGAAGTCGGCTGGGTTTTGAGTTGTTCTGTCTTCCCCCCAGAATCTGCTTTTATACCTGACCAATTGCCTCCTATTATCGGAGAACAGAGCCATCATTTATTTTCCGGCTAATGTCATCACATTAATTTGTTCAGACGATGGAGATGGCGAAATTAGGCCTTCCATATTCTTAGCCTCTGTGCACTTGATCAGTGTAAATTTTTATCTCATCCTTATTACTCATAGAACCTGAGATCAGGTTTCATTGTTTATATGCCAAGTTCAGTGAAACAAATCAGAAATTCTCTGCTGCAACCTCCTAGTGGTTGTCCAAACACAGTTTCTAAGCATAGAAATCTTACTGGATTAACCTACTGCAGGTGCCCTCTTTTGCCCATTAATCTGCGTCACAATGGCCGCTGGAAACTCTGCCGTCATCCTGGGACTTTGGCCAGCACATGCATTCTGGACATATTATTCTATTGCAAGGTGCTTTCTTCGTCCCTAGTTTCAGATGAGTTCCAATCTCTCTGCTTCTTGTTGATGGTATTTCCTTCGCCATTTCTGTTTGGTTCCATCAAGCCAGAAGCAAACAGCTGGGACCGGTTCTAAAGATCATTCTCTGCATTGGCGTGACTTTCCTTCTCATTCTGTGGCCATTGGTGGGCATTGTTGGGAGTATAGTGGGTGGTGCAGGATATGGGTTTTTCGCGCCTCTGATGGCTACATTCGAAGCTGTAGGAGAGGGGCGGAGTGATAAGTTCACCCATTGTATCACGGTATGCCTGCTAACTCAACTGCTGGCTTTCTTCTTTTTCAAAAGTTGTATTTTAATGATGAATTTTGATTGTTTTCCCTATTTGATCTGCCCACATTTTGATTGTAGGATGGAACATGGACGACAGTGAAAGGAAGCTTCACTGTGGTGAGGGATCTTACAGATGTATGCTTCCATTCCTATTTCTCTATCATGGATGATGTTCGCCTTTGTTCTCCTCCGAAGGGGCAGCGCTATGAAATTAGGTTTGCTCTAATCCTTTATTGTTCATTTTAGAGGAAATCAGGTTGTCCCAAGGCACATTGTGATCGAAAAAGATAGAATTGAAGAGCTTGCATTGATGCGAAAATTCAAAGTAAGATAAATAACATTTGTACCCTCCCAACCAGGAGTATAATTGACCTGAGCAGCAAAGCATACTAAATGGCTAATATATCGATATTTTTTTACATATAATTTTGTTTCCTACGTGCAGAAATTTAATGTTATTTATGGATGAATTACTTTGGATGACAGTGAAGATGTTAACTCTTTTTCCTTTTTTTAACTGAAAGCATGGTTCTCAGACGAGGAACGAATTACACCTGTTCTAATGTCACTACTGGATGGAAATAAAATATAAACATCGAATTTGAGGGATCACTATGAAACAGCATGGAATCAGGAGGACCTACAGAAAATTGTCAGAATGGGCTTTTTCGATATTTTATTTTCTCATTTATTTTAATTATCTGCATTTTGATAAAATCGATTGAAGAACTTACAGGTTTAAAATTTCCTTGACTCCTTGATCCAGAGAAGCCATTTAAAATTCTTGGATCTTTAAGATCATATATTTCGGTAAGGGAAGGGAAAAAATCCCTCATCCACGCCTCAAATTTTGTGTTGGTTCTCACTCCAAAAACTCGGAATCTTTGGAAGCCGATGTTTCATTTTGAAATTTTTTATTAGACCCAGTGAGCCATAGCATAGAGAAAACACTAGGAGTTCACTGATGAGACGAGTTCCCCAGGTTGTGCATTATTTTCGAGAAGCCGCATCCCATCTCTTACACTGCTGGATCTGTGAAACCCTTGGAATTGCCTAAGAAATCAAGTTTAGAAATCTTGGACGCCTCTTCCAGGGCATTTTTTGGTTTTGGTGGTAATCACAAAAGACGGTAGTACTAAGCCTTAGGGCATAAATTATATGAAAAATAATGTTTCCTCTGCTTTTACTGTGGTAATTTACTAGATCTATTAGAGTACCAACTTGACATGAAGAAAAGAGCGAAACCTTTGTCATTGTGGCTAGGTTGCATCAAGCATGTACGTTTGATATTGAGACATTCGCTCCCACTTACTTAGAAAAAGGGCATTATTTTTCTGCAAAAAGTAGGCTCACATGTACCATCTACACTGGTTTCTTGTGAATGAGAAATAGCTCACATGTGCACAGTAGTCAGACCCAAAGAATCTTTCAGTAAGAATTCTGTGTATTGCGGCCTTGGCTTGATATAATCCCCCGCTATCTTATCACAACTTCATAGGTAAGGAGGAAATATTGCCGAACAGCCCAGCCTATGATTCTCACTGGAAAAGAAAAATTAATATAGTTCCCCACAGATGTCAAAAAGGAAAATGTCTTCTGGTAATTAATATTCGAAAAGGTAAAACAGCCTATGATCAACATCTCCTTTGAACCATGGAGGTTGGCACCCGTGTAGGCGGGAATGATATTTTTTTCCCTTTTTCCCTTCTCAATAAGTGGATTTACAGTTATTTTGATCTTTCTCCTCCCTGCTCCCGCTCTCTACTCTCATGTATTTGGAAACCCCTGCGATCAGGCAGCTCCAGGCCCACTTTTGGAAACCTTCTCTAGCAGTCAATGCAAAAGGCAATACCCAATGGCTCTAGGATGTTTATCATATTTTAATGATGCAAATGACCACTTGTGGAATATTCACGAGCAGTCCGATTTTTAAAATGGCACATAAGTTTAGCATGTTTTGAAAAGTTGATAACTTTGACTTGTTTTTATGGCATTTTTTATGAACGAGGAGTTCACAGGGAGTTATTACAGCTTTACAGAAGCCAAGAGTAATCAATGGGCACATATATAAAAAGATTTGTGTTCCATGGCTTATGTGCTCGATCATTGAGTTGATAGTGATGAACACATTTGACAATGTTGGGAGAAATTTCTTCGATGTGCAGTACATTTTTTGTACTATTCCCCTTATCATTATTTCCCCCTTTTAAACTATAAAAAGAACATTTTTTTACTTTAATTGGCGGCGAATAAAATTCGCTGAACGTTGGATTCCTAAAGAATTTTCCAGAATATGTGGACTATTCTTTATTGATGTCATTCTTAGTTTCGTTCCATATTTATAGGCATATTGATTTGTTTGTATTAGTAAGTCCTTAAGTCATCACCAAGTTCATTATTATGTTCTGCACATATTACTTGGGTGACTGACATCTTGTTTTCTTCCACCGGACAGTCTTCTATATCTGATGGGCTCTCTTCTAGTTGGCTTGGCTGGGATCATGGTTGACTTTTTTGTGATCTCATTAACTGCCTTGTGCAAGTGCCCGTGCATGCTTATCAAAGGATGGGAAAGGCTTATTCACGATCTCATAGGGAGAGAAGGGCCATTTCTTGAGACTGCATGTGTGCCATTCGCCGGTCTTGCCATCATCTTGTGGCCGGCTGCAGTTATCGGAGCGGTCGTAGCTTCCATACTCTCGAGCTTCTTTTTGGGTGGATATGCAGCTGTCGTCGCCTACCAGGTTCGTTCTGCTTTTGCCTGTCGGCAAATATATGTTTCCTCTCTTTCTTCAGAGCCCCAATTGCTTTGGTTTCTGGCATAATAGCAACAATGAGTGTTGATTTCCTATTTCTGTTTTCCTGTTTCTGTCCGTCGACTTTGATGATGAAGTCAACCTTCCAACCTAATCCTTCCCCCTTATTTTCCCCTAAAAAAATGGAAGAATGAGTCAATGATTTTCTAATCTTTGCATATGCTACAAGGTGGGTATTGGTTATTTGATTATATTTTATTCGTTTCATAAGGATGATTAGAAATTGGATCATGGGTCCTTTGAGTAGGGATTTGATGCGACTAGCAAAGAGAGAAGACCCTTCTCTGGCATTCACCTTTGGAAAAAGAGGAATTAAGGAATGTCCCATCCTCCTCCCTTCTTACTGAATGAAATCTGGCGATACCCACTTAGCGCCCTGCTGTGATTTGTGGGGGAGACACCCTTGGCCTTAAAGTCATCCAAACGGACGAGCTCGTTGCCACTTCATTGATTTTTTTTTCTTTTCTTTTTCTCCTTGACTCATCTTTGGCCAAGCGGGCCCAACCCAACCAAATCTCAGAGTCTTTTGTTCCTGGAATACACAGTTTACCCATCCATAATCTCAGAGCCTTAGCTTTTATCAAGCATCTACCTGCTTTCCAAGATGCCATATCACTGTTCCCATCTTCTGCCATGCTGGGTCTGTAACACCTCATGCCATGAAGTGCCGACATCCTGACCTTAAATGGGCATGCTTTGTAAGGGGGACGCCATCTTTGGTTGAATGGCTGTAGACGATATGAAATGCCCTTACTGTGAGGATATGATGATGATGATAACAACGATGGGCAGGAGCGATCGGTTCGCATGGGCCTGCGGTACATCGTATCTTCATTGGCCATGTATGACGAGTACAGCAATGACATCCTTGACCTGCGCGAAGGATCATGCTTTCCTAGGTACCTCGAGTCGTCTATCCTCTTCTTCTTCTTCTTCTTCTTCTTCTTCTTCTTCTTCTTATGGAAAAATTGCAGGCTCGGGTATCGGAAGGATGGACCACACCTTCCTTCTCACTCTCTCTCTAGACGCAGCACCTCCTTACCGACGGAACGGCAAGGCACGAGAGGTCCCCCTTCACGGTCCGTCTCGTTCAAGAATTCCGTCCTCGAATTGAACCCACTTAAGGTACGTACATCTTTGACCCATCGGTCATTCAGGTGAGCGAGAACGCTCGGTGATTTGAGAATAAGAAAGCCACGAGCTTGTTTCTTGTGTGTCTGTGTGTGTGAGACAGGGAGAGAGAGTCACAAGCGTTTTTTTTTTCTGCCCATCATCGAATAGCTGCTTGAGCACCTCTTCGCGGAGTGCGAGCGCTACGGTCAGACTCTCGTCGCGGAAGGAGTGATCACATCTGAGGACGTCCAAGACTCCAAGTCTGGTAAATCCGGCGGCGGTACGGTGCGCGTGGGCCTGCCTGCCTACGCCATCTTGCAGGCCCTCCTTCGCTCCGCCAACGTCGACGCCGACGGCATACTCCTGAGTGAGTCAGTGAATCGCTGGATTTCGTCCTTTCGGGTACAACGGCTTGGAGATAACGACCCTAAGAAGCTCGGTCTCTCACTCGCTCTCTTTCTGTTTCTGTGTGGCGTTGGCAGGTGACGGCACGGAGATAACCACGGCGAACAAGCCCAAAGACACGTTCTTCGACTGGTTCTTCGACCCGCTGCTGATCATGAAGCAGCAGATCCATGCGGAGAACCTCACCGACGATGAAGAGGAGTACCTCTGCAAGCTCGTCCTCCTCGCCAGTGACTCCCTCCGCGTGAAGCAGCTCAACGCCCGTTCCCCCGCCGCCCACGGATGCCGCCGGGCCGAGCTCGACGCGGTTGCCCGCAGGTACAACAAGCACAGCATAAGCCTCTCTCTTCTTCTTGTTCTGTCTCGAGCTTACCGTGGTTGGTTGCCGTGTTTTGTTTGTAGGTTGCAGGGCATCACGAAGTCGATCTCGAGGTACCCGACGTACAGGCGGCAGTTCGACGGTCTGGTGAAGTCTCTCTCGGATAAGCTCGAAGGCAGCATGAACGGGCCGCTGGCCCGGGCTGGGACTAGCCCGGCCGTTTAGCGATGGGGCCCGCCAGGCCGTGGAGAAGAGCTACGACGCGAATGGCGTCTGACGGGTGTGGCCCATCCATTTCTCCAGAAAGTCTCAGTCGCAGGATTTGATCCCGACGGTCAGCAATGTGACAGTACGGAGAACCGGGCGGAAAGCCAATCGGCCCGATAAGACTCTAATGGGCTTGGTACAGAGCAGAAGGAGAGGAATCCCATAGAATCTTCAAAAAGAAAGTTAAAAGGCTTCAAAAGGAAAACAAAAAAGAAATAAAAGAGGGCACAGGGAAGGTACCACACCAAAATTTGCCGTCTCCTAGGACTTCAGTTAATGTGATGGGTTGCTGATGGTCATAGCCGCCCGCCCAGCTCCTCATTTATAAGCGAGATGCGGATTTTAAGGCAGCACACCCTGAAAACCAGAAATTTTTTATAAAAAAAAAAGGCTCTTAGGATTCCGAGGAGCTAGTTTGAGAGGTAGGCTAGCAACCGGAACAGAGTCGATTGTTTGGGGATAAGTCACGGGTGAACCCTGATTTCAAGAGACTTCCATGAAGCCTTTGTTTGGAAAAATAAAACCATTTTATTCGGCTGTATCGCATCACTTCAAGAAACAGAATGAACTTTATACTGCCATTGGGAACAAGTTGAACCAAACTGGTGAATACATCAGCCGATTCTACCTTTTTAGGGATGCAAAAACTTTTGAAAAAATAATATTTAATTAATTTGATGCATTGCTCCTCGATCCCAATCTAATTTTGAGATGTCAACCTATTAACACCGTGCATATGACATCGAGAGGAGCATTTTTATGAAGTCATACGCCTTTGAAAGAAATATAGGAATGCCCTACGAATATGGTTTTTCCCTGAGCCTACCAGATTCCTATATCAAAGCAGAGCAGCTTCCTCATGGTTTTCTTTTCTTTTATTTCAAGCGTCCTGGTAGAAAATTGGTGTTTCCAATGGCAGCTTCTGCTGGTTTTTTTTTTTTTTTTTTTTTTTTCTAAAAGAGGAAGAAAGATAACTCTCAGTGACATGTCTCTCCATCTCCCCCCCCTTCCTCCTCTCTACCAAACCCTAAAATTTGGCACTAAAAAAACCACTTTTAGTTATATTTAATTGATTCTTTCTTGGAGGTAAATATCAACCGACGGTAAAAAATATGTCATGTGCAAATAAATTGAATGCAGAGCTGTCATAACATCTATTTGTGGCAACCAAATCACCCGGAACATACAAATTTAAGTCATGCCATGAAGGATTATGTGGTATGATAAAGGAAACTCCAAAGTATTGGTATCCATTTTTTTTAAGCTAACGGCATCAACACCTTCTATTTGCTTATCAATGCAAATGAAATAAATTTAATGTTTCATACCCATATGTGGAGCTCATTAATAAAAACATCCATCTTTGTCACCACAGAACAGTTCTTCCACATTTAATAATCCTCAGAAAATCATAGAAGAATACTCAAATCAGTACGAGTTTATAGACGTGACAGAAAAATACAGAAAACTTTAAATCTGACTCCTGGGATATCTTTTTCAGGGTATCCACCACCATGAAGAGTGCACATTCAGGTGGAAAATAAAGAATTAGAGTGCCGTGAACTTGCATGTGAGCATGACGTTATACTTGCGATTTTGAAACGGAGGCTTGCAAATGACATGAATGCATATAGAAATCACCAAAAAATCGTTTGCAGTGACAGAGGTAGCATGATACCCAGAAAATTTTGTTTCTTCAATGTTTATGCTGATTTGAAGTTTCTATTTTAAATATTTTATATGGATTCGGGCAGACACCCCTTTTCATCGGAAAGAATAATCTAGTAGATATGAAAATTATCATCATTGCGAATCAAGGGATTTAAAGCCGCATGAGGATGAAGTTCGGATTACCTAGGGAGCTAGGCTCCTGGTTCTAATGCATTTTCCGGTGAAACCTCTTCCAGATCAGCTGATGCTTGTGTTGTGTGAGATACAGCCTTGTTATTGATAACTCCATTACTCTCTGCAGGTTTATCTGCCAAACGAGAGCCCAAAACATGACAGAAAATATCATCTGCTGGTTTCAAAAAAACCTCTGGGTTAGCCTTCTTCAGAACTTTCTCCGCCCTACGTTTAGGTACTTTTCTAACAGCAACACGAAAACGCCTGGTATCATTGATGTCCTCTTCTGTGTTGTCATCCGGTGTGACTAAACCAGGATTCATTTCGCTACCGAAGTCCTCATCCAAATCATGAGTCTGATAATGACTAACAGGATCACTGCTTTGCAGGTCATCCACTGGTGTCTTTGCTTCAGCACGATGCTTCTGTCTTTTCAATTTCGTGTCTGGAGATTGGTCGTTATTTTCGCATATTTGGTGATCCTGTGAGCTTTCAAGAGATGTCGGATGGGAATAAGAAAAAGTGTCACTGGGCGCATCTCCAGTTGTTTGCTTGCGTGATTTTTTTTGTTTCTTTGCTACCAGGTATCTTGGTTGCATGGCACAATCAACGGCATCACTTTCTTCTGTTTTCCTTTTGTGGCTCTCCGTTCTGGTCTGTCCATCTTCATTGTTAATAATCCCCTCGGTCTCCCTTGGACAAAACGCTTCATAAAAGTTGATTATCCCACCATCAGAGCTTAAAATGCCTGTATCTTTGTCAGATTTCTCTGAATCAATTACAGGGACGACAATACGAGGAACATTTTCCTGAGAGGACTTTATACTAGACTGTTTGATTTTTGATGATTTTTTTTCTCTGCGGCCAGAGTTTTCACATATATCTTCTCTGGACTTTTCTGCTTTTGTAGCATGTTCATGAACATTTTCTGCTGAATAAAGAGTTTTATCATCTCCTGAGTTTACCAGCTTTTTTCTGCCCCGATTTGAGTTTGTAATACCATTAGTATTAGGAACTTCAGGCACAATATCAGCAGCATTTCCAAGGCCGGGAGTTTCTTCAGAAACAATGCCTCCATTAGGCTCCATACATAGGTTTTCAAGGTCATATGCTGGTTCATCTCCTGGATTTTTGGAACTCGCTAATTTTATAGGGAAATCCTTAATGTCATGTGCACCAGTGTCATGGTTGGAAAGATCACCTTCTGTTGGTTGCTTCTTGAACTTACGTTTGCTTCTTTTACCATCCTTAGAAGGATCTTCATAATTTGCATCCACATGATTTCCACTTGTTGAATTCGCGGTAGTATTTTCCATGGATGGTTTTTCAACAACATTTGCACGAAGATCAGGATCCGCAGTACTCAAAGTCTTCTCAAGGGTGTCCTCAATGAATTCTTTTGATGGTCCTATCCCAAAAATCGATTCCTTGTTGGTGTCAGTTGCATAGGGACCCATGGCAGCATCGCCTTCAATGTAACACTCAGTAGACTCGCCTTTCCTCCTCTTCTTCCTCTTCTTCCTTTCATGGAGAACAAGTGGTGACGATGGCCTATCATTTAATATCTGACTACGACCTCCACCTGATGTATCAATATTTTCTCTGATGAAATCATTGGAAAGTTTATCCCCTAGTATGTTTTTGTACCCATTCGCTTTCGGATGTTCTTCACCATTGTCCTTGCATGAGTCGGCATTTTTTTTTTCACGCTCTTCATCATGTCTTCTCTTACCAGAAGAAGGTTTCAGTGAGTGCCCATCTCTAGAATTTTTAGCATCATCATTAGGAACATCACCAATAATAGAGCCGCCATTCTTGACATCTATCTTTGGTTGATCAACCAAAATCTCTCTTTCGATCTGAATGTCTGAGTGAGGCATTCTATTTTCCTCAGAGAACGGATTACGCTTTTCTGGGTCATTAGCATCTATATTTATACTATCAACCAAGTTTTTAGAATCACCCAAAGAATCTATAGCTCCAGACTTATTTCTTGATGCTTTGACATGCGTGTCACTAACATGGAGCTGAACAGTGGAGGCAATCTGCAATCTTGGAGATCGGTTGTTACCTGTAACACGTGGATTTTGACGAACCAACGAGAGCATTAGTAGGTGAATCAGGTTGAGTACGACTTAACTTCAGAAGTGAATCAGTTTTACCCAAAGCATTAGCAGGTGAGGAAGACATGGTCCCAAACTCAGTCCTGTTTGCAGTGTCTCCAGGTAGACCACAATCACCAGCAGTAGGACTCACATCCATATGAAGAAACCAGGTCCCTTTGATCCCATCAAAAGCCGTTCTGGCAAGCATAGAATCTGACAAGTGGTAGTATGCAGACCTCCGCATCACCTGTGGTTGACAAGCACATTTCTCAAACCGCTTCAGATGAGGCGAAAGAGAAAAATAAAAAATAAAAGAAACAGCGTTCGCGAATAAGAAATATCTATTTCCAACAGGTTGGACTCTGAAGCAAAAACATTTTCCGCCTTTGCTCTTCGGGAGGTTATTACCTTCAATGCTACAATATTGATGTCCCCTATATTAGGGAAGCAGAAGACATGCTCGATCCTCGCTTTCCCTGAAAAAATATAATCCAGTTGAAGTCAGCTTCTGAAGAAGACTAAAGACATGGAAAGCACACGTGCTAGAGATAAAAATAGATAAAAGATAATCACACGAAGACGCAAGATAAAATATAGTGCGAAGAAGAGAACGTCCATCATTGAGACATGATTGAGAAAATATCAAAAACTGATGAGATAAAGTAGGGGAGTGTTTCTAGATTCGCTCTCACATAAACACTGTGCACCTAACATACGATAAGGATGGGGTGTTTGACATCGGAAATGACATCATCAGAACCACAACAGGATTTGTTCAAGAAACGGAGATCAAAACATGAGATAAAGTGAACGCATGCGGAAGAAAATAAACTATAGAGTGAGAGAGAGAGAGAGGTCAGAAAGTTTACTCTTGAGGTCGGCAACGGTGTCGCGGAGAGAGACGGTCAAGGCAATGTGAGTGTCGATGTTCGTATCGATGAATACCGGCAGAGCAGCAGCCTGCAAGGACGATCCCCCATCTGCGGCGGGGTCGAGAGAGCTCCGCCTCGCCATGGAGACGACTGGCCCCTCAAGCGGCACAGCAACGGCAACCCGGAGAAGAGGGAAAACGTCTAGCTCTTATATTTATACGTACTTCGGCCGCCGTATCGCCGACGACGCAGGCGGAGCCGGCCTGACTTGGGCCCAGCCCACATCTGTCGGGGAGCGGACCAGAATCTCCAAGTAGGCTCAGAAATCTGACCGGGATCTGACCGGGATATGACCGGAATCTCGAATTATGCTCTGAAATATGACCGGGAGCGGACCGGAATCTTTTTCAATTAATTTTAAATCTTACCCTAGTTATGTGTGCCAGTATACGCTGGTATATGGGCTCCAATGTGAGATAAATATACGTGGCTGGTAAGTGGGGAGGAGAATTAGTCTCATATCCTCAAAAACAAGTCAACTTATTGATTGTCTTTCAATTTTTCTAAATTTCTTTATTGGACTTCTCTCTTTACTTCCATCGGCCTATCCTAAGGGTGGAGCAAACAGGACTAGGTTGGCTAGAAAAGGACAATGGCCTCTCTCTCTCTCTCTCTCTCTCTCTCTCTCTCTCTCTCTCTCTCTCTCTCCCTCTCTCCCTCTCTCTCACGTATATATATATATATATATATTATCGGTAGTGGTGGTGCAATTTTTGCAACATCCAAGAAACTTCATCACAAGTAATTGCTTGTATGCATCAAAAAATATTAGCAATATGAATGTTTAGAATGCAAATCATTTTGAGTGTGTGGGGGAGGTTCCATATTTGTGGCCACTTGGCCCACTCGAAATGTTGGCCTATTGCTGTAAACAAGCTAATTTCATCCTAAAGAGCTAGCCCCTAATTTGACATATTATTGGACATAAAGTTTGTCCTATTTTCAAGGATTTCTATGAAGTGAAATCTTGAACCTTGGTGAATAATATAATATTAGTAGGAAATGTGAAAGTCCTTCAAGACCATGGTGTTTTCAAGGCACTAAATAAGTTCAAAAAAATAAGAAGGAATCAGTGAGAAAATACATATTCATTAAAGATAGTAAATGTCAAGGGAGATTAATTTATTATGTTATCCTCTCTAATCAAAATAAGATTCATATGTTGCATCAATTCAAATAAAAAAAATATTATGTAAATAAATAAAATAAAAAATTGAAAGCAATGGTTGGAGAAATTGAAAAAATTATATAAAAAATAAATCAAAAAAGAATAAAAAGAAGAAGAGGAAGAAGAAGATGATGATGATGATGATGAACATGGTGATGATGATGATGATGATGATGATGATGGTTGTGGTTGTGGTTTTGGTACATTATGAGTGATTGTTTAGGTGTATTGAAAATATTAGTTGGCTTGCATACCATTGAATGTTTAAAATGCAAAGAGTTGCGAGTGAGTGTGGCCCTATATTTGTGACTGCCCGGCCCACTCCAAATGTTGGTTCATAATGGCAACAGCTAATTTTGTCCTAGAGAAGTAGCCCTTAATTCCACTAATCATGCATAAATTTTGAATTTTTATAAGAACTTCTGTTAGGCATAATTATACAAACGGGTATTCTTCAAGCCCAACTCTATCTTATCTATACCTTTTTTGTATGCAATGGCTCTCACGAATAGGTTGACTCTCTCTCTCTCTCACACACCCTCTCTCACCCTCTCTCACTTGCTCTCTCTCTCTCTGTGACTATTGTGTGTGAGGATCACCTTACATTTTTTCCAATTTCGTTCAGCCTTGGTTGGTTATGATGGTACTAAGTTTATTCCTTAAATTTCTCTATCTTGATTCATTGATGGGTGTATGTATATTTTTTCTTCTTTTCTTTTCTTTTTTTAATTTGTTCATCAATTAATCTGAGGTTTTTTTATTCCTATTAGGCCAAAAGACTCAGTGGTGTAAGAAAAAAGATGGAAGAGTTTCTTGTTAAAATTAATCTCAATGTGGACAATGTTATATATGAATTATAAATTATGAGGTTATCATTGAATTAATCTCACTAGAAGTGATTCATTAGAGTTTAGATAATTAGGATTACAACCTCTCTCATAAATATGAATATAGATATAAATATGTGTAGAGATCAAATCTTATTCTAATTTTATGATGGACTAAATTAAAAAAAGATACCAAGAGACCAACCACCTCTTGTTTATAAATAAGGGGTTATAGTCCTTAGGTCACACATCGTGAGTTATTCTTAGAGCATCCCATCTCTCTCTACCAAGTCATGAGACAACTCCCTTGTAATGATTTGAAATGACATCTTCGTACTTATGCCTTCATGAATTTAAATATGATTTTAATCTATTCTTATTGTGTTTTATCATTCTCTATCTATCTTAACATTAGATCATTTAGATTCAATAAGTGGTATTAGAGCCCAATGTATTGAGTTTTTAGTGAGTGACATCTTGTTCATAATTTTACATTCATCTTGGTATCATTTTTTATATCTTGTCTTGAGAATGGATTCATACATCTACTATGGAAATCATAAGGTTTCAACCTTACCATGAACGGATTAATTGGCCGTATAAGCTGTACAGATGAGTATGTCAACTTTTCTTCTTTCCCTACAGAGGAGGAGGAGCAGTGGTTTCTGCACATTTTTCTTCCTCTCTTTTTTCGAAAGAAGATTTCAATTTGAAAATCGAGGGCTGTAGAAGGGGCCCAATCATTCCTCTTTCCCCTTTACGTCGTCGGACAAAAGGTTGGAGAGCAGTGGACATCGCTTCCGAACGTCTAGACACCGAAGGGCTCTAGAAGCCGAAGAAGAGGTGCAGGTCGATGCCGGTGGTTTCTGAAAGGTTGTGCTAAGGGTGGAAGGCTGCGGTGCCTTCCACATGCCCCTAACCCTTTTGGTTCTTCATCTTCCTCTCGCCGAAGGATGGTTTCCAGGTCTTCTGAAAATCAGCGGGGATGGGGGGACATGGAGGGGAGGGGCGACCGCTGCAGCTCTATTTTTTCGAATGGAAGGCCATTTTAGGCCGACCGTTCCAAGCCCTTAGGCATCGGAATGACCTGGTATTCCACTCCCCCTTTGGACCGAACCCTTCATGCTATGGTTCCTACGCCGGTCCACCGCGTGAAATGGCTGCACTATTTTTGGCGTGTGCCGGACGGGAGAGGAACCGTTCGTTACATGGCATTTCAGGTGCCAGCCGCCAGTTCGTCGCGTGAAATGGCCCATCATTTTTGGTGCGTGCCAGACGGGAGAGGAATAGTCACATGACGGTTCGTACAGCACGTGTCGGTTTTTTGGGTGCCTGTCTCGGCTTGTGCCGGTTTACGTGATCGGCTTAGCGTGAGCCAGACAGCCAAAACGATGCACTGTGCCGGTCTATAGTGATGACGTCAACATTTGGTCTACTAACATCATGCCCATAAAATTATTTATTTCAGACGTCATTTTATTTTTGAAATATTATTGATGATTTTATTTTAAAAATTATTTATAAATTTTTAATTTTTTAAATATTTATATTTACATTATGGTTAAATGTCAAATAATTATAATGATTCAAATCTTAGTACATGTCTAATATTTTAAAATTATTACTTGAAGGAATATCTTATCAAAGTAGACTCTCTTGTGGATATTAATTTTTGTAACATATGAGACGTTGTGTATCTATTTTGTGGATACTAATTAGCTCAAAAAAAAATTAGTATTTTATAATTTACATACATTAGTGATAATAAATATATGATAATTATTTAGTATTTTCATGTGAATAATAAGTCAATTTTAAAAAATTTATTATTTGATAAAGATATTATTAATATTTATTTATCATACTAAGATATTACTTGTAGTTAATATTACTGTCCAAAGACAAAATATTAATGTTGCACTCAATATCTTATGATGAGAAGTATCATTATTTGAAAATCAAATTATTCATGTGAGCTTTATATGGTTTTTTGTATAATTTTAAGTTCTACTTCTATTATTTCTATCTAGATAAACTCTATTATTATGTTAAATGGCACCAACTTCAAGACAGAAAATATTATGATAATTCCCGATTACATGGATTTAAACATTACATTAAGAGAAGATCATCTCACAAGCTCTCATGAGGATAAGAAAGATATGGGTAAGTGAGATCAATCGAATTGTATAAATATTATGATCATGAAACAAGCCATTTCAAAAACTTGTAGGGACACTTTATTTGAAGAGGTCACTACAACAAGAGTTTTTCTTATAGAACTTGAGAAAAAGTTTTCTAAAAATGATAAGATCGAAATAAGTATGATCTTAGTAAAACTTATCTCTATGAAGTATAAAGACAACAAAAATATAAAAGATTACATTCTTGAGATGTCTCATCTTACATTAAAACTAAATACTCTAAAATGAGAGTTATTGAAAGATTTTCTCATACACAATTTTGATTTCTCTTCCTATATAAGTTAATCAATTTAAAGTGAACTATAGTTGTCAAAGGGACAAATAATCCATAAATGAGCTTATATTGCATTGTGTGCAAAAAGAATAAAGGTTGAAACAAGATATAGATGAACTTATATTACATTTATGACCTCTAATAATAAAATAAAATAAAAACTTATGATCAATGAAATTGTAGGTAGATCACCACTAAAGAAATAACAAATGAAGTAAGATAATGAATCTACTTATTTCTTTTACAAGTTTAGTGGACACATGAAGAAAGATTATATCAAGTATCATGTTTAGCATACAAAGAAATGTAACATTCTCCCTTTAGTTTGTTCAATGGTTAATTTAACTTATGTACCCTTGCACACATGATGGATAAACTCTAGTGTTACTATTCATATAAATATGTCTATGCAAAGTTGACTCTATTGTCGTAAGCCAATTTATGATAAAAGATATATTTATTCAAGTGATGGCAATGTACTAGCGATAGAGATAATATAGACTTTTAGGTTATTGTTAAAGATTGTTCACTATTCGGATTTGATTAAGACATATTATACCATCTTTTAGATGGAACTTGATTTTTATTTTTAATTCAGATAAAATTGATTATAATTATCTATTTAAAAATAAAAAATATAATTTCTTTGATAATTCAAATCCTATTAGTACTGGTATTTTATCAAGTCATGATAACTTATACTTACTTCACATAATAATCCCTTTTAATGAAATCATGCATACTAATTCAAAGAGTACAAAAATAAAATTAATCAATGAGAATTTCACTTCATTATGGCATAAGAAATTAGGTCATATATCTAAAAAGAAAATTGATCAACTTGTGTCTAATAGAATTCTTAACTAATTTGATTACAAAGATTTTGACACGTGTCGAATGTATCAAAGGAAAAAGAATGAACATAAAGAAAATATGTGCCAATTGAGTTTCAAACGTCTTAGAATTAATAAACGTGGATATTTGTGGACCATTTTGTATGGCCTCTTGGAATGGTTAATAATATTTATTACATTCATAGATGATTATTCTTGATTTAGCTACTTGTATTTTATTTATGAAAAGTCTCAATTATTAGATGTGTTCAAAAAATGTAAGGTTGGAGTTGATAATCAACTCAATAAATAAATTAAAGCCATCATATTAAATTATGGTGGTGAATACTACAATAGATATGATGAATCAGGTGAACAATATCTATGACTTAACACTAAATTTTTAGAAGAGTGTGACATCATCTCACAGTACACTATGCCAAGATCTTTTAGCATGAATAGTGTTGTTGAACGACAATATAAAACACTTAAAGATATGATAAAGAGTATGGTTAAAAAATTTACCCTACTAAATAATCTATAGAGAGAAGCACTAAAGACTACAACTTATTTACTTAATCAAGTTACAACTAATACAATTATTAAAACTTCTTATGAGCTTTGGATGGATAGTAAAATTAATTTAAAATAGTTACACATTTAGGATTGTTCGGTAGAAACAAGACTTTGCAGATCTAATAAAATAAAACTTGACTTCAAAATAGTTAGTTGCTATTTTGTTTGATACTTGGAAAGATCTAAGGGGTATGAATTTTATGATTTCACTATTATATTATTTTTAAGATAAAAAAATATTTCTTTTTTTGAAGATGTTAAATTTATAGGGGGAGACAAGATTAGAGACATTGATTTTGAAGAAGAATATGTAAATATTCTTTCTATTACTATTGACAATGATCTTGATGATATCATCTTGACTAACATTGATCAATAAGTAACTTCAGATCAAAATAATGTCATCATGCCTCTCATTTAAGAAGAACAAACTCAACATACTTAAAAATGAATGCCATTAAAAAGATCTACTAGAAAGAAGAGGAATATGATTTCAAATAAATACATTATATTTCTTTCAGAATATGAGGCTAGTATTGAAGTGATAGAAGATGCTTCTATCAACTTCCATCAAATCATGCAAAGTTATAATTCTCATAAATAAATTGATGCCATGAATGAAGAGATTAAATCTATGAAAGACAATGACATATGAGATTTTGTCTTATTACTTGAAGGTGTGAAGCTTATTGATTGTAAATAGATATTTAAAATTAAAAAAAATTTGAAAAGTAATGTAAAAACATATAAAACTTGTCTTCTCACTAAGTGACTCACTTAAAGAGAAAGTATCGATTATATATATACTTTTTCTCTAATTTCATCGAAAGACTCTTTTAAAATAATAATGGCACTAGTAGTTTATATGATCTTGAGTTACATCAATGGATGTAAAAATTATATTTCTCAATAATGACATTGATGAAATAATATATATAGTACAATTAAAAAACTTTATGTCTGAATACCCAAAGAAAATAGTATACAAATTAAAGAAGTTCATCTATAGGTTAAAATAAACTTGTCGTCAATAGTATTAAAAATTTCATCAAGTTATCATCTCATTTAGTTTTAAGATAAATATGGGTGATGAATGTGTATATAAAAAATTCAGTGAAAGTAAACATATATTTCTGATTTTATATGTCGATGATATATTAACTACTAATAATGATATAAGATTATTATGTGATATAAAAAAGTTTTTTATTAAGAAAATTTCAGATGAAGTATTTCGGTGAAGCATCTTTTGTATTGAGTATTAAGATATACTGAAATTGACTTCAAAATATCTTGAAGTTGTCACAAAAGTGTTATATGAAGAAAGTCCTTGCGAGATTTGATATGCAAGGAAGTAAACCTTATGATACATATCTTACTAAAAGAGATAAATTTAGTCTCAATTAGTGTTTAAGAATGATTATGAGATTAAAGAAATATAGAATATTCTTTAGGCATCAATTATAGAAAAGTCTTATGTATGTTCAAGTATGTATGCACTTAGATATTATATACATAATTAGAGTACTAAGTAGATATTTAAGCAAACTTAGTGTGGATTATTGAAAAACAATTAGATAGGTTATGTGATATTTATAAAAGACAAATAACTATATGCTCACATATAAGAAATCAGATCATTTGAAGTTCATTGAGTATTTAGATTTCGATTTTGTTGAATATACTTATAGCAAACGATCTACTACAAGCTATAATTATTTGCTAATTAGAGTAGTTATATCATGGTAAATATTAAATAGATACTCATAACTTCTTCTACTATAGCAATAAAGTTTATAGTATGCTATAAGGTATCTAATCATAAAATTTAGTTAAAGAATTTTGTCACAAGGTTGTGAATTCTAGATGGAATTGAAAGACCACTAAAATTATTTTATGACGAAATCTAAACATGTAGACATCAAATTTCTAATTGTTAAAGAAAGAATTCAAAGTGGTCAGATGTATATAAAGCATTTTAGGACAAACTCTATGGTAATAGATCCACTTACTAAAAGATTACTATCAAAAGTTTTTCACAAGCATATTATTCATATGAGTGTATTACATCACTAGGATATGTAATTTCAATAAGAGTTTGTATCTTGATACTTATATATATAAATATATACTTTGGTTATTTCATATATAAATAAAGTTTATGATTATTGTCACTTTGAATATAATTATTTGATCTCCCTTCAAAGTAAAGAGGACTAAGTTAAAACTGTATATGTATGAGTCACATTTTATGTAATTTTCATCCTACATATTTGACGTGACTCAGTCGTTGTATATTAAATCACGCAAATATAAAATTTATAAAACTAGAAAATACGAATTTTCGAATATTTAGAAGTATTTCTAAATAAATATAGCAATTATAATTCAATAAAACTTCCAAAAATAGCAGTAATTTTCCAGGTCGATCACAGGGATGTAATATAATATCTGGTAATTATTCAAAATTTTTCTCAATGAATACGATTTTCTATGAATTTTATACTAGGAAATAAAAAGGAAATATATTTAAAATTCACGAAAAAGGGAAATAAGGGCGTGGGCGTCAGGATGACGTCAGCGCCCCGGCAAACGCGAATCGGGCGGAAATAGAGTTCCGCCCGGCGATTCTTACGTAAGCAATTACAGACGATTTAATTAATCAAATTAAGATCTGTAAAAGCCAGAAGAATCGTAATAGAACAAAGTATATTTTGGTAAATTAAAATCACAAAGAAATATCACTAAATGAAGTGTAAAGTAAGTTTAAAGCAGGAAAACAGAGTTCCGGCGTCGCGACGGCGATGCGTCGGCGATGCACCGGAATCCTGAGCGTTCGGGAGGATCGTTGTGCAGTGTCTACGGCCTCGAAGGCTCTCCTTGGACAAAGACGAAGTGGGCAATCTCTAGATCTTCTCGCGAAGTCTTGAGATCAATGAAATGGGTCGCTGAGTCGTCTCCAGCGGCTGTCACTCGGCGGAGCGGAAAAACGGCGACTTTGCGGCTCTCCGGCGGCTGTCACCTGACAGAGAGGAGCTGGATGGAGGTGGGGCGCGTGTCAGGGAGCTTCATCCTCAGGTCCGCGCAGCAAGAGGAGGCTCTTCATCGCATCTGGTACGCTCTCAGGAGGTGGCGACTCGTCTCCCGGCGGATCGTCCTCTTCCCGACGACGGCTTGTTCGTCGATCAATCGGAGATGATTTACTCGATGGATTCGCGATCCTTTTATCGCGAATCGTTCAGCAATTTTAGTAACAATGCTCCGCGAATCGCGTTGACAAGATTTTCGCCGATGATCCAGCGATTCTAGTTGCTTAATCCTTCACCGGCGATATGCAGGAAAGTCGCGATAATCAGATAAAAATATATGAATTTTGACTCTGGGAGGATTCGAACCCGCACCGGTTGTCCGCCCCCCCTTTTGAGGAAGGTGTGACGCGGGTTTAGTCCCACATCGGTTGTGCGCCGATTTTTCAGGCGAATATATAGTAATGTTAGCTTTTCAGGCAAAGTCCCTTCTCTCGCGTGTACGACCACTCCTTGCCCCACAGCTGGCTGGCCACCGGTGACGTGGAAGGGGAATGGCGCACACGTGCCCCTATCGGTCCAAGCTAAGCCGCTTGAGCCCCTGCTCGCGGCTACTCCCGACTGCGCTTCCGACCCGCTTGCGGGCCCGGCTGGCCGGCGGGTCCCCCCACATTTTGCAATATTTTAGTTTTATTTCTTTTTCTTCATTTATCTCAAAAGTAAGACTGTACAAATCATATAAATTCGTATAAAATCACATAATTACCCAAAAAATCACATTAATCAATTGAAAACCATTTTTCACACTTTAACACAAATATAAGTCTATTTATCACGAGTTAAGGCTAAAACTATATTATTTACTAATTATTAACTCATGATAATGAAGACTTATCAATATTTATACTTGATCTATGTTATTTATTATATCAATATACATGATTATTATTGGGTTCAATCACGCGAAAAATGTGAATGAAAACTCTTTTAGTTTATATTTATAGAATAATAGATAAAATTGTTAGAAATGTCTTTAATAATGGTAATAAAATTTTTGAACTCATAAAATCATGATGTACAATATCAAATTATCATATATATATTATCTAAATGAAAGTTTGTTAAAATTAATATGACAATGATTCATATAAATTGTATATTATGAAACAATAATTGAATTAATCTCACTTAAAGTGATTTACTAAAATTTAAGTAATTAAGATTATAACCTCTCTTGTAATTATGGACATAAATATTATATAAAAGACCAAGTCTTATTTTAATTTTATAATAGTGTAATTTAAAAAAGTACACAAAATCTCTTTAGAGCAAATCATTAGACAATTTATCTATGTTGATCGAAAAGGTCATCCTCATACTTACATCTTCATAGATTCATATATGATTTTAATCCATTCTCATTATATTTTATCATTCTCTATTTATCTCAACATTAGATCTTTCATATTCAATACTTCTTCCTCCAAGATTTTTATTTTCAACGAATCTGTGTTATGCAATTATGTTACTGAATTATTAGGGAGTGGCACATGTCAGGGGTGGAGGTGGCTCTCTATCAGACGCTATCTCCGATCACTGCCACCCTCCAACAAGCTGCCGCCAAGGTCAATTCTGGTGACCTGTGTCTTAAGTAACTCCTCATCCCCATGACTACACAGCACCTCACAGGGCCTTCCCTTCCTCTTATAAATCTTCCTAGAGCTGGGCTTTATAAAGGCCAATATAGGATGGCCCATTGATATCCAAGAATCAGTGGTAAGCATGAGAGACCTGCTCGACCACCCTGTAGATGTGAACCCTCACCTCGAGCGGCCTAGAGAGCTCAAAGACCAGGACGTCATCACTCTCGAGATTGTGGGTGCTGGCAAACTTCCCCCAGCCGGTGCTGAATCCGCCACGGCCCTCGTAGTGAATATACACGACCGCCCACACCTCCTCAAAGGGGCCTCGAAGCCTGATTGTCCTGCTGGCCCTTGGGAGATGCTTCACCAGCGAGCTTGGGAGGCCCTGCACGCACCCAACCAAAGACCCATGAATTTCAGACAAAACAAGGTCTACGTAAGATACTGAGGAGACGAATTTTCTCCACTTGATGATACATAAAAATGAGAGATTGGGCCAAAATAACACACACTGGCCAGGGGATGATATATATGGCAAAAAAGACCTGTCCAGGCACATACAATCTTCCATGAATGACAGGGTTCAAGATGAAATCAGGCTGAAAATTCCCAGAACATGATGAACAGATAAAATTAGAAGGAAAAACTGTATTGGAAATCCAAGAACCCAATCTATAGAAGAGAAGAAATCCACAAGGAATTGCAATTGCAGGGGAAAAAAATTCACCATGTAATACCCATGATATACATTCGAATCCCGCATCACGGAGATGCCAAAGGGACGCTTTGACCGGAAAGACATTGCCAATTCTAGGGTTCTTGCCTTCTCCTCCTCGGTTATACTTCTTCTGCGTGAGATTACAGACCCCAAACGCGACTTGATCCTCACTGGAAGCATCAAACGGTCAGATAATTTGGAACTGAAAACTCCTTACTCAATATATGATTGCTCTCACTCCAAACCTCTGGGGTGGAGCTCACCATCATCCACGCTCGAGCTGCCCAGACTGGTAGGATGCTCACAGGAGGATTGCTTATTTGCTCTCCTACCCAGCTCATCTGTTGATCCTTCTGGTTTCTTCCTCTTCTTCTGGGTATGCTTCCTCCAGCCATTCCTCCTCTGCCTTGGCTTCAAGTCTCTAGCACATGGATTGCTTGTATCTGTATCCACCCCAGATTCCTAATTAGGTGCAGAGCAGGCAGCTGCGACTAAGAGAATTACCTTCCCTTTTAGGACAGAAATTGATGTGGTCACGGAGCTAGCGGCAATGGACCTTCATCACTCTGGAGCTCTTCTTTCACCACGCAGATCCCATATTGAGGATGATCGCCCATTAATGGGGAGGCTCCAATTTCCGGTGCTGTGGGGTCTGAAAAAAAATGGCCAGATGTTCAGAACTCGGAGGATTCAGATCCAAGAGAACCAAATGAGGAGGAGCAAGCAGAAGGCGAGTTGAAGGACCGACCTAGGTCCCCTCTACCCGAGCCGCCGCAGTCGGCGCAAGGTTGGTTGGAGAAACACCCCCTGCAAGAGCTGTTGAACTTCGCTGGCGCGAGTTTCACAGGGGGAGCCGTCTCAACAATCTCTGCATCGACGATGACTCCTTCCTTCTCTGAGCGCCGCCGCCTCTTGTGAGACTCCCCAAGAATTACCACCTCGGCGCGTGGAATCACGTGGAAGGACTCCTCCTTCTCGCAGGCCGTAGGGTCGAAGACCAGTACAGTGAAGCCCCGGCCGCCGTCGTATTGGAAGACCAGGAAATCGCCGGTGTTGAGGTCGTGGTCGGAGACGAATTCTTCCCAGCCGCTCTGGAAAAAGACGCTGCCGCATCCGTCCCTTACCAAGTCTACGCTCCATGCGTTCCCGCTGGGCCCTCTCAGACAAATGCGGCGATGGATGTCGGGCTCGATGTGGTTGCAGAAACCAGCAGGAATCGCCTACGAGTTGCAAAGCACAGGAGATTAACGACTTGGGAAGACTGGGCCTCCTCGGGTATCACGAGCATCTGGTCAAAGCGATGATCCTACCCAAGGTCAGGGATCGCCGTACTATCAAGCCAATGCTCAAATCCTTTTAACAGAGAGAAATAGAACGAAGTACACGAAGAAGAATGGGGAGTCTCAACATCCAGCCAATCCCGAAGGTTTCCATCCCCTCCTGCGGATCCTAGAAGGCGGAAGAGAACAGTCTCAGGCGGCCATCGGTGTCCCCATAAGGCCCGCCAGCAAGAAGGACATGATCGAGAAGAGAGAGAGAGAGAGAGAGAGAGAGCGGACGTACCAGTCGCTTGGAGCTGCAGTCGGCGAAGAAGACCTTGAAGAAGTGGGGCCGCCTCCCCTTCCTGGCGGCGGTTGGGTGCGTCATCGGTGCCGAGGCAGGAGGTGGAAGAGGAGGGAGGGCGAGGGCTGCCGCAAATTCATATATGACCGCATTGCTGGTAATTTCGAATGTCCTCTTCCCTTTGGGAACCCTCCATTGCAGGAGCTTTTTGATTTATAACTGTTATCCGGTAATTAATAAAAATAATAAAAAAAGGAGCCCCGGTTACCTTCCCTAGTTGGGCTCTCCCTCTCTCTCTCTCTCTCTCTCTCTCTCTCTCACACACACACACACACACACACACACACACACACACACACCCACCCTTGTCTCTCATACATTTATTTGTTTTTTGTTTCAAGAAATCGAATACGGATTTTTCCCGGGGACCAGCTGATTCCAACGCAAATCGGATCGAGCACGGTCGACCCGATCCCGCTTGCCGCCATCCGCTCCTGCTCCTCGCAGTAGAGCTCCCATGTACACATTTACAGGAAGAAAGGGCTTCCTGTGCGACGATAGCGGCAGCACTGTCCTTCGCCATGGAGGCGCCGCCGCCCTTGTCTCTGCGCCTTGCTTCTTCCTCCTCTCTGCGGGCTTCTCCCGTCTCCGTCCGTCTCGGAGTTGGGCATGCCGTGAAACGCTATTCTCGTCTAAGACCTCTAAGGAGGCGCTTTTGCTGTCGAGCTGCTTCAAGTGAGAGCCCTTTTCCCTTTCGTAGTAGGAGATGTAGATTACTGTTAGGATGCTGCCTTCGATATCTAGTCGTAAGCGACCGAGCTGAGCTTCCTCTCTGCTTCTGTTGGGATAATGTTTCAGCTGTCACGCTGCTTGACTACGGCGCCGGGAACGTGCGGAGCCTGCGCAATGCGATTCACCATCTTGGGTTCGATATCAAAGACGTGAGATTTTCTTACCTCTGAAGACTCTTACTTGATAGATCAACTTCGGCGACTCTCTTCTTGTATCAGCCCCGTACTTTGGATTTCCGTCCCCTCAAGTACAACCCACCGTAGGCGTTTGAACGTCGTCTTCGTAAGCATCGAAGCAAAGTTCGGTTGCCCAGGATGAAAGGAGAATATGTGAATAAAAAAAAACAGGGTAGATGATTGAATCGGTGGTGATTTTTTTTCTCTCTACAACTACCTAGGTTTTCCTTGAGTTGCGAGAAAAGTCAACTCCCCGTCTGGTGAACCTTTTACTATGTTGAGTATTGCACCCGCATTCACAAGTTTATTCGGTGAAGATGCAAGCAAAAATTAGATTCCGAAATATTGCTGCTAGCATTTTCTCTTTTCCTAGCCAGCATTTACATTACGGCGCAGCCAAAGAAACTTAGCAAGTACAAAAATTGTCAATTCCAAACAACCTTTGAAAATTGGGAGATTATGCCCTTAAACAAGAGGATGAGACTTCCTTCCTACATGAGCGTGAAACAGAAAGAACCATGATAATACTGCTAATAACACAATCTTTAATTGACCACATGCATGCATACTGTTTTCTATCAATGCCTTTTGCATACTCTTGGTCGGTAACTTTGTTGATAGTTTTCACGAGGGAGGTACATCAGTTACATTTCTAAATGAAAACCAATTTTTTCTGCATTTCTTCAATATTGAAGGGGCCAGACCACATTGTAAAGTCACCTTTTGTGGGGCCTAAATTACGTCAAGTAAAGTTCAACATTTAACTTTCAACATTAGATACCTTGCTGTTGCTTGCTTTGCAGAGTCATTTAAGAAACAAAACTGCAGATTTGACTGAGCTGAAGTTACTGGAGTTTCCCACTTTTTATTCCTTGCAGGTGAAAACGCCAGAAGATATTCTCAGTGCTGATTGCCTTCTCTTTCCTGGGGTTGGTGCATTTGCGCAAGCAATGGAGGTCTTGAATCAGAATAGGTAAGCATCTGTTTCTGATTTCAAAGTTTGTCCTTGCGAGAAAACCAGTGATAACTAGGTTCTCACCTAAACAGATATACAATTTTTTTGCAGATAATGTAGAGACACGTGAATGAAATGAACTATGCCATTTGCCATCTTTTTTATGAGACCTAATAAACGTTTTCATATGCTTGTTCCTGTGTGATATTTTCATCTCCCATGATATTTGTTATCTTATTGTGAAATACCAGCCTCTATGTAGAAAATCTTTGGAGGATCCCTTGAGGGAAATGACTAGTTCTTCATGCATAGCAACCCTTGGGGCTAAGAAGTTTCCTTTTATGTTGTCAATGACCCACCACCCAAACCTGCACTCACACCTCGTTTTGATGCCGCGAAACTAGTTTTCATGGAGTTAAGGCATAAGACACAAGGCACAAGTTTTGAGCACTGTTCTATGGCAAGGCCATCTTGTACACACGATTGGCTTTTAATTAAATCGCCTTTTGTATAAAAGAATTTGATCGATAAATTAAGATGAAAGTATGAGGAAGAGGGAGAAAGAAAAAATGCAAGACAGGCCTAGAGTTGATGTGCAACAGTGGAGAGAACTTTTTCACGCCCATACCATATGCTAAAGGATGCCATATTTGGGATCAAAACAAAGTAGGAGAGTGTGCTCCAGGGATCCATAGGGCCCACTATATCAAGTAATTCAAACATTACGTCAGGAAAGAGTATGGAAAAATTACTTCACCAGTGTGCACATAAAAAAGGCATCTTCAACGTTCCTCTAGTCAAGTGTAAATACCATGGATACGTAGGTTGTTGAAAACTAAATTGAAGTGATCCTTGGGATGCATCTACAACTTGGTCTCTCTAGCAAATGTATGGAATATGGAGTTCTCTGGAATCCAATTTCCATTTCATAAATTGTTAGTCTCTCTCACTGTGCTTAGGGTCTAGGCAGGTGCAATATAGTATCATAGATATTTTATCGATGTAGCATCTTGTCTATGCAGTATTAGTGTACCCCTCAATATATGACTGTCATGTCTTAGGGAAGGCTATTCATTTACCAAGGATTGGCTTGATATACCGAAGGAGTTCATTCTATCCTTTAGTGAGCAGACAAATTGGCCCACTATTATCTGATATACCTATATGTGAGTGTTGGAGAGAAGTTCATCTTTCTTTCCCCTATAGACCATGGTTCAGTTTAATAAGAGTCGTAGTGGATTTTCACCCTTGTTTTCGAATGTTCTCAGAAGATCTTAAACATGTATAGATTTCATCACAAGGTTTAGTTTCTTCAATACCTTTAAAATGCTTTTGATTTTAAAGATAATTGAAATCAAACTCAAAAAGTTCGATTTCAATAGATTAATCTCGTCAGTATCATCACTTGTTTTCTCCATATCATCAAGGTAAACTATTAAGATATGTTTTGTCTTATTTTCTCGTTTATAAAGAAAATAAAAGAGAAACCCAATGAGGCCACCTTTATTAAGATATATCTTGTCAGCTGTCCTGTCTTCCTTTCCTTTGTTAATCTGTTAGCCTTCTTTGCAATGTATTTCACCCTGTAATCATTTTCTTGGCGATTTTCCCTACCAGAATGATCTCACACAAGTTTGCCCTTTCCTTTGTCCCTTTGTGTTCCCATAGGTGACGTGCCTTGAGAGGTGACAGTGTCGTTGATTTAGGATTACATATTTTACTGACCAACAGCCTCTCGGTGCAAAGGCGACCTTTGCTGAGAGCCCTTTGCAAAATGACACCAAACAAGGTCGCACAGAGCCAAGCAATATAGTGTGAAACCACACAAAATACCTGGAGACAAGCAATGCGTTTAGAAGCCATGGCAGAGCCTCATGATGCATCCCAATGCACTATAAGCTCTCACAATGCCAAACAGCGTTTCCTGATAGTATAAATCCACATATTTCCTTTTGATGGGGATGCCATACAGGAAAAACCACCAGCTTAGTGCAAGCAGGCAACCTGGTAGATCTTATAGGCAAAAGAGAGGAACAGATCTCCATCGGAGGTGTGGAGACCGTAAAGGAAGTGTGGTCCTGTGAACATGTTCTGATAGAGGGAGGTCGGTGCACTATGGCGTGCCAGACAGACTTTCATGGAGAAATGTAGCAAAAAGGAAAAATGCACCAGAAACCCAAAGGTCGGTTCACTATGGCGTAGAGGAAGGTTTTTCATATTCACACTAGCACCCAAGGGGTGTCACATTAAGTATTAGAGGTTCCGATTCAGGATCTAATAGGTCTATCAATAGCCTGTGAAAGAATAACAGAAAAGGGTATCAGCATCTTCAACCTCAGTTCAACGTATTGTTCCAATCCAGATTGGAAAAGGCCTCCAGACTTATTGTGGAGGAGGTCGCTATTTAGGCTTCTATAGATTATCGAAGGACAAACGAGTGCCCTTGAATTGGCAAAACTGGATGGCTGATATAGAACTTTAATGTGCAAATCCAATCCTTTCTCTATCTTCTAATATCCCACCATTTTTATAATTGGTGAAGCTAAGGTCATCCACTTGATTTGTCTATCACGAAGGCTGCAGGCATTGTTGAACTTGTGGTTTGATAGATTTCTTTGATTCACATAGGATTTAAGCTTCTGACCTTATTACGGAGCTCCTGTCTCAATGTACATTCCATGTTATTGACAGATATCCCACAAATAACCCGGAATTTGTAGATCTGGATTCTTTCATGTTTAACCTTGATGAGCCAAATCCTCTTGGATTAACCATAATGAGGAGAATTATCTCCGCCAAAATCTTCATGTTATTAGGTTTGACTTCCTTTTTTTCTCATTCATATATCTCAGTTTAGTTTAAATTAATCTTCTTTCAAACCATAAACAGAAATTTATAACGTTTTTTGTTAAAGATAAGTTGAATCCAGGTTATTTTTTTATTGAATAAATTCCTACAGAAGAAAGTGGTTTATAATAAAAATAATTAATGAAAGTTCGAATTCATTATAATGTCTAGCTTTTGAATTATAGCTCATGCGTTATGTTTATCAGAATTTGATGAGTTCTTTACGTTGTTAGATAAGTCAAATCTCGTTTCGCATGGATCTATTTTCCACAGGATGACTGAAGCTCTTTGTACATATATAGAGAAAGATCGTCCGTTTCTAGGTATCTGCCTTGGGCTGCAGCTGCTTTTTGAATCCAGCCAGGAGAATGGTCCAAGTAAGATACGAATGTATTTGTATCATTTTTTTCTCTGCTGGATGCTGAACCATTTGGCTGTAATCTGGTGGGTGTTTGGGGTGACTAGGATCTCGGTCCATTGAGCAAGAACTTTGATCTCTATTTTAGTTTCATAGTTTTTCCCATAACTTAGTCGTAGGACTGTCTTTCTCATAATTAGTTTTATTTCATTTTTTTGTTTTTTAGGCATTTAGGATCCTGTAAATGGGAAATTTATTAGGTCTCCCATTATTCATGAACAACACCCGCATGCTACTACTTTGAATGCTTGGCTTAAAAGTTTCAGTCATCTTTTCTGGGTTAGTTACTCATTGCTTAAGATAATTGTGGTGAAGGGAAATAAACAGGTGCATTTAACACTTTCGAAGGAAGAAGTAATTTAGAACATTATTTACACACATATGTTGGACACAATGAGAGTCAAACATAGTCTGAGGATTTTATTTTCCTCCATTTACTAAGCCTTTCCATTTTAATTGGCTAACCCTTCCTCACGAATTTGTGCAAAGTAAAGAAAGGGTATAGAAAGTTTGTGCACTCAGGGTTGCTGTTAAGTTGTGTTATAGCCCTTGGGAAAGAAAAGGGCATTGAAGGTGGGAGAAGGAGATGGACCTTTTTCAGGAAATCTATTAGGACATGTGAACTTGGAACGCTAGAAGAGGAAACAAGGCCTGAGAAGTGAATCCCAAAAGGCCCAGAAAGGATGAAATGTGGACGGCCCAAAACGTAGCGGTGCATTCCTAGTTTCTCTCTTTTTTTTTTTTTCATGTTCCATTTTCTAAGAAAAAGCTAACGGTAGTTCCTAGTTGTACATTTAACAGTGGCTAATCTAATATAAGCTTCTCTTGTTTAATGAAGGGATACCGTAGAAGGGCCCCGTTATCAGCTTGTCATTATTTTTTATCTCATTGCCTCCTTGCAGATTCATAGTACCTCTTTTTCATTCCTCATGACTTCAAGTCTCTTTGTTACTCTTTGGCCTACCCGAAATCAGAAGACGTGATATTTCTTTGTCACTAGAAAATGTATATGGTTCAGCTTTCAGGTGAACACAATTGGTTGGATAGACGTCTGGTTTCTACTGGCTACATGCAGGCATCTAAAAGAGCTGAAGCTTCAGTTCGTGCCAGACTTATATCTAATCTATGGCCTACTGATAATAATTCGAATTAGCTTGCCTGAAGATCCAAGAGCTCTTGAGGAAAAATGTTCAGTAAAAGTGTTGGGAGGAAGCCCCAAAAGTAGTCACCATTTTTGATTTTTCTGTCGAAAGTTGGATAGATAAGAAGGAAAATGAGAGAGTGGAACTAAATGGAAGTTGGAGAAGCTAAAAACAAGGGAATAAAGTTGGTCACTCTATATTGGTTGCTTTACAGAATATGAACAAATAAAACGAAGATGAGATGTAAAGGGCAGAAATCCAACAGAACGTTCTCTCTAAGATTAAGGATGCAGCTGACCATTCTCCACAGAAGTCAAACAGATGTCAGTATGTTTTTCTTAGGATTTCTAACACTTTTTGGGAAATAATGAAACATGAACTTCTGGATTTTGTATCGGAATTCCTGGAGAAACTATTTTACATCAGATATTTTAATGCCGCTTTAGTGTTAGGTCAGCAAAAAATAAGGGATGTAGATATTAGTTTATTGAATGGTATCTAATTTGAATTAAGACATTGATTAGTTAGAGAGTGTCATGAATAGAAAAAACCTTAGGTGTTATGAACAGAAAAACCCTAGAATGCCATGAATAGAAAAAACCTAGGTCTTGTGAAGAGAAAAACTCTAAGCGTTGTGAACAGTGGAGGAAAATATATTGTCAATCATTAACCCTGGTTTAGGTCTGGTTTATATACCAGACTCTAGTAAAAAAGTGAACCTGACCGCCCAACATTGAACCCGTCTAACAAAAATCAATTCGTTCCCACACTCCCCTTCCAGCTGGTGAATAGATATTCTCCAATCCCAAATTGGATGCAAGACTATGAATTTTTGGGCTACTCAAGCCTAAGTACATCCTCAAGTTGACTGTGTAGTCACATAAGGTCTGCAAGCCCCCCTCTCTCCACCTTTTTTTTTGGTTAAGTGTTTGTCAATTACGATGTGTTTTGTTTGATCATATTGTATTAGATTATGATCTATGTTGATTGCAGACTTGTTGTCACAAGAAAGTCTCATTAGGTCATCCCACTTAATTTTTGGGTCTTCTAATATGATCTTCAACCAAAGTGGTTCACATAGACCAGGAGTCATTTCTTGGAATTCAACTTCTGTACATAGTCATGCTACCACATCCTGTTTCTTATACAGAGGTAGATCTCTTGTCAACCACTGACCCTGAATAATCAGCATGTGTATGCCTCAAGTACTAATCTTCCATTTCTCCTCAACGTAATATATTATCTTGGTGTCCCTTTGAGATATTATAATGCTCAGTGAGCTGCCTGCTTGTAGATTTCATTTGGATCATCCATGAACTAGCAAATTGTTGGCGGGATGTGTCTGGTATATTCCGAGTTATGTGACTGTGTCTAGAACCTTCCGGGGTCTAGAACACCCTCTTTGAAATGTAATTTTTGGTGTGTGTCCCTTTCGAATAAGGTAATACTTTTCTCCAGGGGTTCTGGTGTCACTATTCAGCGCACCAGACCTGATTTTATCTCCAAAGCTAATCGCACACACTGCATATGCTATATATGATCATGTAGAACCAGGAGAGTTGGGAGTGAATAATGCTCGAATCACAGGAGGAGAATGCACAAACCCAATGTTGTCCACCTCTTTGTGAAGGCGCCCTGTGATGGAGGTGTCTTGAGCCAACAGAACTTTCTAATCAGACCTGGAACTCTGATACCATGTTGTGAATAGAAAAAACAGTGGTGTCATGAACAGAAAAACCCTAGGCATTATGAAAGTAGAGGAAAATTGTCAGTCACTGTCTGGTTTGGGGTTGGGTCTGGTTTATATACCAGGCCCTAGTACAACAGTGAACCGGCCCGGTCCAACAGTGAACCGGTCTAACAAAAACCGGTCCATTCCCACACAGAGTAATGGGGAACCTTGCGGGAATCAATCTGCATTTATTTAGACGAAATATAGATCTATAAATTAGAGAAGTTTGTACCCGCCTGAGGCAATCCTTGGTCAAACAGTCAGAGGTAAAACTTGTTTTAAAAACTGACTTCAGCATACTTTTTTGTGGCGGTGAACATGGCAGTGACTAGCTAAATCCCAAGGCATTATATGACACCTTTCTTAAAGTATTTAAAGCAACTAAGTGTAACACATTTGTAAAATTTGGATAAAACACTAGCTGTTGTGCAACCATAGAAAGAGCTATTCAGAGAACATTCGTTAAAACGCTGTACATAGTAATATGACTAATAAATTGTGTTTCCGCCAAGATGTGACTAGCTGTTGTGTCACTCGCTTAGTATACATAAACCCTAGTGCGTTTGCTAATGCTGTCTTGATGGCCTAAAGCTGGTGTCTCATGCCAGATCGTCTGGGGAGCACTTTTTTGGGTTCCTCCCCCAGACGTCATAGGGGTCTTGGGTATCTGGGTGACCTAGACAACGCCCTAAAAATCATAATTTGGGATAACTCATGGCTGTGCTATAGTTTAGAATCTATATTGGTCGATAATGATCTGCACTAGTATCATTTGAATTTATTGGCTAGAAGCCCTGAAGTTCAGTAGGTTTGGGGTTGCCCAGTGATGACAACTGCAACTGTATCAGTCCATTCAACACCTGGCCTTCCTGTCTTGAAGAAACGTTGCTGAACCTTTGTTATCTCTTTCGTTACAATTTTTCATAAGGTGGAAACAATGGGGACTTCTTTCTCATACATGCTTTATTCATCATTCGAATGCAATAGTTCATTGAAAGTTCTGATTCCTGATGCTTTTCCTGCTATTTTATGATCCGAAATTTGTATGCGTTGTTATTAGCTGTGTGCACTACTATATATGCTCTTTTTATTTTTTTGGATTTTTGACTTTTACTGCTTTTTTCCTGATGATTGCTTGCAGTAAAAGGTCTTGGATTGGTGCCTGGTGTAGTCGAACGTTTTGATTCATCTGGCGGCATAAGAGTACCACATATTGGTTGGAATGCAGTGAACATCTGCAAAGAATCTGCAATTTTGGATGAGATTGAAGGCCGTCATGTCTATTTTGTTCACTCATACCGTGCATTACCTGTATGATATTTCTGTCAATATTACTCTTCTTTGCACATATTTTATGTGGCTAAAAGAGTTAAAATGATTGGGGTAAATTTTGTGTAGTCAGAAGCCAACAAAGAGTGGATTTCATCGACATGCAACTATGGAGAAAATTTTATCTCTTCTATCAGAAGAGGAAATGTACATGCAGTGCAGTTTCATCCAGAGAAGAGTGGAGGTATTACGCTGCTGACTGTTTCTTGTTAATCCTTTGTGGCCGTCCTTGAACGCCTCAAGCCCTTTTTTGCACCTTGTAATTGTACTCATGCGTTACATATTTTATTCTCAAGTCGTGTGTGGTTGTATTGGACGGAAATCATTTCACTTGTTAAGTTTATTTTGATGCTCAATGTCAGCACGATTCGAGTTTATGTTATTTTTGTTATTATTGTCATAAATTTCTTGTGACTGGGATCACCTGGCAGCATTGAAGGATTTGAGCTTTTACTTCCGGTTCTACATTGAACAGATACTTCCATCTGATACATTTAACCTTCTAAACTTAAAAGCATCCAAGACAAGAAGCTTTCTGCTCTATGTTTATCAATGCATGGGTTTTATAGTCTTCTGACTCCAAGAGTATGGCCAACTCCATCTGCAAAAATAGTTTTTTCATTGTGAATAGGCCAATAAGTGATATTTACTGAAGGCATGTTACTGAAACTAATTTTCAGATGTTGGCCTTTCTATTTTGAGAAGATTCCTAAATTCATATGGATCATCAGTGGTAAAGGTAAGTCGTGTCTAAATAGTGTGTGCTATTCCTGAATCTTTTATATTCTTCTTATATTGTTTGATGACGCGGATTTTTTTCTTGTAAATAGAGGTCAGGTAATGGGAATGCATCAAAGCTTGCCAAGAGAGTAAACTTCTTACACCTGGAAATATTTTCTCAATATTGTTTTTATAGCAATGCTTTCGCATATTGGAAATGAAGATGTTTTTCGCCTCATATGTCAAATTTCTGTTTTGTTTTATTTGGATGCTTCTCTGAAAAGTAGGTAATAGCATGTCTTGATGTGCGGACAAATGACAAAGGCGATCTTGTTGTAACAAAAGGAGATCAGTATGATGTAAGAGAGCATACAAAGGAAAATGAGGTATTCCTTCAGTTTTTTAGATTCACAAGTATTCCACTGTTTTAAACCCAATGACACTTATCATCGAATCCCTTGGGCATGTTCGTTTCCAAGGTGTCATGCATTAATTTTTATTATTTAACTTTCAATTCTGAATATTTGAGTTGGAGGCAGCTGCAGTATGGCAAGGAAAATTTGCCAACCACTGCCAGACTGATGAGAAATGAATTAACGAACAAAGTGAATGCTACATTGATTCCATGCACCCAATCATGATTCAGTCACCCTAATATATCCCTGATATATCGTTTCTGATGGAGGGATCAGACTTGATATATCTTGTCAAATCTGGGGTTTAGTTTTTCACATTTTTAAAGGGAACTTTTTGACGTGGAGAGCTCAATGTGAGAGACTACGCACTTGTGATTGACTTGTTCTCTTTATGCCCAACGCCATGATCTCTTGCATCTTATGTGGGGCGGAGACATTAGATCACTTGTTTCATGGGTACTCATTTTCATTGGAGTTGTATCACACTGCATTACAAATAGGTACACAGTAGGAGGATGCAATGTCATCCAATTATATGGGCTTTCAAGTCTTAAATTCTAATAGTATTTATTGATAAGCATAATGCGGCTAAGGATATTTACCTTGCTGAATAAAATAGCGAAACTATTTTTTTTTGGTCCCAATGCATGATCTTTTTGCATCTGTATTCGTGAGAGATCTGAGCTTGCCAAGATTTGACATCTTTGTGTACTTTTCGAAATATCTACTTTATCTGATGTTGATTTATTGAGCTGAATATTGATAGTTTACTTGAATGCATTCTCCTTACTGTTTAAATGTGATGCCTAGATGCCAACTTCTTCGCCTCTTCTTAGATTGCTATCAGATATTCATCTTTTTTCTGCTACTAATCATTAACGGTTAAGGGCAGTTCTCTGGTCTGTTTACCTTCTGAGAGTGAAAGCAAAGTCCACTAGGCTTATAGCTCTATTGTCTCTTTTATCATTTACTTCTAGGTAGCCAGTTATACAAAAATAAAGTCTGAAGCCTTCATCGAATAAAAGGCCGAATTGCTGTCTGACACAGCTTGGTGCGTGTGCTCATATGATTTCGCTTTACACGTGATACATATATTTCTTGTCAGGATTGAGAACCATTGTCATGCCATTTACGAAGATTTCTTTCGATATTTAGTTGCAAGATTTCAGTGTTTTGTGGGCGTATGCATATTTTTCTCTTAGTTGTTAGATATTTAGCATTTGTATTTTAATTTTTTGTTACGATATTTTTAAGATCGTGTCATTTAAGCAGTTAGGCACTGGACCATCGGCTTACCTTAAAACCATGTGATTTTAGTTGCCTATTCCCATGATTGTATCATGCATTATTGTTTGGTTTGTTATCACCGTCAATATTAATTTATCTGGCTACACTGCTAAGCGTTTTTGGGGATGCTGTATGAAGGTGAGAAACCTTGGCAAACCAGTGGATCTTGCTGGTCAATATTATAAAGATGGGGCTGACGAGGTAGACGCTTCTTCTCTTTCTGGTTTTATTTATTTTCCATGTAATTGGTTATACACTTTACTGAAGTGTCCAGATTAAACTGCGTTTCAGATTAGCTTTTTGAACATTACTGGCTTTCGTGACTTCCCCCTGGGAGATCTGCCAATGCTTCAGGTGTGAGCTGCAGCTCTATCTGTTTTCTACACTCTGAGACTCGTGCATTTAACTAGTAGATTGATCTGAAATTGCTAATTCTACTCGTTTTAGATACTCTCTGAATATACTCCTTCATGCTCCCGACACTGACTTTCATCTTTCTATGTTCCTTAGCATGTAATAGTGGGCAATGGTGTGAACCGCCTAGAAAGTGTACATTAAAGGAGAAAATATAGCCTTAGCTTATCAAATTGTGTTGTAAATACTTTTCGTTTGATATGCTTTCTAGGTCTTGCGCAAGGCATCAGAGAATGTTTTTGTACCACTTACGGTCGGCGGTGGTATCAGGGACTTCACAGATGGAAATGGGAGGTGTGTTTGTGGCCTTTACCAGAAAGAAAGTATTTGATGGTGGATGTTTCTACATGCCATAGATTTTTCTTTCTCTTTGCTCCCAAACAAGTCCATCCTGTGGAGCCCATTGATTCTTCTTATTCAAGAATGATGTTGCTGATGTCAAGCAAGGTGATTTAGTATTTTAAGTTACCGTTGTGCATTTGTCTTCTGGCAGGCATTATTCAAGTTTGGAAGTAGCGTCAGAATATTTCCGCTCTGGGGCAGATAAGGTTTCCATTGGAAGTGATGCAGTTTATGCCGCAGAGGAGTACCTGAAAACCGGAGTATGCATAACTACGGCAATGCCTTCATTATATGTATATGATCACAGATATCAGTTGTAGCTACTTTAACTTTTCCCAATTCGAACCTCATCTCTTAAGGTAAAGACGGGAAAGAGCAGCTTGGAGCAAATTTCTCGAGTTTATGGGAATCAGGTAAGACTCTGACCACCTGTCATTTGTAAGTTTTGACGTCGTACCTAGCTGCATGATCACATAGAAAAGTTTGCATGATTTTCCAGCCCATTAGTGTGACTACGATTGTCATGAAAATAACATAGATTGTTGACCTGGCCCTGCTTAAAACGATCAGATCACTTTACGGATTTTCTCAGCCCTGATCTGCATGGCATCAACCGAGCCAGCCACTCCATGTCTGGACCTGGACGAGAAACCCTACCACAACCAGCAGATCAGGCCGATTCGCTAGCGAATTGTTCTGATTCATAAGGGAATCAGTCAGAACCTCTGCATTGTGCTCACCTGAACTTCAATATTGTTTCATTCACATGACTATGCTCACCTGAACCTCAGGGTTGTTAGGGAGGTTTTTACTAACTTTCCTGCATTGTTTAACATGGTATTTATAAAATGGTTGGGAATTGATTTCAACCCATTGGAAATATTGATTGAAATATTTCTAATCAAATTCGAGGCTCATGAAATATAGAACATAAGAAATTTCAAAAATGGAAAGAGTAGAGGCAAATTGCATACATTGATGTAAAACTTTACACAACTATCTTACTAGTATTTATGCCGAATGTTGGGTTTGGACTGGATTCTGACGTTCTGTTGTGCATATTCTTTAGGCAGTTGTTGTAAGCATCGATCCTCGTAGGATATATGTCAGGAATCCTGATGATGTACAATTTATGGTCATCACGACATCGACTCCAGGTTCTGTGATATTATTCTCAACTTGTCCTCCTAGTATCTGTACCGTCCACAGTTGGGGCATTTTCCTCATGCTACTTTCCATCCTGTGATAGTTTCAGGTCCTAATGGAGAAGAATATGCATGGTACCAGTGCACTGTAAGTTTTTATCCAATGTTTTCCTCTTGACTATTTAAATGATTTTATGGAACTGTATGCAAAAGTTTCATATTTGGAAATAGTTTGAAATGTGCACTGTGAGGTGCCTTCTGCTTATTATCTCAAGATCTGGGGAATCGTTTCTTTGCAACTTTTGGGGCATGTTATCTTGCTAGTTGTTTCATAAGTTCGATTGTGCAATCCGTCTGTGCCTGCTGTTGGCTGGCAATATCTTGAGGCTAAGAAAGGCTAGCGGTGCTGGACGGCAGGGAAGTAGGCTAGAGACTGGACCTAGTTTAGGCAGTGGAAGCCAATGATATAACCTGCTAGACGTAAAATTCATTGTGATAGATGCTTATAATTTTTACAGTGCTAACCTGTAAGAAAGAATAGAACTTAGCGCCTTCAGCAGCTTCTGAAGAGTTGCTTATCATGGTTATAATTATGGGCAGGTCAATGGTGGGCGAGAAGGTCGACCTATTGGAGCATATGAGTTTGCCAAAGCTGTTGAGGAGCTGGGAGCTGGTGAAATACTACTCAACTGTATTGATTGTGATGGTAAGACGTACCCTCCGACGAACAAAGTCTTTCGCATGCCATGTGTTTGTTTTCTCTGTACATCGATATCATCAAAGGTGGAGGCCATTAAAGAGACGTTGTGATGACCAGGCCAGGGAAAGGGCTTCGACATCGACCTGATCAAGCTGATATCAGATTGTGTCACTATTCCTGTAATAGCTAGCAGTGGTGCTGGTGCGGTGGAGCACTTCTCGGAGGTCTTTGAGAAGACGAATGCCTCAGCTGCACTAGCTGCTGGGATTTTCCATCGCAAGGAGGTGCTATTCCATTCCGGTCGTCTCTTTTTCAATATCTTTGAGCCATTAACTTCAAATTTTAGGCGTACATTTCGAAACTGCATGTCATTCCTGAGGTTTGCCATCTTGGGAAGTAGGAAATATTTTTAATCATACAGTCTCTGGGTGTCCTCATTCATTTTTAATAAAGGTTTAATTTTTATAGGTTGATCTAAAGACCACCAATTAGCAGCTCTCCTTTTTTTTTTCCCCGTACCAAACATCTTTTTTCTTCTCAGCATATCATAGCAGAGTTTGCAATGGATTTCTGGCTTGTCGAAGATCTTAGTTGATTCAAAGAAATTCTCGAATCGTTTGCCATACGGAAGCCTCCGTCTGTGATTGTGGAGACGACTTAGCTTGTGATGTGTCTCGTCTGTGTGCAGGTTCCTATTCCATCTGTGAAAGAGCATCTGTTCAGGGAGGGGGTCGAAGTCCGATTGTGAAGGAGCATCTGTTCAGGGGGGAAGACTGCGAAGTTTGTGTGCGGGTCCCCATTCGGGATGGTTCCTCCCCGATTATTATGTCTTCGAGGAGAGTCTTAAGTCAAAGGGGGGGCCTGGTTTTGCGGCCATTTTCAAGTAGTCGGCTTCTCCAGAATTAGGATTTCATATGCTTTTGCCTTTTCTCCGGCGGGGTTGATATGCTGGCTGTTTCACATGAGAAGGACCAGTCTTTTTTGATGCAACAATGAAAAATAGACCTTCCTAGCGCGAACGACAGAGATAAATGGGTGGGAAAGACAGAGATGGGCCTCTCCTGGCCCATTTGAGCTCCCTCTCCGCCGCTGGAGTATGCCCTCACGCCCACGCCGGCGGTGACGCCCGTAACGTTGCCGAGCGCGGCGGCGTTTTCGATGAAAACTCCGCCCGCTTTCTGTCATCGTCTCGTCATTGAAGTCGTAGTCTCCCCTACCGTTTCTTCGGCGGCAGCGGCATCCGAATGATCACGCCCACGTCGTTGTTGGGCACAGCATGCATGCTGTGGAATTCCTACCAGCCGCCGCCGTCGTCTCCTCCTCCGCGTTGACCTGGATAGCTGCGGATTCAGCCGTCGTCCATGAGACTAGCCTCCACCTCGTGTTCCCAGGGGGATCAGACTCTTGAAAGGAAGAAGCTCGTCCCTCTGCGGACGAAGCTATCATCTTCCTCTCACATTACGTACAGTCCAGAAACCTTATCCATTTTCGAACACAATTGCACGAGAGTCTATCGAGGGTTTCTCGGCAAGATTCCATTTAAGAAGAATCATTAAACCAACTGAATCTGCCGTCGAGGAGTTTAATGCAACGTATAATTATTCAAACGTCGGGAGAATAAAGATGAATGGGGTCGTAGGATCATCGAACGGGGGGAATAAACCAGGGGTGGGCATGTTCAAACCAGACGCCACCTCCCCATGGCGCCGCCCCCCCCGCGTCGTCTTCCTTCCTCATCCGGGCGAGGTGGTGGTTGAGCAGTGCCCGTCCCGGCCACGCGTGATAGCAGGCGCACATGCGTGCTGCAGCCGGTGGGTGGAGGGTGGGGGTGGGGGGGCGCTCTTACCAGTAGAGAGAGAGAGAGAGAGAGAGAGAGAGAGAGAGAGAGATGAACGGACACGTCGAGGACCGCGGCGGAGGGGGCGAGCTCCTGCGCGTCCCCGCAACGCGGGGATTGCGGTCGGAGATCCGGCACTCCATTGCTTTGACTTCCGACGGGAGAGGGAGGAGGTCACCGACAACAGCCGTGTCTAATCGCGCTGAGAATCCGACTCCGCTGAACGTGAGATTCGGCGTCGGTGAGAGAAAATCCAGTGGCCGTCACGGTAAGTCGTGCCGGATAAATTTTTACAGCCAACAGGTGGTGGACCACCGCCCTGTCCCGTCCTGCCGACCACGGAGGAGAGAGAGAGGGAGTAAGTCCGTTCCCCACGTAGAACGAAGGGCCGGATGTGGGGGGGCCGCAGCGCTCCAAGCATATCGTTTTTCAGGCCACTTGAGAAGGCCATGTGCTTAGATCTTGCCTGGCCAACGAAATGGATTGGTTTGATCGATCATCCAGAGGGGAGGGAGAGAGAGACGGGAGGTGGAGGGTTGGAGAGAGAGAGAGAGGACAGAGAAGAAGAGAGAGACGGGGAACCCTATTAGTCGCCATCTGCGGGCTCCTCCTCGAACCCCATCTATTTCCATTATTCGAAAGGGACATGAGAGTTGGGGCGCACCCAAAATGGGCCACCCTCTCTCTCTCTCTCTCTGTACGCGACAGTGAGATTGGAAGCGTACTCATTACTCTGAAGGCCTCACCTTCAGCAGTACTTGAAGAGAGAGAGAGAGAGAGGGACGGGGAGAGCGATCGCTGGGTCGTAACCAGCCGGATTTTTCCGCCGGGCGGATGCTCGCGGCGGGCGACGGCGAGCCGGGGACATTCTGAAAGCTCATCTCTTAAGCTCCTAACATTGGTCGACGATTAACGGGAAGTCCCTCCTCTCCCACGCCGGGATCCATCGAGGAAGCCGGTCGCGGGAGCGTTTCCCACGTACAGGATTTGATCCTTTCGTTGTCGGTGTTTCTCGACCGGAGAGAAGTCTCTCTCGCTCACGCCTGCTCCTCGTTGCCCGCACGTCTAGGTAAAAACGTGAAAACGAGGGGGTCGCAGAAAGCTAGCAAGCTCTAAGAGCAGACTCTAGAAAGCGCCCGCTATTGAGCTAGAACCTTCCCGCCGTCGGCGTCCCCGGTAATCCCTTACCTTCCGTCTCTGGTGAGCCGGAGTCACAGAGAGAGAGAGATAGAGAGAGAGAGAGAAATGGTTCTCTTCCTCTTATTCGTCGTCGTTCTCCGGAGAGCCCCCCGCCGGTGCGGCGGCGGGGAGCTCAGAAATTTCGAGATCAAAAGTAATAAATGATCTTCCAATTATTGCCGGAGGAGAGGGGAGGGGGGGGGGGGGGCTTGCTCGCCGAGCATTTCACCGACACAGCGAGAGAAAAAAGAATCCACCCGCCCGCTTCCGGACGAACTCAAACCCATAAAAGACTGATTTTTAGTCTGATTCTCTGTAATAATCAAATCCCATGGGGGTTTCTGCCCCAGATGAGCAAACAAAAACTGCCTTGTTCAAATGATGCCGCTGGAAAGCCTAGGCAAGTGGGGAGTTAAGACGCCAACTGTAAAGGTACAGTGGCAGCGGCGGCAGCTGACAGGGGATCTAACGCTATGACTGGGTCTTCTTCAGGTACTCATAGAGCCCATGCCGTGTCGGAGGCATAGGACCTAACAAGTTCCTCCTCGCCTGACGACAAGGCCCTGCTTGTCTGACGGCAGCTTCTTTTGCTATTATCCATGCACGGGGCCGCCGCCCTATCTCGCCCGGCCCCAAGGCAGCCATCCTCGATTTATACCTCGACGCAGTCCAGGTCGACGCAGCTCATCGACCTGGCATTCCCCACCACCACCACCACCACCACCACCGCCGCCCCGCCCCCCCGCCGCCACCGTCCACCATGGCCGCCGCTCCCCGCCGAGAGGACTCGGAGCTCCTCGGCGGAATGCCGAGCTCCTCATCCCATGAAGCCGGCGCTGGCAAGCTGAACAGGAAGAGGAGGCCCTTGCTCCTCCTCGCCTCATTGCTCCTGGTAGCCGTGGTGGCCGGCGTAGCCGCCGGAGCCGTCAGAGCTCGACGGAGCCGTCAGACGGCGGCGGTCCACGGCGTCCTCCGCGCCTCCTGCAGCTCCACCCTCTACCCGGATCTCTGCTACTCCTCCTTCGCCGGGCAGCCGTCGCTCCTCGCCGCCGTCACGGACCAGAAGGATGTCGTCCACGGCGCCATCAGCCTGTCCAAGAGCTCTGTCCACCACATCTTCTCCACCGTGCAGAAGATCCGCGCTTCCAGGGGCGGCAAGCTGACGGAGCGGGAGCGGTGCGCCCTCCACGACTGCCTGGAGATGTTCGACGAGACCCTCGAGGAGCTGGGGGAGGCCGACGCCGACCTCAACTCCTACGACCGCGGGGCCAGCTCGAGGGCACTGGCCCGCCACGCCGCCGACCTGAAAACCCTCCTCAGCGCCGCCATCACCAACCAGGACACCTGCCTCGATGGATTCTCCCACGACAGCGCCGAGCGGCGGCTGCGCGACGAGATCCGGGAGGCCATCACGCACGTGTCCCACATGTGCAGCAACGCCCTCGCCTTGGTCACCAACATGACCGACGGCGACATCTCCTCCAGGTTGGAGGTCGAGCAGATGGCGGCGAGCGGCGGGGTCCACCGGAAGCTCCTTGAGGTGGCGCAGGAGGAAGCCGTCTACGGTGTAGACGAGGAGGGGTTCCCGACGTGGATGTCGGCGGCGGACCGGCGGCTTCTGCAGCAGAGCACCGTGACTCCCAACGTGGTGGTGGCGGCCGACGGCAGTGGGGACTTCAAGACGGTCTCAGCGGCAGTGGCGGCAGCGCCATCGGGGAGCAGCAAGAGGTACGTTATCCGGATCAAGGCCGGAACCTACAGGGAGAACGTGGACGTGCCCAAGTCGAAGACCAACATCATGTTCGTCGGCGACGGCCGCGGCAGCACTGTCATCACCGGCAGCCGCAACGTCGTCGACGGCAGTACCACCTTCAACTCCGCCACCGTCGGTAAGCGCCGCCCGCCCACTCACCTTCGACTTGAGAGGAAGTTGAGTTAAAACCGCCTCCTTCGCTTGCGAGCTGACGACCCTCGTCGCCGACGGCGACCTGCAGCCGTGGTGGGTGGGGGATTCCTGGCGCGGGACCTGACGTTCCAGAACACGGCGGGGCCATCCAAGCACCAGGCGGTGGCGCTGCGGGTGGGCTCCGACCTGTCGGCGTTCTACCAGTGCAACATCGTCGCCTACCAGGACACGCTGTACGTGCACTCCCTCCGGCAGTTCTTTCGGGACTGCTACATCGCCGGGACGGTGGACTTCATCTTCGGCAACGCGGCGGTGGTGCTGCAGAACTGCAACCTCCAGGCCCGAAAGCCCAACCCGGGGCAGAAGAACATGGTGACGGCGCAGGGGAGGGAGGACCCGAACCAGAACACCGGCATCTCCATCCAGGGCTGCACCATCAGCGGCGCCTCCGACCTCTCGTCCTCCACCCGCACCTTCCTCGGGCGGCCGTGGAAGAAGTATTCGAGGACGGTGGTGATGCAATCGACCATCACCAGCGTCATCGACCCGGCGGGCTGGTTCGAGTGGAGCGGCTCCTTCGCGCTGGACACGCTGACCTACCGCGAGTACCAGAACACCGGCGCCGGCGCCGGCACCTCGGGGAGGGTCAACTGGAAGGGATACAAGGTCATCACCTCCGCCAGCGAGGCCCAACAGTACACCGTCGGCAACTTCATCGGTGGCTCCGGCTGGCTCGGCGCCACCGGCTTCCCCTTCAAAAGCGGCCTCTGACGGCCCTCGTACTACATCATCTTCCTCTCCCCTCCCTCCCCTGGAATATTCGAATAACTGGGTCCCCCTTGTCTCCCAACTCTGCTGCAACCAGCGGAGGGAGGGAGGCACACGTGTGCAATTGAGAAGATCGACGGCCGAATAACAAAAACAATTCAGGGCCTTCTTCTTCTGCGTCAACGCCGCAGTTCCACCCACCCCAAAATAATCACTGCGTCCAAGAGAAGGGGGAGAACTACAAAGAAGAAAGTCCCAAAGATGGCATTTTTTTTCGCTTTTACAGTACATAAAAAAAGGGTTGACCGAAAACGACCGTTCAAAGGGCAAAGGGTTGACCTTTCTAAGAAGGGGACGAAGAAAATCGCGGAGCGGTGTCGGTGAGATTTCAAGCAGATCTGCTTTCCGCAGCCGGTACCTCTCTGCGCGTCAGTCAGCATCCATCTCCTCCAGAGCTGCCTTGGCGGCTTCCTTGGCCTGCTCCAGGAGGTCGTCCGGGACCTGCAGCGCGGCAGTACCACAGTTTATTTACATTTTTCCCCCCTTCGTAAAGAGTTCACACTTCGACGAGGAAGCAAGCAAGCAAGCGAAAAAGGGTTGGGACGGGGAAAGCACCAACCTTCTGGTGCTGGCGGTCGGATTCCTCGCAGACCCAGCTCATTTCCAGCTCGAATGCCTTATCCTTAGCCTCGTCGTGTATGCCATAGATGCTGCCACGCCACGACAGAGAATGGGTTAAGAACGCCACTGTGCGACTCTCTCTCTTTCTCTCATATTTATACATATACTAAGACACGTGAGGCAAATTATGTGTGGGCTAAATGACTAAATGACGCGTGGGGATGTCCTCTTCCTGCTTCCTTGGATGATTCCATTAATGACGCGTGGGGATGTCCTCACCGGACACATGGGGGGTTGTGTACAGAAGAAGGGCGAGGAGTCCGTACCGTCAATGAGTCGGAAAAAAAGCGATGGCTTAAGATTTCATTAGGGGATGAAAGCGGTGTCTGAGAATCTGAGGTCAACAAGGGCAGGGGAATATGAGAAGGGAATGTGATTTGACGGGGTTGGGAGATCTCAAGAAGGTGGGTGGTTAGGTAGACTCGGTGAATGAGCAGATAGGGAACAGGTTAGGTTGCAGGCACCGAGACAAGAAGAGCAAGTATGGTAGAAACCCATTTTTAGTTTTTCCACCCTAAAACCAAAAAATCATCCTTCCTACCCTTTTAAACACCCACGTAAAGTGGAAGGTGGATCCCCCCTCCTGAAGATGGTGGTAGCGACAAGGGCATTGGGTGATTATCTCTCTCTCTCTCTCTCTCTCTCTCTCTCACTCTCAAGTGGGTGGGCAGGTAGCCTAGGTGAATAAGCTGATGGTGAACAGGTTTCAATCCCCGATAAACGAAGAGGAAGTATGGCAGACACCCATAATTAATTTTTGCCTCTCTAAAATAGAATAACCATCCTTCCCACCCTTTAAACAACCGCGTAATTTATTAAAGTAATTAGCACAAGATGAAAAACAGGGAGATTAAATAAAACAATACTGTAGAGCTAAAATGTACTTGCATGCACGCGGGGGGGAGGAATACTTACATTTTAGCAACCTCAATGACCCCTTGCCTGCATGTTAGCTCTGATAACTTCAGCTTCTCTATCTCCCTGTTCAGTAGACAAGAGTTTGTAGCATCAAGAGTGGAATCTATCTTAATAGGTACACACGGCAAGGCATAGCAAAGAAAATCTTTAAGATACTAAACCGAAGATGACGGCCTGGACTTGGCAAAATATCCAGTGCAGGCCCAACTTACTGAAATTGATGGACAAGCAAGGGGCAATGGAGTTTTTACATACAAAGGAAAACGAGGCGCATATATATGTGGTTTCAAATCACCCTCATAATGGCTCTTCGACGCTCTAGAAGTACAAGTCAAAGAAGGGAATAGAACAGAAGAAAGGCTCTTCGACGACTTACGTTTTTGCAGCCTGTCTCCCTTTGCCCAAAGCAGCCCCAAAGTATCTCTGGACACGTTTCAAGAGATGAAGAAAGTAAACAAAATTGAAAGTACATATGCAACTACAAGATCATTGATGGTATGACACATAGTTTTGTGAAGTATGTGAAATAATAGAGCCAACCGGGCTCACACAAAAAAGGCTTAACTGACTCTTATCTGATCAGCTACTAATGAAATTACAATCTTTCATGAGTAAAACAGTAAAAATTACTTATTTCTTAAATAATGCATCAGATGACGTTGTAAACGGAAGTCAACTCACGTATGAGATACCAGAAGGTTCAACCATGTACAGCTGCGGTCCATCCCTGTCATAACCTCCAACAAGAACACCACAACCAAAGGGTCTGCAACATAACAACCTCTCTTAGCGAAGTATGAATGACTTAGAGAGGTTTCCAAGGAACATCTCATGAGTGATGGTTATAAATTAACCTCATCCTACCTTAGCCACCAATAGAGTGTGCAAAGATGAACATAGCTAGCAACACGGTCTGCAAGTTCTTTCACAGGTATAGGCTCACCATAGATCCTGGATTCCAGATGTTTAGAACAGCTCAAAACACGCATTCATGAAGAAAAGATCGATGAAAACCACCATTTTCTTCCCAGTATTGCAAAGAATAGATGGACCACAGAGTGCTCCAAGAAACAACATATGAAAAACGAGGCTAATTGAAAATGATGGGCACAATCTTCATGTAAATCGGAAAATCCCAACGTTTAAGTGGAAGAAAGCACAATATTCTAGAGGACTGTCACAATAATGTATTCACTATACGGCTTCTATGAGGTGGTACATAACAGCTTTCTCCTAAGTTGGAATCTATGTGTGTCGAAAAACAAACAAGCATTTAGAGATTCTTTATTGCAATTAAGGTAAAAATAAATAAATAAAAACTAAAGGAGGCAATAAAAAGATAAGACATTAGGCATCTTAAATATATCTACACAAATGACATGTAACACAGTGAAGTTATGGTAGGATTCAAGCTCCTGATGATTATTAGCTGTGACACACTAGATTTATGTATGTGTGCACGCGCCTTTGCGTGTATATGTAGTAAGCTGTGTGAGGAATTTATTTAAACATGGTTATCACCTTCCTTCATTAACTACATAACCTGCAAAAATCGCTCGCAAACTGCATTCCGGTTTTTGTTTATGACCGCAACCAAGTTAATATGAGATTGTAGTGATATTTATAACACAAAGCAACGCCCAAATAAGAATGTAAAAAATTAGAAGATGATAGCTTCAAGAAATAGAATCTTGCAGACAATAAAAGTCCAAACCTTTCATAGTTAGTGGCTTCAGATTTGGCCCGGGTAACAATTTGCCTACCATCTGCAGCTAATCCAGCAACAGCCTAAATATGAAATTCATGCATGATAATAAGAAGGATTACATGACCTGGTATTAAGATTAAAATTTTTCATGCCTACAAAGGTTAAAAATATCATGCATACAAATGAAAATTTTGAAGTAACGTTCAGAGATAATGGACCTGAATTAAAAATCAGGCGCAAAAGAATTTTTTTCCCAATCCCCATCTTTTCTTTCAACTAATTATTGAATTAGAAAATAACCACAAAAAATGGAAGAATATATTGCATAGCGATATGACAAAGAATGCCCTGGCCATATATTAGCCACTCACCAGCCTTTGAAAACATGACAACAAAAATGAAAGATCTCTAGACATGAGAACAATTCGAGGGACAAAAGTCTTTTCTGTGCTCTTCTCTATCCTTTTAAGGAAAACCCCAGGTTCTTTGGGCAACAAAAGGGAAAATTAGGTGGACTCCACCCCAAGTGCATAGAAGAAAGGCGAAGGCATTTGGGAACATCGTTTTTAATCAGAATATTATCATTGAAAAAAATGTGTATAAGTACAAAGTAATAAGATTATAAAATAGCGGTGACATAACTTTTGTAAATGGTACTAACAAGTAAAAATTGATAGTTACGAGTTACATTACGAAAGTTTATGCATTCAACCGAAGTGATGTTCATGCAAAAAGCCAATAAGCAGACGTTCAACCCGTTCCTGACAGGGAGTAGTTCCCTGGCTTAAGTGAATGACCGAATTATTGCCCTGCTCGCAACAGCAAATGGGCATGCATTGGCAAAGGAACATGCTTTTACTCATGAGGAAATACCTGTTCACTTGGTTGCGGTAAAAAATGCAACCAGAATCTGTGATTAGCTACTCACCTAGTCAAGACAGGTGCCTTGTCGCAGAGGCGACATTTTAAAAGGCTATGAGAGCAGCTACATAATTTTACCGAACACCTTGGGATGACTTGTATGCAATCATCAAACAACAACCATTTAAGCAAGGGTTCAATAAAAAACAACCACAACCTTTAAGGCACTGAGGACGAGTGAAAGACCAAAGCACTGTGGTCTGAAAAGATTGATATTGGCTTTCAGCAGAATTTGGCACAACTAAAAGGTGGTGTGGACCTAGGTAACCCACATCCTGTCAGAACTGAAAATTTTCATGGACTTTTGATATTACCATTCGTAATTCACAAAGATGCGCAAGGAAGTAATTTAGTGAATAAATATGGATAACTTAAAAATAAATATATCCAGTTGACTACTAAGGACTCCATCCCATGATCATCCACCGAGAACAAGAAGCTACAGTTACAACCGCCAATCATCAATATTCCAATTAGATATTCTCCACCACAAGTATCTCGTTCAATTACATCAGGTACCATCAGTGTGTTAACTTTAACATCAGCTTCCGTAGTGTATAACAATGCAATCGGTTAGAATAAAGATTGGTGATCCAAGATAAAAAAAACTTCTAGAATGCTCATGGAAAGAAGTGTCCGTCATGTTCTGGAGTTAATTTAGTGGCATTATCGAATCTCCATAAATAATAATAGCAGGTTGCATTAAAATGAAATCAGTTCACGAATTCAGACTTCAGAATCGAATTTCGATTCCCAGTCATGCCAGGTCCAACCGTGATCTCTGTCAGACAAAGGTCTGGCCAGGGCAGAAACTGGCCAATCTCACGTAGACCAGTTCCCTTCTTTTCTTATATTTTCGCAATCGGCTGATTCTACATAGTTTAATCAGTTAACAACAATGATTCTATGTCATCAACTGGATGCGCTTTAATCCTTAGGCTAAACTTAACCTGATCACCATAAACCCAGAACAAGTATACCAGGGCCATGACTGCTGGAATCACAACCAGATCCTTTGGAAAATGAGGACAAGACCAAAAGCCAGCAGGATAAATGTAAAGATGAAAAAGCGTAACAAGCAGAGAGCTGGTAGGAAACTGCTTTAACTGTTTCAGGAGGGTAACTTCTGTATGTCACTTTAGGAATTTTGAAGTAAAAAATATACCAACAGTTTCCAAGTTTTTCTGTAATAACCATAAACAGAGGCTCAAGGATAGAAACTGTTACCATTTTTTTTAAAGTTCTGTATTAAGTAAAGTCGAGAATAATGCAAAATAATATAAGGTGAAAATTTCAACCGGGATTTTACATTATGAAGCATATATGCTGCCTGAACACGAAGAAAACCACTAATTGCTATTCATCCCAAATTCAGGCCAGCTTTCCGAAGTGTCAACGACAGACATGAACTCCCAAGAAATGTCAGAGGAGTCCATGTAAAAGGAGAGAGCTATCATATATTCATTGAAAAGTGTTATCACTTAGTTTCTGTAAGGACTCGAGGATTACGAGGAATCGGGCGGATTCCCCAGGTCCAGATATTACTGTAACATTCCTGACCATTTGTTACGGATAGAAAGCACCGATGGAATTAACATTTTGGCAGGATAGTAACAGCACAAACACAAATAAGAGAACAGCCCAGAAACAGCACCGACGAAAGTAAGATTTTTGGAAAAGGTCCGGTAAGTTAAATGAATGGAAATATGACATCAGCTGCGACGTAGCATACCATGCCGGAGTGGCGGTGCACAGAGTGGATCCTCCTGTTCGATCCGGCCAGCAGCATTTTAGAGGCAATCAATTTTTCCACGCCCTAAGAGCAAAAGAGAGTTAAAACGAACCAAATAAGTAAACAAATAGCAAAACAACTACGGAACACTATTTAATAGCCACCGCCCTTAAACAAGAGCTGCACCCCCACCCCCCTTCCCTTCAATAGCCAGAGAGTAGTCAAGTTGAGGGAGCATAATCTACCATGACGATCCCATCCTTGCACTTGATGCCAATCACCGTCCTGACAGGAAGAAGCAAGAACGCGAACAACGTCGGTCCAATCAGCACCGGCGAGGCCGGAATTAGGAAACTACGGGAGAAGATGTAATGGACGAGAAAGCTCGAGATGTGGCAATTCGCTCACCCGCTGTTGTCTACGGCCTTGGCGGCGTACTCGATCTGGAACAGCCGGCCATCGGGCGAGTAGGTAGTCACGGACAGATCGTACCCCGTTCCAATGCTGCTCATCTTCTCCGCCTACCCCGAACCCCTCCTGTCTCCGTCTATCCGCGCTTCTCCACTGCAAATGGGAGGGCAGCAGCAGCAGCAGCTGTGTAGGTCGCCCCTCTGTTTCTTGCGAGAGAAGTAGCGCCGATGGGAAGAAAAAGAGGGTGGGGGGGAGAGGAATACCCGGTTCGGATCCGAACCGACTTCACAACATTAAAATTTCCTTCCCCTTTCAAAATGCGGCGCCACAGAGAGATAACGGGGGGGAATAATTTCTGTTTTTAAGAATTGGTGAAGGGAAAGAGTACCTTTCCAAATAAGATTACTTTATTCGTAAGAAAAATGGAAATATACTCATATTTTCTTTTTTTTTTTAAACACATGTATACTGGGGGTTCGGCCTACTACTGCACCGCGCTGTGCCCTGCAACTCGAGTCGAATGCGGAGTTCCGCCGCGCTGCCCCACCGCCGGTGGTTCTTCTCCACCGGCCCCAGCGCTTCCTCTGGGAGGCCCAGATTACTTTGTTGCTCTGCCCCGCCGCTCCCAGCCACCGCCGCCCCCTATGATTTTACTCCTCCCTCGGCGGAGGTGGGAAGACCCGAGAATGACTCAGAATCCCTCGTCGACCACCGGACCTCGCCGGTGAGTGCGCTTCTCGGGGAACCCACCTCGAGTTCCAGGGTCGCCGCCAATGCGTTGCCGGATGGAACTAACTGTTCTGAGAAGTTTGTTTCGGGAGAGGGGAAAAATGCGCAGTCGGCTGTTGAGAAGGCCGACCCTGTGAGCCGACTCTCCCAGCTAGCCCAGTTGTTCGCTTCCTCCAACTTATCTTCCCCGCGAACGCGCGAAGAAGGTGCTGGCATCGTTCTGCGGGACAAAGGTTTTACTCTTCCCGATAGGTGGCTCAAGAAGAACGATTGCTCTGCAGAAAACGATGTGTCCCTCTGGCGGATACCTCAACCTGTGCCGCCATCCGACTTTTCAGAGGAAGACGTCATCAACTCTCTGTTGGAGAAGCAGCTCAAACCGAAAGATGCCTTGAAGTACTTCATGTGGATCAAGGAGCACAGTAGCTCTGTATGCGGAGTCGATTCCCTCTGTGTGCTCCTCCAGATCCTGGTGCAGTACCAGCATTTCTTGGGCGCCCGAGAGCTTATGATTCGTTCATTCTCGGCGCTGGGGGCTCCCGACCCAAGCACCCTGATTGACCGCCTGATAGAGTGCTCTAAAAGATACGGCTTTGATTGTGATTCCAAGGTCCTAAATCAGGTCTTGAGCTGCTATGTACGTGTTGGTAGGGAAGAAGATGCTTTGAAGACCTTCTACCATATGCTTGGGCATGGAATTGTGCCATGCATCACGGCAAGGAACTGCCTGTTAGCTGGCCTGGTGAAAAAGAACGCTACAAAAAAGGCTCGAGACTTGTATGTCGAAATGCGCCAGATGGCCATGGATTTTGACTGCTTCACGATCGATATACTAATGCAGGCCTGCTTGAAGGAAGGGAAGGAGAAGGATGCTGAGGAGTACTTTGCTGAGATGACGGCCGAAGGGTTGACACCAGATGAAGTGGCCTTTGCCACCGTGATCCAGCTAGTCTGTAAGAGGCCTGATTCCAGGAGAGCTTGCCAGTTGCTGGATTTGATGAAACATTCATGCCTGACTCCTTCAGGGGTGATTTACACCTGGGTGATCAGTGCCTGTGTGAAGGAGAGGAATATGACCCAGGCATTGCAGTTGAAAGATGAGATGCTGACCTGTGGCTGGAAAATGAATGTGTTTGCTGCCACTAATCTCATGCAGGGATACTGCCATCAAGGCGACTTCAATGCTGCTTTGGACCTGCTCTACGAAATAACCAGGCAAGGAATTGCTCCAAACAATGTAACCTACGCTGTTCTCATCGAAGGTGCCTGTAACAGCAACTCTGTAGAGAAGGCCTGTGAACTTTATCAAGAAATGAGACAGAAGGGCATCACCCCGAGTGTGTATACTGCCAACTCTGTGTTGAAAGTTCTGCTGGACAGAGATGATTTGGCATCAGCGTCTAAACTGTTTGATGAGCTGGTTGGTCTCGGTGTGGCCAATGTCTTCACTTACAATTCTTTGATGCACTGGTTTTGTCAGCAGGGAAGAACGAAAGAAGCATATGATATATGGGATGAGATGGTGGAGAAGGGAATCAAGCCTAGCAATGTTTCTTACAATAATTTGCTGCTTGGGCACTGCAGACATGGGGACATCAATTCGGCAGCAATGCTATTTGACCATATGTCTGAGATGAAGATCAAACCTGACGTCTTTGCTTTTACTACCATGATTGAGGGGTATTTCAGGAAGGGTGATGTTGAATGTGCTCTTGATCTGTACAGAAATATGTTGGCTGCGGGTGTTTCTCCCAGTGGGTTTACATTCAACACCATTATAAGTGGGCTTTGCAAGGCGGGTCAAGTCTCTGATGCAATTGCTATGCTAAATTTTTTTAAGGAAGATCAGGGATTTGTACCGATGTGCATGACTTACAACAGCATCATCAATGGTTTTGTAAAGCAGGGTAACATGAGTGAAGCTCTCTCTATGTATCGACAGATGTGCAAAGATGACATGGCCCCTTCTGTGGTCACTTATACCATTTTCATGGACGGGTATAGCAAGAGAAGCAGCAGCGACCTTGCAATGAAGATTCGAAATGATATGATAAGCAGGGGTCTCCAGCTAGATACTGCAGCACACAACGCTGTGATTGATGGGTTCTGCAAGACGGGAAACATGGAAGTCGCACATCGGCTTTTTGATGAGTTGCTTGCAAGTGGGTTTTCGCCCACTGCAGTCATCTACAACAGCCTCATATGTGGCTACAAGAAGCAAAACAATATGGAGGCTTCATATGAGTTGTATCGGAAAATGTGCGAAGAAAACATCCCTTGTGACTTGGCCACATATACGACATTAATTGATGGTTCGCTGAAAGCTGGTGACCTTGCCTGTGCATCAGAAATGTTTGATGGCATGCTGTCGAAGGGAATTGTCCCAGACGTTATAACCTATTCCACACTCGTGCAAGGGTTTTGCAGCAATGGGCAGCTTGAAAATGCCCGCAGGATCTTTGACAGAATGAATAGAGAAAACAGGAGCCCTGGTGCTCTCATCTACAACACGTTGATCCAAGGGTACTTCCGGGAGGGTAATCTGCAGGAGGCATTTAGATTGCATGATGAAATGCTGGACAGGGGCCTTGTCCCATTTGATAGAGCATATGATATTCTCAGAAACTCATGCTCTGGTGGAAGTACGCCTATTGTTGGGCCTCAGACTTCTGTGGGCAATTCGTCTCATAGATCTACATCACTCACAATCACCACTTTGTTTGTTTGAGATTCAGAAGGTGATTATGAAAGCCTGATGGAGAAAGGGAAATGGATGTGTTGCTCAAAACTGAAGCCGGCAGATTATTGTACAAGCCCCTGACAACATTCGACATTGTTGGTGCCTTTTGTACTGTAAGATCTGACTGGCTTAGTTTGATTACATGGAGCTACAGATGACAGCTGGTTGGAAGAGACCACTAAATCAAAGGCCTGCTCTCCCCATACGCATACCCATCTCGTGATTCCATGTGATAATGCCCATTTACTTGATTTGGCACTCCATAGATTCTCTGATTTGAAATATCCTTTACAGTTGCAGTGATTGGGGATTCTAACCCTATATTCTTGATAACAGATACCGGTTACTCATTTGTGGTGAATCCCCGATTTTCACTTTTTTTTTTTTTATCACTCATGATAGAATTTGGCGATTGCTGCTTCTTCTAGTCACTAAAAGGTTGATTATTTGGTTATCCGTGTTCCACCATTCCTTCCTGTGTAACGATGTTGTTGGAAGATGCTCGTTGGCCTTCATCTCGGATGCCCTGGATCAACCTGGCAATTCAAGAACCTTGAGTAGCGGGGGCCTTGGGCGTCTAAGGTAGCCTCACCAGTCACAACCTTCGTGCAATTCATTTCTTCAAAGGATGCTGGTACTGCACATCTGCGTATCCATTTCTCATGGATGAATGTATTCCTTGAAGAATTTTATATTCTAACTCTCTTCCTGGTGAATAAAACCAGTCTACTTAACCCTCTAAAACACTTTTCTCCACCACAGATTATCAACGTCAGAGACGCTTCGTCGCTGGTTTTAGATGACTGCATTTTATGCTAGTGATTTAGACGTGCTGTTCTTGTTCCGAAGAAGATGCCAGGGCCATCCTCCAACCAGATAGCCTATGTGGATTACAAGTTTTATGATCCAAGATGCCCATTGCATTTAGTGGAGCTTCTCCTGACGAGAAACAGTGATCGGTTGCTGTGATTATGGTGAATGGGTTCTTTCTCGAACATGTATTTCACGGCGAGTATCAGATATTCCACGGAAAAGAGCAAGTCTTGGCTGCCCAATGGCTCAATGAGGCTTTAAAAGCGAGACAACTCATCTGCAGATATCCTGTAATGAGCTGACAACTTCATCCGCAGTTTTTTTTTCAATTTATTTATTTATATATATTTCTGAAGAAAGAAAAGAGAAGAATTTGAAGGTGAGAAGACAATATGATGGTGGAAGAAAGGACGGCATGTCTCTTCCGGGCACAGGCTTGGTTTTGACTTCGGCCTGAAACTGGTTTCTATAACGTGTGACGTTCAGTTGCTCAGTAACATTAATGGATATTACTCTTTTGCCATTTCCTGATCGAAGAATTAGTTTATTTCTACGGGGGGCGATAATACATTTTTAATATATAAATTTTACGCTAAAGCTGTATTTTCAATCTGATGGCATCCAGGGTGTCGTCGATGGCTCGACTTTGCTTTCGCATGAGGCATTTATGGAATCAAATGGCCAATAATTATTGTTCTCGTTTTCTGTCAATTTATTAATTTCAGAATGGCCCATTTTTTGAAGAAAGGTATCCAGATGAAGTAAGTTTTTGAAAGCTTTTTACCTCTTCCGTTCAGTTTTCTGGCCCCAGAGGAAAACGATTGGTCAAAGGGTTGGGGAGGTGGTGGAAGAAGTTCGGTTAGCCACGTGGCCCACACGTGTGCTCAACCGATGTCGAGGAGCCTAAACGACGGCCGAGCTTGGAGAAATAGAGACCGGTTATGGATTTGAGGCGGAGAGATGGGGCCCAGAAGCCTCTACCAGTGGAGAGGTGCCACGTGTAGGGACGACATCGCTCCGCCGTGAGCGGCGGACGCAGACGACGAGAGAGCTCCGAGGGAGGGAGGGACGGACGGACGGGACGCCGCCGTTGAAAGCTGCGGCTGCGGCGCGTGTTGTCCGTGGGAGGGGCGGGGTGGGGACAGTCCAGAGAGATCTCCTGCGAGGGGAATCGGGCGGGGGGGTAGCTGTGGATTGATTGCTCTGTGAGCATGATGATGGAGAGAGCAAGTGATCCGTCGGAGGTTGGGGGAGGGAGAGGGAAGCAGAAGGGAAGGGAAGGGTGTTAACCTTCCGCCACAGGAAGAGGGTGATCAGGGAGGGAGGAGAACGAAGATTGTAGCCGGGGAGGAAACGGAGGGGATTTAATCGGGCGGGGGCGGGATTTTAGTGTTTTTTCTGCGGAGGATGAGTTCCGGTGAGATCCGCGGCTAAACTCGTCGGATTCACGCTGGGGCGTGTTGTGGGGAATGCGGGGGATCACAGGTGCCAGTTGATATCTCTCTCTCCTCCGTTGTTGGGATCACGGGAGGCCGTGGTAGGCAAGGGCTTTGAGCTTCTTCTTCTTCCGCCCTAGAGACCAGTTCTTCGCCTTTCTGGCGAGTCTGCTTGTGAGCCTGAGACGAAAGTCGTTTTCGCTCGCTTCGACGCGGTTCTAGACAGCTGGGGAGACTGGAATTGGCCGGGCAGGGCGTGGTAACGTGACCAGTCCGGGGTGGCCGTCGTCACGGGAATGCGAATTAGCGGAGGCGGAGGCGGAGGCGGAGGCGGAGGCGGAGGCGGAGGCGGGCGGAAGAGCAGGACACGGGCCTCCCTCTTGCCCTATGACGGAAGGGAGGTGTTTGAATCTGAACGCCATAGTTGGTTAACTGCGGCTTGAGTGTATTGCCTAGGGCCAGGATCATCAAGCAGGATTTCCTAACTTCTTCTGGATTCTTCTAGGTTACTTTTTACTTCTAGGTTTCCGTTGAAGCATCAGAATCGGCGAGACGGAGCCTGCATGCCTATTTGATCTCTTGATTAGCGGTCGGGGAGGTGACCATCTGATTCAGGCTTCGGCCGCAGCAGCAGCCGATGAGGATTGCAGGATGAGTGAGCTTGAGAGAGTTCGTTGTCGATGGAAACTCCTGACAATCGATTCTCCGAGTTAGTCGACTTGGTGAAGGCCTGGATCCCTCAGAGGCCCAAGCCTGCGAATGTGTCTAGGGCCTTTTGGATGCCCGACCACAGCTGTAGGGTCTGCTACGAATGTGATTCCCAGTTCACCGTTTTCAACCGTCGTCACCATTGCCGACTCTGTGGTCGTGTTTTCTGTGGGAGGTGCACTGCGAATTCTGTCTCCGTCCCATCTGATGAGGCCATTGGCGGCAGGGAGGAGGGTGAGAAGATCAGGGCTTGTAACTATTGCTTCAAGCAATGGGAGCAGGATCTAGCAGCTGCCGAGAATGGAAATCCAGCGTCCAGTCCAGGTCTCAGCTCTTCACCATCGGCTACGAGTTTGGCCAGCATCAAGTCTAGTGGAACTGCTCATAGCTCCAATACTATCGCTGGCTCTGTGCCATATGCAACCACCACTTACCAGAGAGCAGTGTTTAATTCCGGTCTTGGCACCCCTGGTCAGTCTGCTGGATTGGAGCCTTATCCAGACAGACAGGACCTGGCGACAGAGGAGAGAAACAAGGATTCTTCTATGGCACTCGTACCAGATCCTCCTCGCAACTCCTTTGGCTTTTGCATGAACAGGTTGGCATATACATTGTTGGGATTTAAATTACTGACCAGACGGGACGTTATTTTTGTTATGAAAAATATAAATATACATTTAAATTACTTGGGATTTGTTATGAACCTCGTCAAGAAATTGGGGTTTACCTTGGTAACTATTATGTATAAAACTCATCGAATAAGCATGCTGTTAAAAAGTTAAATATGGCTTTTGATTTTTACTTCCTCCTTCAGTCTTGGCATTTTCTTGGAGTCCCTATGGTTTTCGCTCTCAGTATAGTCTTTTTAGAATCATAAAAATTTCTAATCAAGCTCTGTGATTGGAACGCATCAGAATTTGGCTGAGGACAGCCTCATCTGACAAGAGTGATTGGTTGAAATAATATTTTGCATGAAACATATAAAAAAAAACTAAGACATCAGAAATTTAATCCTTACATCCAAATTTCAATTATCTTCGAGTCTTCTTCCTCAGAAGCATAAGATTTTTCATGTAATTCGCCACTGAAGGAGACGGACAGTATTCCATGTAGATGTGCAACTTCTAGGATAGTAGACTTTGTCCTCGTATGCATATCGTGCACATGTTTCTGTTTCATGTTCTATGAGTATATATATTTTGAAGACTCTATGAGGTCAACCTCGTGGACTCCATGGACATTGAGGATCAATGATTTTTAATGTTATATTGTATTGAGATAGTATTGGTTTTCGTTATTCTCTGTGCGTAAATATTTCCAAGCAAAAAGAAGAGCGCAGCAAGGGCCTGCCTCACGTAATTACATTTCCTAGTTCTTTGTTTATCTTTCTCTCTCTATAGATATATTCCCTCCTGTCTCTGTCTGATATATTCTGTTTACTCAGTTGTAGAAGTGATGATGAGGAAGATGAATATGCCTGTCGTTCTGACTCAGACACGCGTCAATTTCATCACTCTAATGATTACTATGTTCCCGTTGAGTTTGATGAAGTTGACCATGGATACAGACCAGAGAATGTGCATCCGTCCGAGGATAATAATGATCAGAAATATTTATCATCACCACAGAACAGAGGAACAGAATTTGAAACTTCTTTGTCTGTCGATAAAATGATAGATGAAGCAGGAGGCAATAATATGTATGATTGTGATGCTTCATCTTCTATATACAACATGGAAGGTGCAGACTCTGAACATCCAGACACTGAGCCCGTTGATTTCGAGAATAATGGGTTGCTTTGGCTCCCTCCAGATCCTGAGGATGAGCAAGATGACCGAGACATTGGCCTTTTTGATGATGATGATGAAGAGGATACTTTAGGCGAGTGGGGGAATCTACAATCTTCAAACAGTTTTGGTAGTGGGGAGTTCCGGCTTCGAGATCGTCCAAATGATGATCATAGGAAGGCCATGAAGCATGTTGTTGATGGACACTTTAGGGCCTTGGTGTCTCAACTACTTCAGGTTGAGAATCTACCCATAGGTGAAGAGAATGACAAGGAAAGTTGGTTGCAGATCATCACATGTTTGTCATGGGAAGCAGCTACTTTGCTCAAGCCAGACACGAATAAAGGAGACGAAATGGATCCTGGTGGCTATCTGAAAATTAAATGCATAGCCTGTGGGCATCGTAGCGAGAGGTATTTTCCCTCTGAACATCTCTTTCATTTCGTTTTGTATTGTACTTTCAGTTCTTATGGAAATGAGGAACCTACCTCCCTGTGAAGACATTAATCTGATTTCAAAAAATATGATCGGATAGCTCCTTTTGCAATTTATTTGGATTGTGGGGCTCAAAAAACTGCAGTATGGTTTTCCTGATAAAATTTTTGGCGTCATTTTCCAGTATGGTGATTAAGGGAATAGTTTGCAAAAAGAATGTGGCACATCGGCGCATGACAGCAAGAATTGAAAAGCCACGCTTCCTTATCCTTGGTGGAGCACTCGAGTACCAACGGAAAGCAAATTCACTGTCAAGCGTTGATACTCTGTTGCAGCAGGTGTGATGAATTTTTTGCTTTTAGAATTTTTTGGTCGTTGCTTTTTGTCTGTATGGTCTTCGCTCTTATATTTTTTGTTCTTGCTAGGAAACGGATCATTTGAAGATGGCAGTTGCAAAGATAGATGCCCAACACCCAAATGTCCTTTTGGTAGAAAAGTCTGTCTCTCGTTTTGCCCAGGAGTGCCTTCTTGCGAAAGGCATATCTCTCGTTCTCAATATGAAAAGACCTCTTCTAGAGCGCGTAGCCCGGTGCACTGGTGCACACATAGTTCCTTCTGTTGATAACCTGTCTTCCCAGATGCTGGGTTATTGTGATTTATTCCATGTTGAGAAGCTTCTTGAGGAGCATGGAAGTGCAGGCCAAGGTGGGAAGAAATTGGTGAAGACTCTGATGTTTTTCGAAGGGTGCCCTAGGCCCTTGGGCTGCACTGTAAGTCCTAATCTTTATGTCCTCGTTTATTTCTTCTTGAATGCGAATACTCTGTCCTTTTGGGCTGGGGATAATTCTGTTTATGCTGTTTTGCCAATAAACAAAGATCCTCTATCTTCCAGTGTCTGAGTGTGCAATGTTATTTTAGACCAAGAACTCAGTACTTCGTAATACCTTTTTTATTTTATTTTAGTTGATCTCACCAGTCTTTCAGTTTCTAGCTGAATTTCTTTTAGTTTTTTGGATGGTGAAACGAGTCCACCAATAAAAAGAATCAGAACAGCAATTATTCGTGGCTAACTTATTTGCTCATTTAACAAGATGTTAAATAAGTACGATTGGAGATTATCACAAAAATATGTAACGAGGAAAAAGCTGACTCTACTGGTTTGGAGGCCTTGTGTTTAGTAGTATGACCTGTACCATCTTGGGCTAGGTCACAATTATTTGTTAAGCGGTTTTACCGCACTGCCTATAGGAGTTATGCTTGTACATTCTTTCATTTTTTATTTGTTTATCAGATGATACTACCTATTTTTACAAGAAAATAACATAGTGTTCTTCCCATCCTTTGCCTCGCCAAGACAGTAGAGCAGACAGGTTCTGTCGTCTCCATTCTTTTGGACTGTTGATTATAATGCATGATTATGTTAATAGTCTTTTATAGATCTTAGTAGTATTGTCGAAATATTCTGTTGCTCCTCCACCTTCATATGGTCCACAACGTTGCTGGTTAAGGCACAATCTGTCAGTCAATATCTTTGGACAGCGACCATGTTAACGACTTCAAGAATTCCTTCATTTCTTTGTACGCGCCAGCATTATTCTGAACAGGTTACAATAAAATTTTCTGCGTAACATTCACAATTTTACAACCCACGAATTCAAAACCTGTCTTTTCTGTGAACACAAACACGTGGCCTGAGCTCCAGGAACCTATCAAAAAGTGTTATATTTTTACGGTAAGCTTGGTCTCCCATATTAATCTTGTCTTGCAAGTTCTGACACCCCTTGGTCTTATTAGTGGTTTGTGACCCGATATCTTAAAAAACTATACATGTTCAAGCTGAAGAAGAACAAGGACAATAACAAGAAGAACATGTAGGACAAATACTGCAGCTAAAGGCGACCGTAAAAAAAACATAAAATAGTTTAGAAGTGGCCTGGAATGTGTCTTCATTGCTATTTTTGCATTTTCGCATAAGTGGCATTCAAGGCTGATCACTCACTTTGATAATTTCATTAGTGCAATGTAAGATATGTGTTCCTAGTTAGGTCACTCTTTTGCTTTCTTATCAGCATAAGTCATTATATTTTCTTTTTGGGAGTTGCTTGGTTTTTAAATCTTCTCCCAACCCTGCAGTCTGTTTTAATCAGCTTTTCAGTTCTGCGGATTGCACTCAGCTACACTGTATAGGAGCAGCTCAGTGAGGCAACCATGCAGAGACGCCTAATCCATAGGATTAAAATACACATAGTTTTATTTAAAATTTTAAAGCTATTTGCGAAAAGCTTATAATTGATTTGTTTGTAGAATATGTACATTGCAAGTGAATGGTCCAGATCCTAATCAAGTATGAAAGGAAAATATACGTTAATGTGCTGTTGATCACGCATGTATATCTGTGTTTCCAAGAGCCCTAAGCCAAAGATACCCAGGTGCTTAGACGTGCCTATGTTTCTAATGCTCTCATAATGGTAGAATCAACATCATTCCTCATCACAAAAGATTCTTTCCCGTACTTTCACCCTTTCCAAAGAGTTGGATGAGGGAAGAGACAACATAATTTTTTTCAATATGTTCAAGGATTCAGTTCTGCTCCGGCCCCCTCTATATCTTTTCCTTAGCTGGTGGAGTGTGCCGGCTAATGTCTATCACAACGGAGAGTCTCTGTCAGAGCTGATGTGAGGTGTAACATCTCAGAATATATTAACTTAGTTTTCAATAGTTTGTTTAGTGTTCCGGACATAACAATTGGATGACAAGTGCTGCCCCATTTACCTTGTCTCTCATGCCAATAACATGTTAAAAGTGGTCGCACATCTTTAATTGTAATTTTATAATATTTATTTTGGGTTCATCTAGGTTTTTTGAGCGATAACATTCATTTTAGGGTTCCTCACCATGGTATTCGTTCTGTCGCTTAAATTAGATCAGATTCTTGCAATGCAATGCAGTTGCCCTGAATTTTTTCATGACACGGTTTGTTTTGTTCCTACGCAAAATTTATGGCGCATTTCAGGAATCCCTTTCCAAATTTGTAATCTGAATAGGTCCTCATCTTGTTGTGTTCTTTATGCTGTAGGTTTTGCTGAAGGGCGCGAGTGGTGATGAACTGAAGAAGGTGAAACATGTCATCCAATATGGGGTCTTTGCCGCTTATCACTTAGCTCTTGAAACATCTTTTCTTGCTGATGAAGGCGCTGCTCTTTCTGAACTTCCACTGAATTCTCCAATAGCTGCTGCATTGCGAGATAAACCATCTACCATACAGAGATCCATTTCTATAGTACCAGGTTTCACTATACCCACTGGAAGTATCAGAAAACTCAATTCCAGTGTTCAGATGGTAAACAAGATCCCTGACCTGGATCCTATTACGGGACCTAATGAAAGTGGGAGGTTTGAAAACCCGATATCACCGCTTTCAAGTCAAAGCCATTTCCAGGTATCACAAGATCAAAACTCGTTCCCTAGTGCACAGTTTGATGCCGAATCATTTTCTCTGGAGAAGAGTTCCCAGAGAGAACATGAGACTGAGATGCATGCCTCCATGTCCTCCTATTCTTTGTCTCATTCTGGGGAAGATCACCCTCGCGTTTCTTCCTGTGATCTAAAAGAGAGCATCGAGAGAGAGCATTTTGGGGATGCAAATCTGAAGACAGATTTTCAAACTGCCATTTCCTATCACACCAACCCATCTCACTGTTACAAGACCTTGGAATCCCTTGAGAGTGTCCATTTTGCCGCTAACGGGGCTACTAGCGAAGGTAAACCTTTCGACTTCTCACGTTCACAGTCTCTACAGAGGGATGGCGTTCCTCTGCATGACCATTCGACACTTAAGGAAGACTTTCCCCCCTCTCCGTCTGATCATCAGAGTATTCTCGTATCTTTGTCGACTCGATGTGTGTGGAAGGGGACTGTTTGTGAGCGTGCCCATCTCTTTCGCATCAAATACTACGGGAGCTTTGACAAGCCTCTGGGACGGTTCTTGAGAGACCACCTCTTTGACCAGGTACCCTACTGTCTCACTTCTCTTCTCTTCTGTTCCCAAAGGAAATTGTATCTTTTTCCTTCATGGCGGTTTATGCTGTTTTCAGGGTTACCGCTGTCGGTCATGTGAGATGCCATCCGAAGCCCACGTTCATTGCTACACACATCGCCAAGGTAGCTTGATAATATCTGTCAAAAAGCTTCCAGAGCTCCCTTTGACAGGAGAGAGAGATGGAAAGATCTGGATGTGGCATAGATGCTTACGGTGTCCCCGAGTCAATAAAATCCCCCCTGCAACGCGGAGACTGGTCATGTCTGATGCTGCTTGGGGATTATCGTTTGGTAAATTTTTGGAGCTCAGCTTTTCAAATCACGCTGCCACCAGCAGGGTGGCTAGTTGCGGCCATTCCCTCCATAGGGATTGTCTTCGATTTTATGGGTACTCTCTCTCTCTCTCTCTCTCGCTGTAATTTTCTGCTGGGCGTGTCTCCGTTCTATGACCTCTCGTTTTTGTTGAAATAACTTTTTCCCCATCAAAATTGACCAGGTTTGGGAAAATGGTGGCTTGCTTCCGGTATGCATCTATTGATGTTCACTCTGTGTTTTTGCCTCCTTCCAAATTGGATTTCAACCGCCAAGATCAGGAATGGGTTCTGAAAGAAGCAGAAGAGGTCTCTGGTTATGAATAATTACTCTCTCTCTCTCTATCCAACTCTGTTGTTCGCTTCTCCCCTTTATTTCTCAATTATTATTCCTCTGCGTTCATTGCGAAACGGAGTTTTGATCTCTCTTTTGCGGAGGTTTCTATTATTTTTGAGCGATTCAACTTTTATGCATCAGGTTGCTGTTCAAGGAGAGCATTTTTTCTCTGAGGTGCATGCCGCTCTACAACAAATGGCAGGGAAGCAGCCTAACACAGATTCACTCGACTATGACGTTAAAGCCATGGAGTCAATGCAATGCATGGCTGACCTTCAGGGAAACCTGCAGAAGGAGAAGGCTCAGTTTGAGGTGAAGAAGCCTGGCGTCCTCTGCTCACCATCGATTGCCTTCCAGTTGTCTGAAATAACTCCAGGTCTTTACTGAGATTTTCGTTGACCTTTCTCCAGGAATCTCTCCAGAGGATGATGAGGACGGGAGCGAAAAAGGGTCAGTCAGCCATTGATATCCTCGAGATTAACAAATTGAGGCGGCAGCTGCTCCTCCAGTCTTATGTGTGGGACAGGCGTCTGGTGTCTGCCGCCAGCTTGGGACATACTTCCCCCGTAGGGCACCATTCATCCAATCAGAGTGGCAGAGAGAAGGTCAACTTTAGCGAGAAGCCTGTGGATTTGAATCCAGCTTTGACTGAGAAGCCAGCTGGCCATGAAGGAGGGAGCCGCGATCTTCCATCTCCCAGCCTTCGTGTTGTGAACTCTGAAGTCAGAGACGCGGAGACCGACAGCAATCGTGGAAAGCAAAGTCAACGCATTCTCCCTTACGGCAGTGCAGATTTTGGGGATCAGCTTGGTTCGCCGGCGTTGTCTGTTGGAGTTGTCCGGAGGGCCAATTCAGAAGGGCAGTTCTCTACTGTCATCACGAACCTGTCGGACTCTCTGGATGCCAAGTGGACGGGGGAAAATGGTGCCGCCGCCGCCGCCGCCGCCGCTGCTGCTTCTGAAGTCGGCACGGTGGCTTCCTCGGTTACGTCTGAAGCTGCAACAGAGGGCCTCTCCGACGACCGCGGCGTGCTCGACATGGCCGATCGAGACACATCGTGGGAGGAGCAGCGCGCAGAAGACGTCTCCAAGTGGATGAGAATGCCCTTCACAGGCCTCTACCAATCTTTCAACAAGGTCAACGGCGGCGCTCTAGGGTTCCATTCCCTGGGCGACTACATCCCCATCTTCATCCCTTCGTTCGTGGAGCTGGAGCGCCATGGCGGGTCGAGGCTGCTGATGTCCGTCGGGGTCAACGATACGGTCATCCCCGTCTACGACGACGAGCCCACCAGCATCATCTCCTACGCCCTCGTCTCGCCGGAGTATCTCTCTCAGATGGCCGACGATCGGGAGAGGGTCACCGAGGGCGGGGACCCGTTGACTTCATCTCTGCCGTCTTATGACTCCGGGAGCTATCACCCCTTCCGCTCCTTGGACGAGATGACCTCCGAGTACTTCAGCGGCAGCGTCGCCATGGACGAAGGCGCCAGGAGCACCATCGCGTTGGACCCGCTGCTATACACGAAGGCTCTGCACATTAGGGTTTCTTTCGCAGATGAAGGCCCCCGCGGGAAGGTGAAGTACACCGTCACCAGCTACTACGCGAAGAGGTTCGACGGCCTGAGGAGGACCTGCTGCCCCTCGGAGCTGGACTTCGTGAAGTCCCTCAGCCGCTGCAAGAAGTGGGGCGCGCAGGGCGGCAAGAGCAACGTCTTCTTTGCCAAGTCGCTCGACGATCGCTTCATCATCAAGCAGGTGACGAAGACGGAGCTCGAGTCCTTCATCAAGTTCGCCCCCGAGTACTTCAAGTATCTCTCCGAGTCCATTAGCACCGGTAGCCCAACCTGCCTGGCCAAGATCTTGGGCATCTACCAGGTATGGTTGAAACCCTCCTTCTCTCCTCCTCCCTCCTGCATTATATTTCCGTCTTCCCGGCTGAGGTCGTCGGCGGCGGCGGCGTTGTTGCAGGTGGCGACGAAGCAGCTGAAGGGGGGGAAGGAGACGAAGATGGACGTCTTGGTGATGGAGAACCTGCTGTTCGGGCGGAGCGTGGTGCGGCTGTACGACCTCAAGGGTTCGTCGCGGTCGAGGTACAACGCGGATTCGAGCGGAAGCAACAAGGTCCTCCTCGACCAGAATCTGATCGAATCGATGCCGACTTCTCCGATTTTTGTGGGGAACAAGGCGAAGAGGCTCCTCGAGCGGGCCGTCTGGAACGACACCGCCTTCCTCGCGGTGAGTGATTCATCCATCGTACATTAGTCTACCTGGGCAGCGGCCGAGCCTTCTTCTTCCTCGGCCTTCTGCTCATTGCGGCGGCGCTTCTTTGTTATTCTTCGGCGGCGCAGTCGATCGACGTGATGGACTACTCGCTGCTGGTGGGGGTAGACGAGGAGAAGCAGGAGCTGGTGCTGGGGATCATCGACTTCATGAGGCAGTACACGTGGGACAAGCACCTGGAGACGTGGGTGAAGGCGTCCGGCATCCTCGGAGGGCCGAAGAACGTCTCACCAACGGTCATCTCCCCCAAGCAGTACAAGAAGCGCTTCCGCAAAGCCATGTCCGCCTACTTCCTCATGGTCCCCGACCAGTGGTCACTACCTATCATCGTCCCCAGCAGGTCCCAGTCCGACCTCTGCGAGGACTCCCTCGGGCCGCCGCTGTCCCCCACTCCACACCCATGACCGTCACCTCTCTCTCTCTCTCTCGCTCTCTCTCTCTCTCTCTCTCTGTATATTATTTCTCTTGTGCAGAATTCTAGGGGGTTCGGCCCGCTATTTTTTCCCCATTTTTGTCCTCCATATTTACGCATGCTTTTAGTTGACTTTGGTCGCGGATGATCAGGGGCAAGGCTGTTAGGTCAGATGTCGTCGAAAGTTTTGGCCGGCGACACCCGGAAGAAAGAATTCTCAGGAATCTATCTAACCTGTGGTTTTGTGGGTTCTTTCGGGAAGTTTGACCCAGGCACCTGTCGTGTTGAAGGTCGGGGTCTTTGGTGGTCGCGATGTGTTGACCCGTGGTTGCAGCTCTCGTAGGGGACGGGACGAACGCAGAGGCTCTCGTCCTCCCAGCTGCCCGCCGGGCGTAGAGGGAGAAAGGCAGCAGAGGAAGGGCAAAAGGGCTCTCCGTTGGTGCTGGTACGTGTGCACTACGAAAGGGAAGCGGAGAATCTCCAGAAAGAGGAAGCCGAACCCCCATCCTTCTCGTGTGCAGCCGCTGGTTCTCCATGTTACAATCTTCTCTCTCTCTCTCTCTCTCTCTCTCTCTCTCTCTCTCTCTCTCTCTCTCTCTCTCTCTGCCTGCAGAGGAAGGGGAAAGCAAAAGTGGACGGGGGCGATTAAAATAGGCGGCTTGCTACCCATCTATCGGTCGACGGTGGAAGATCTTCAAGAAGCTTCATTCTACGCCTCTCATCATGCATGTGAGAATGATATTCATCAGCTGGACGCTTGGTCCTCTCTCTTCTCTCTCTAGTTTTTCTCGGGCCTTGGGTGAAACCACTCGGTCAGTCAGCTGGGCTTGGCTTTCGCCTTTGGCTTCAATCACCGCCACAAGCCCTCGGCATGTGGGTAATCTTGTTGTTGTCTTTCTACACAGCCGCCAGCCAATAGAGAGAGAGCATGACAAATGGATGCCTCTAACCAGGGACCTGGTTCCGATCACACGAGGGGGTGGGGGGAGAGAGAGGGAGAGAGAGCGGCCGGGGGGACGGAGAGGTTGGAATGATGAAATATGGTCTGTGGCTGATTAGATGCGAACGGAGTCAGAATGAATGGTGTCAGCAGCGGCAAGTAGGGCCAGCTAAGATTAAAGCATACACTGGCAGGAAAGAAACAACTGGGTGGATATCGAGATCGACTCAGGAGGCTGGTGAGATATACGAAGAGAGAGAGAGAGAGAAAGTACGCACAGCTCGCTCGGGTGGGGCATCGAGAAGCACGAGAAAGGAGATCTCAATTAGCGGCTTTACCTGTTTCTCCGATATTTAGAGGTTTTTATATTTTACAATCTCTCTCCATTCCCTGTCTTTTTCTTCTCTCTCTCGTTCTAAGATGCGTGGGGACCTGGTCCTACCGGGTCACAGCCGAGGGAGCTGTGGCCTCCTCTCCCTTTCCAATAACTCCTACCCCGCCTCCTACTTGGCCAGGCATTGACTTGGGAAAAGAGGTTCACGTCTCTCTGCCTTCTGCGTGCATGCAGACGACGAAACACGAGGGCGGACAGGAGAGAGCGAGACATTGACAAAGAGAAAGCAAGAAAGTAGCCTACACGCGGGAGTAGAGAGAGAAAGGGAGAAAGAGAGAGATTCCCGCGACGAGGAGAAGGGCACCGCATGCTTTTGAAACCAAAGGTCAGCCGCGAAGACGCATCCCGTCTCTCCCCTTTGACATGTGCCCTCCTCTCCCGGCTTCTCCTCTCTCTTCTTCCGCTATCTCTCTCTCTCTCTCTCTCTCGTAAGAAAGACACCGCCTTTCCTGACCCTCTCTATCATCCCTCTTCCTCTTCCTCTTCCTCAACCAAATACAATACAGCCCAAGAGAGCCTTAACCGAGAGAACTTTGGGAAAATGCCCGAGAAACCTTATATTGCAGGCATATTTTATCATCATCATACGCCTAGATGATCGAAAAGCGCGTTGGCTTCTGGGCTGTCAATAAAGGAGGGCGCTTAGGGAGGGGCTCGGGGGACGGCGCCGTGCTCACCATCTTCCCTTTGTTCCTTTGTTCCTTGTCTCGTCCGTCAATAGCGCAGCGAGGGGGGGAGGAGGGGGGGGAGAGAGAGTGAGGGTGCCTTCTGTTCGTCAGTCATCTCTCGAGCAGCGTCTCATACTATTAATAGCAAATTATTATTATTGAATATTGGTTATTTGAAATGGGTTGTTTGACCATCGCTAGATTTGTTGACATTGTTTTTTGGTTGCGGAGGGCTGGCTTGTCAGTGTCAGTGGTCGGTCACATGGACTTTTGAAAGCCTCTCTCTCTAAGAATCACCCACACGGCCAAGGGGGCGCAGAACCCAAGGAGCATACTCTACTCGACTGTGTCAACGCAAACAAAAAGAGCCTCGGGAAGTTTCCTTCCTCTCTCTCGCCTCTACGCTTCGCCTTACTGCAACTGCATAAAGGGTGGGTTGGAGAGGGCGAGAGTATCAGCCAATCCCGTCGACAGCGGCGCACAACCGGCGAACTCTGCAGGTGCTCTTCTTCTGCCTTCTCTTCCTCGCTTCCTCCATTCCATCCCGCCCTTCCGGGTACGATTTTCCGGGAAATCTGCGATCTTTGATGGGTTTCTCACTCTCGACCTCGTTTCCTCGGCCGGTGAGCATCGGTGAACTGGTTCCGCTTCCGTCTTCGGGTATCAACGTTTTTGTTCTCTCTCTGGGCAGATGGACTGCTGATCGGTTTTCTCTTTGATGCTTTCATGGCGGAGAGCCCATTTCTGGCCTTGTTCTCGGGCCTCTCTCTCTGTCTCTCTGTCTCTCTCTCTCTTATGCAGTGGAGGCTCATGTATCATGTTCCCGAGTTCTGCAAATGATGCAATGTGTCCATTCGCTAGATTTCTTCACTCGGCGGTGGTCTGGGAGCCGGGGGTTGCATGCGACTGACCTGTGGCTCTGCTGTGATTCTCTTCAGATTCCCAGCCGCATTTCCTCGGTTCAATGGAGAGGAGGGCCGTGGCGGCGCCGCCAGTCGAAGGCTGGAGGAAGAGGGGACGACCCGATGAGTGTGACGCGTCTGGAGAGTTTTCCTTCCTGAGGGAAATGAACGGAGACCTCCTCGAGAAGATCCTCTCCCGGCTGCCCCCCTCAAGCTTCTTCCGCCTCCGTTCAGTCTGCAAGAGATGGCGGTCCGCATCGACCTCTGCGACCTTCGTCGTCTCCTGTACAGAGGTCCCCGAGAGAGAGCCCTGGTTCTTCATGGTGGACTCCGACCTTCGCTACTCGGTCGTCTTTGACAGTAGCGAGGGCGACTGGAAGAACCTCAACCGGCCATCTCTCCTCCCCAAGTCCATCCCCGTGGCCTCCGCCGGGGGCCTGGTCTGCTTCCGCTCCCCCTCCGGTTGCCTCTTTGTCTGCAACCCGGTCGACGGCGCCTGCCGCGAGCTCCCTCCCCCATCGCCGGCGGACGCAGCAGCAGACCAACAAATCCACGCCATCGCCATGAAGTCCTCCCCTCTCGGCCACCCGTCTCCATCCTACGAAGTGGTCCTCATCTCCGGTGACTCTGCGAACCTCACCGTCAAGGTGTACAGCTCGGAGAGATCGCGGTGGGAGGAGGGTTCGCTCTCCCGGAAGAAGAATCCCCCTCAAGAAGAATCGGAAATATCCAGCGAGGAGACGGTTTACTTCCTCAGCAAGGCCGGCGAGGTGGTGTCGGCGGATATTCAGAGGAGTCCCTTCAAGAAATACTCGTCAGTGATCACCACGGTGGAGGCCGGGGAGGAACTGATCTACTTCCTCGGCCCAACCGGTGCAGTCGTCGCCTGCAACCTCAGCCGGCGGGAGGTCGCCAACCTCCCCCGGCTGCTCCCCGTCAACGTGGAGTACTCCGTCGACGTGGTGGAGTGCATGGGGGAGATGATGGTGGTCGTCCTCTCGGAGCTGCTGGAGGCGGCGAGCCTCAGGGTGTGGCGCTTCTGCAGGGGAGACCAGTCGTGGCGACAGGTGGCGGCAATGCCGCCGTCGATGTCCCGCGAGTGGTTCGGGAAGAGGGCCGACGTCAACTGCGCGGGGTTCAAGGAGATGATCTTCGTCTGCTTGAGCTCCGGCGACTTGTGTCGCTGCGTCACCTGTGATGTCGCCGCCGGCGAGTGGCGGGAGCTCCCCGGTTTCTCCGTCGATGGAGCTCCCTTGGAGTTCATGTCGGCCTTCTCCTTCGAGCCCCGGGTCGAGGCCCGAGTCTAGTGGGGGAGAGGGGAGGGGAGGGGGGCGGGGCTCAGTGCTTGCTGGTGGCGCCGCCACTGGTAAAAGCTGAAGCCGCCGGTGGGATCACTGCCGCCTCGTGGGGTCTTCTTCTCGACCGTCGTCTTCCCCCGCGAGGGGGGCCATGTATACATCCATGTATGTTAGTTAATTGGTCATCAATCTCACTCCGATCATCAACCTCATCATCCCCATCGTCTCTTCTCCTCTGGAACAAAAAAATGACATTGTCAGCGCCAGAAAGTCAATCATCCGCCACCGTCCTGTCTTTGAATTCCGAGGAGAGATCATCCGGCGGAGTCAGGATCTCTGTCTCTCCGGGTTGACCCTTCTCCCGTGTTGGAGAGCGTCCATCGATCTGCTGGCCCCTGCGACTCCCCGGCCGACCTGATTTCATCCCCGCCGTGAATCAACGACGCAGAGAGGAAGTCGTGATCGCCGATCTGGGGGATCCCTCATCCTACAGATGATCGGCGGCCTTGCCGACGGCGATGGAAAAATGGGGCGGGAGAGAGAGAGAGAGAGGGGGGACGGAGTTGGGGAGAAAGTGACGTATAGATGCGAGGACGGGCTTAGCGGGTAACGGCGCAGTGGAGGCTGAGATGATGGACGAACCAGAGAGATCATCAGGAGCAGCAACAAGCTGTGGTAGTAATTCTACTACAGTTGTGGATGATCGCCATCGGTCGATCCTCGGAGTTCCTGGAAGATTAAAAATGTGGAGATGCAGAAGATAGATCTGGGCACTGCCAGTAGGAGAATCTATACCATCAATTAATGATCGGAGGGGATATCACAATTGCGGGGATTTAGTAATGGGTTACTTGTCGGTCCATCATATCCCCGCCTCGCCAGTCTTACTTCAACAATCACGCCCAGGGGTATCAAAGAAAGGGCCGCATGGGAAGGAAACAGCTCACAAATATCAAGAACCGGTACCCGTTTCCAAAGGGAGACGAGGTGATTATAAAGGGAAGAAGATTACAGGCAAAAGGGACCAAGAGTTCTCCTACGAAGTGAAAAGAGTGTAGAGGTTGAACCCCTCGGAGCGGTCTGTATCGGACATGAGTCCCAGATCCCTTTTCTCCTATCCTTCTCTCTCTCTCTCTCTCTCTCTCTCTCTCTCTCTCTCTCTCTCTCTCTGTCCTATCACGTTATCCTGTATCGGAGCTTCCCTTATCACTTTTATCTAAGTATCATTTCCCTTAGTACTGCCCCCCTAATCTTCATCCGTAAGAGATCGCCTTCAAGAGTTACGGAGCGCTGACTTAGACCAGAGGGAGGAAAAGGAGTGGGACCCTATCAAATTAGTATCAGAGCAACCACCTTCTAGTGACGCACGGACCTCAAAAAATAACATGAAGACCTCAGCTGAGACTTCCGCGCCCTCTAGAGCTTTGACAGCCAACACCGTCCTTCATAACCTTGTCAGGACCCTGTCCTGCCAGACGACACTCACAACTTCCATCTAAGCCATCGGGGCCCATGAGAACTCACTCATGCATGCACAATTGTCAACGACGTGGATCTTGTCGATTCGAAGGACCCTACAACCGGTGGAAATTTTATTAGGACGTCCCCTTCACCTTCCACCGACCCACGGCAAGTCATGGCAAACAAGGTGCAAACTAGAGATGCTGCTGTTTGACAGCCACGACCTCGAGGATTCGGTTTTTCATGCCGAACTCTACTTCGCCATGTGCAAGTATCCTCCAAGGACAAACTCAACACTGCCGGCCTCAGCCTCAACGGGAAGGTGCTACCTTGGTTCAAATGGATGGATGATCATGAACCATTCCATGACTGAAGATTTTACCTCTTAACTTCTAGAATGTTTCGACCCCAATCACTTTGGTTCTCTCTGTTAGAATTTTCTGAGCATCAAATAAAGCAACACTGTCACATAAGACTGGGAAGAATTTGAACTAATGACGACAATCACTCGTGATATTCTGGAGTACATTATGGAAAACACGCTCCCCAAAGGACTGCACAAGGATATCCAAGTCGAGGTATCTCTCTCTGAGCTCATGGGTCTCAAGGCTATGCACCACCTAGAAGGTGAAGTTGAACCACTAGGCCCTCTGTGATATTGACAGCTCTAGATGGTCTCAAGGCAACACCCCTTGCTACCAACCAGATTTGACACTACCTTAAAATGGTGGAAGTTTCCCAATTTATCCCTCCCCCCTTGCGTGCTCCTCGAGAGCAAGACTACTGACGCTAATGACTTATCCCACTGCCCTTATGATGCACTACCACCGGTTTGATATTGTTGTATGCAACTAACACTATTTGAGATTCAGGCTCGCTAAGCTCTAGGCCTATTTTCTCCAACAATGAGAAATATTCTCTGAGTAACTATTGCAGCCGAAAACTACAAATAATGATCATTGAGGAAGAAGAAGACCCTTCCGATGTCAAGGAGACTACCTCGCTTGAGACTTCCTCTGAACTTGAAGTATTCTTCAACCTAGAGGTCTCTCTCCACTCTCTTGACAACAATGCACCTGCCAAAGTCCCTGAGTTTTGAGGGATCATACAGAGTCAAGTAGTCACCATTCTTGTTGACATAGGCACCTCCTGATGTCTCTTAGTCCCTTCTAATTAAGAGATGGTTAAAATACTACTTATATGCTGAATTTTATGGCTATGCAAGGAGGTGTATAGCAGAATTCAAGTTGATTGTCATGGAATTGACTGATTCTATGTGATGTTTCTTTTGATTTTTATGATTGAATTTAATGATGAAACATATGAGAAGAGTGGATGAAAGTTATCTTCAGAAAACAAAAGATTGAGTAGAATCTTGCCTTAACAATCTTTCAATCACCAAGAGAGGGTTTATAATGTAGAAAACACTTATATTCTATGAGTTTGGATTATATCTATAGATAATATAAATGATAAAAGAGAAATTATTACCATTTGAGGTCAATCTTATCTCGCATAAGAGGTCAATAAGATAATAAGTGAAATGGTGCTACTCCTAGTCTACCTCCTAATCTTGTTCATAATCTGACCTTTCTCTCTTTATCTACAAGAAGAATTAAGGGACCCAAAGATAACTAGGGAATATTAAAGAGGGTCATTAATTACTCTAAGGCGATCTCTCTCTCTCAGTATTTACTTAGTGCCACTCTTGTAGATGCCCTTAGTTTTGATATGTACAATGAATCTAATGAGTTACATCCTTGAGATATCTTTTTATATCAAAATAACACATTGTAATCTCCTCAGAATATTAGTGTAGAATAATATGTGTCAACATGAAGTCTCATGTATATTTTTGAAAAATAAAGTTACCTACAAGATTCAAATACAACACGTGAGCATTGTTAAGAGAAAAATATTAGCATGGAAAATGTCTAAAGAATCAAGAAAATATATTATCAAACATGAGACTTGAACTCAGAAAGTAAGTTAAGGTGTGAAAAAGGACGGTTGAAATATTTGAATATCATTGTGTCCAAAGTATAGGTAGGATTTGAATGGTCTAGCTCAACTGTCACGTGAATGGTCTAACTCAACTGTCACAGGACTAGAGATCAATTCCTACTTTAATCACTAAATGTATGATTCTGTTATGTGTTTTTTATTAACTTTTAATAGTGTCACTATAGTAATCTCAATTTTAAATCTTGGCCATACTTTGATCTCTATGATATTCAAATATTTAAGTCATCATTTTCCCATCTTTACATAATTTGCATTCTAAGTTCAAATCCTACATATGATAGTGTGTTTCTTTGATTTTTCTAACATTTTCTATGCTAATACTTTTATTTTCACAATGCTCATGACATGTTCAAATCCTAAAATTAGCTTTTTTTTTCAAGAATATATGTGAAACTTCATCACATGTGTTACACATTTATTTTGTACTTATATTTTGATACTTTTATGTTATATTATTTAACATAAAAAGATGTTTAGGGGTGTGTAACTTGGATTCATTGTTAGTCATAGGATTGTATCAACATCATCAATATATATATATCTATATATTGAATGTTTCTCAATGATATTCTACTTGTGAGGTAAATTTTCATGATGTAAATTAATGATTATAATTGTCAAAACAAAGGATAATAATAAATTTTCCTTTTCAATCAACAACTTTCTAATGGTTGAAGGCATCAACAACTTCCTCCTTTTTTATACATAACTCATTTGAAAAAGTTTGTTTACATAATAATACATTTAAAATAGATAAGATATGGAATGTATGCATTTGTCACATAGAATTCACATTCATATAAATTAACACTAGCGTGTTGAAATACATGTTCACACATCCACTGTATATATGATCAACAAAGACATACATGTAAGCAATTGTATTCTAAGTAGAGAAACAAATAGTAAAAAAATATTCAAAAGTGAGTAATAGTCATTTAGTCATAGTTAATTATCCTCTTAAGTGTGTTTCCTCCTAAATTCATACACTCTAATTTTCTCCCCCATTAAACACTATTTTTCTCCTCTTTTTGTAAATATAAAAAATAGATAACAAAATGTTCTAAGAGAATTAATAACAATGGAGATCTACCAATCAGTTTCAAGATCACAAGATTGTTGAATTGAACTCCAAAATCACATCTTTGAGTTCACAAGCTCGTTCTTCTATTACTTCAAGTCACTACTGCACTTGTTCAACACATTAGTTGAATTTTTCAACAATTGGTAGGATGTCAAGAAATGTAAGAGCACGAAATGTAAGAACATTTAGTCATAGTTAATTATCCTCTTAAGTGGGTTTCCTCCTAAATTCATACACTCTAATTTTCTCCCCCATTAAACACTATTTTTCTCCTCTTTTTGTAAATATAAAAAATAGATAACAAAATGTTCTAAGAGAATTAATAACAATGGAGATCTACCAATCAGTTTCAAGATCACAAGATTGTTGAATTGAACTCCAAAATCACATCTTTGAGTTCACAAGCTCGTTCTTCTATTACTTCAAGTCACTACTGCAC